TCCACTCATGCTCTACTTTCTATTAATTGTAGTCTAGCCTCCCACTATGCCCTCCTGCCCACCCCATCACCTGACCTCGAACACTCCGCCGTCCACAAAACTCCCGCATCCGCTTACGAGCTTTTCCTCCACAACCAAGTTCCCTCCTGGGATGTAATCAAGTCTGACCCATCGCCCGCCCTTTCTCCCTCTACATGCACAAAGCGTTCTTTTGAGTATTCCGTAGACGATTTTTTCTCTGATATGAAGAAGCGGAAGGTCAATCCTTCCTATGATCCCTGTACGTAGTCCCCCTTTTAACATCTGCTCCCTCTCATCAGGTGTTTCTCCCAGACATGGCAGAGCGTCTCAACAACATCTACGCTTACGATGTTTCCAATTACGAAGACGGCTTCAACCCCCGTTCCGTCCACTTTGACGTGCGTACACCCGAGGAACTTGCTGCCGTAAACGACTTTCTCATCACCTTGGGCCGAGATGTCACTGATTCCAGTCAGCGGCACCCGCAGCAACAGCAGCAGCAGTCACAGGAAAACTCCGCCCGCTTCTCCCCTCAATCTTACTTTGATGCCGCCAGTCTCGAGCAGTTGGGTTTGACGGGCATGCCAGGTCTCCCCGGCCCAGGGACCCCCTACGCGCACGACTCTACGTATTCTCAGGGCCCAACGCCTTCTCATCAGTACGCCGCAAACGCTTACCCGTCCCCTCCTTCTGTCACCCGCTCTACGCATCCTTCCGTCCAGTTAAGCCAGCACGCCTCCATATACCCCCCCATCCACGACTCGGCGCCTAAACCTCCCTACCCGAGCGACTTTTTGCATGAGCAACAGAGGATGAGCTCTCACGATTACAACCACATCGTCCATCCCCGGTCTACACCCTTCACCTCCTCTCACTATACCTCGCCGCACAATCACTTCCATCCAACGCCTCCCTTGGATCCGACATCGCCGTATTCTCCGAACTCGACGCCTTCGAATGCAACGCCCCCTCATCATTCTTCACTCGAAGATTCTTACCCTCACTGGGACATGGTACGCCCACCTCCCGGCGCACCGCCCCCCGTACAGCTCGAAGCCCGAGATTTTTCAAACAAAGCGATGCGCACAATCATTCCCTTGGGAAACTCCGGTGCCACGCGTCCGACGCTCGAACCGCAAGTGACCAAATTTCCGCACCGGGGCCCTCCAGCGAAGCTCATCTCCATTACCTCTACCTCCGCGTCGTCATCAACGTTGTCGCCGGGAGGCAATCGAGGGTCGATGTATCCCCTGCTCAATCCCGAAGATTCAGATCTGAAACTGCCTTCTCTCAAATTCGATACTAGACGGTGCACGCTTCCTTCCCTGAAGGAGATGTACCGATCGCCGTCTCCCGTAATCGCAACCGTTCCGAGATCCCCATCGACGCTATCCTCATCACGTGAGACGACACCAAGCTCTGCGCACTCGTCTCCGGTCTTGCCTAGCTTGCGCGCGATGGCGGCGTCGCCAGAGAGCGATGAGCTTGCGAAGAAGGTGGGCAAGATCGAGTTGGACCGGCTCGCGAATAAGGAGAGGGTGTCGCCGGAAGAGCGGAGGAAGCATGCAGAGCTTATTAGGAATTTGCTCGTTATGATCAATCAGGATTATAAGAAGTGGTATGGGTCGCCTCCACCCACGGTGCGGACCAAAGTTGAGGAGATGGCTTCCATCCCCCGAGATGTTAAGATGGCCGCTGCTTAGGGAGACGTCTTCTGTTTTTGAGTTTCATGGACGTATCTGTGTGTTGCTTTTCCTCAACCCTCTCCCAGCGCCCCCCAGTCTCGATCGACACTCCACTTCGACTTACACTAGATAACACCATGTACTAGCTTTTATTATATTCCACCAGTTCCCATTGATGTTGTTACAATAATGCGATCAGAAAAAGCAATGATACAAGGTTATAAAATGCACGAGTGCTCCAATAACTTCTTTAATTTCTCTTCAGCATCAGCTTTATTTTTGGAGCAGAACCTGATGGCGTCGCAGGCACGCCATCCACACCTTCCATGGCGGACACTGGAGGGCTCGTCACAAGAGGGGAAGGTATGGCAGCTGCAAATCCAAACGATGCGCTTTGGGACCCTCTTGCAAATCCCAAGTTGGGAAGACTGGGAGTAACAGGGGGTGGACTTGTCGCTGATGCCGGAGTCGCGGGGACGGGAGGCGTGCCGCTGTTGAATTCAGCCCAGCGAGGGCATTTGCGGTTAGTCTCTGCAACATTGCGAAAACAAAAAAAAACCGTTAGCACTGAGGGAAGACAAAGGTGGGCGTGACATACTCATGTGCCCCATTTGGCCACAATGTCCGCAGCGTCTCTGCATTTAGACAGGAGTCTTATTAACATGCTGTAGTCAGGGCCCCCAAAAAAATTAAATACCGTCGTATCCGGTTTGAGTGGGCGATTAAGCTGCATTGGTGTCCCTCCCTCTTTTACGATCTTTGCGTTCTTACGATGCAAACGTCGTTCTTGGTTCTTCTTCATCCGCGCAATTTCCTCTTCCAATCTAGAGAAGAAAAAACAAAAGAACAAGGAAATGACAAGAGTCAGAATTTTGACATCGAGTGTGAATCATGGAATCATTAAAAAACGTGCCTTTTCTTAGCGCGTTTGTCCTTGTCAGCATCACCTGTTGGAGCAAGGCTGTCTGCGAGCGTAGCTTCCTCTTCAAGATTCTGTCGTGCACGAATGTACGCACGTATGACAGCAGGCTCGCGGATGATTTCCATCTGCCATTCATCGTCGACCTATATCCGCGGTAACCACTGTCAATGAAAGGAGCTACATTTTTTGAACATCGCGATTAGAACGCACCTTGCGCTTAATCCTTAGAACCCTCCGGTTTCCATCTGGACCCATACTCATCTCCCGATCCCTCTCCAGTGAAGATCCACGGCTGAAAGCTGGGGACAATGGCGGTCCTGCAGCCATTGGGGACATGGCTGGAGAATACGGCAAGTTTTCCGTCCTTATCGAGTTTTGACGATGCAACGGCTTCTTCGTATCACGACTTTCACGGTCTCTCCTCTCGTCCTCTGCTGTCAATTCAGGCTCATCTTTCCGACTCAATGAATCAAACTGAGCCTTCCATATCCGTTCGATCTCTGATTTATATATCTGTTGTTGCTCAGCGACATTATACCGATGAGCAGACTTTGGGCGATTCTCCGCTTCAGCTTTTCGAGGATTTTTGATTGAGTTATCATCGAAAGATGTAGAACGGTACATACCTAATTTTTGTTCATAGTCCTCTCCTGCCTTCACAAAAATATCCTTCATGGATATGCGAATGAAACTGAAGGCCTCGCCGCGTCCCGTGGGGTCCCCCTCTCCGTGAAGTCGGAGCATAGCCTTGGCTTGCGTTGCAAATAAGAAATTTTTAGTTGTTATCCAAGGAGCTAGTTGTTGCTCTACTGAAAGCTTCGTTTCGTCCTCTCCGTCGGCAGCATCTGCAGTTTGGCTGTAGCCTGCATCCTGCAAATGGCGTTGTCCGACCTGCATACTTTCAGTCAAAACCACCTGCTCGGGGGTTACCGACTTTAACATGTCTGCATCTGATGGTATGGTCCAGCCAGATTTTAGACGCCAAAAGCCTTGATGGGGTCCACGCCTATGATACTCCATGAATTCTTTCAGACGCTGCCTCATCTGCAGTTCGTTTTGATCGGGGAAATACTTCATCAATCGCGATATCTTGAGACGCTCTTCCGTACTTTTCTTCAATAGTTTATAAGCAATAATCTGCAACCGATGTTTAATAGTATTTGTGATCTTCCTAGAGTGTGGTCCGGGAACTTCGGTGACAGGGTATGTTTGACCAATAACGAAGAGATTCTTGATCTCTCGTATGAAGTATCTTGTTTCACCCTTGATGGCACTCCTGTACATGATATTAGCAGAGATACTCTGTACAGAAGGACATTCCCTCTGACCTCACAATAAGGAAGTCGGTCGGATAGGCCTTATGACGAAAGAGCGGAGCACGGACTAGATTATTGTATAATGCTGGGAACGTTTGCCCAGGATAGACGTATCCAAATTTCATAAACGGTGACTCGTCCTGAGGCTCTAGGACAAATGGAACACCGAGGTCTAGCTATACAGTGATCCCTAAGCTAGTCTGTGAACAAGAAATGACAAACTCCATACCTTGGGCATATAATCATCCTTGTCATCCTTCTTTCGATAGTAATTGACCAGAGCACTACCCATGCCAAAGTTTGGAATGATGGGAGGGTGTTCTTCCTAGCGTAATTATAAGCAAAAATAGTTGTACAGAAGGTGACTTCACACACTGAATATTCCCATAGGACAAAATTACTCGTATCCTTGAGACTTAAGTCACTTGTTTTGCGGAGACCTTCACCGATATTGCCACCTTTGCCAACTTTGCGGCCTGCTTTGTCTTTCTTTTTTTTCGCTGTGCGCACCTTACTGAACCGTAGTTCGATATTTGTCGGGAATTGCAAAGCAGGGCGATGAAAGGAACGCGCCTCCTGCTTTGAGAGCCGAGTTTTATACTTGAATAAACTCAAATCAACAATAAGCGTAAGGTCAAGTATTCAAGAAGCTTACAAATGGTAATTGTAGCTTCTGCGACGGATATGCATGCTCCACAACGAGTTGTCCAAATGTTTGGCGCACGCGATGACGCCCTCCTTCTTTCGCAACTTCATAGAATTGATCGTTGGAAAGATTGAATTTGTCCCGAGTGATACCAACATCGGTCCTAAGACGCTTTCTGGGCCGAACGGTCTCGACTACACAAGATTATAAATCGCATATTAATAAAGAAAAGGGATACTTACCATGAGGTCGCTCCTCTGGCACGACATCATCTTCATGATTGAATTCGAGTTGCGTAAAGTCTCGATATAGAGTTCCGGGACCCCATATTATGCTTTGTGTCCACGCACCAGATTCCAGTACCTTATTGACGGGCATACTTAAACTTGTGCCACTGGAGGGCGCATGGGTTAAGTGGGTTTCTGGTTCGTATATAATCTGGTCCTCCCAGTTTGAAATAATAACGAGGTCGAAAGCTCGATCATGGAGGGGTAGGTTGACAGGCACATCAGATTTTTCGCGCTCCTGTTATTGACAGCGCTTGAGAATTCACCACTTGATTCTTTCAAAAGCACTTACTTCTAATGCCAATAGTAAATCTTGTTCGACACTCCCAGATGATACTACTGCCTCTACTCGCTTGTTTTCAACTCGACGTCTGGTATCGCCAACACAGCGTCCAGAAAGCCTTTCTGCGGATCTCGCTTCTTCGGATAAACCGTTTCGACTGTTGTACCATCCACATTTACCATCTACTAGTCAAAATATTGCTTGCTCACCATGCACCGGTTTCTTTCCTAAACGCGATTTCCTACCAGTATAGCCTTTGAACAACTCAGAGAAATCCAATACCTTATCCTTTTCGAAAGCTGGGAATCTCTCGTAGACGGTCTTTGGTCTTTCCACAAGGCGTTTGACAATTCGTGTACGCTTCTGCTTGCGACGAATTCCGACAGGAGACTGAGCTTCCAGTTTGACTGGTGACTCGTCAGAAACCTCTCCCTCCATTTCTTTGTCGACTTCGTCCTCCCAGTCCTCACCCTGACCGACACCCACGGCATCATCATCCCATTTCTCGTTGTAGATCTGACTAGAGCTCAAGGAAGGAATACCAGAAATCCCCAACTGATTTGATAGTCCAGTTCCACCCGGAAGAGATAAGCCAGAGAGAATATGATCCAAGGAAAAACCAGTCAGCGCAGAGATCGCATCGCTTTCGTCCTGAGTTGCAGGGATATTATTGTATGATAGTGAGGGGTAGTAGAGCATCACTCACTAAGTGTGACATGCTACAACTAGAACCAGAGTAGTTTATAATAAACTAGTATGCCCCAGAATGAAAATGAAACGTTTATCAGGAAGTCACACAGAATATGCTTTTGTCAAGTCAGAGAGTACGTGGATTGCGTCACTGAGGTGCGCACACCACTAACGTCACATGATCACTCTAAGTAAAAAGAAAAAGTCGGCTAAAGTCGTGTGAAAGTCAGGTAATATTCCTGAAGTCAGGTGAAAGTTAGTCTCCTATTAGACTCGTGACCCTCAGTAAAAAAGGCTAGTTGAGCTGCCAATCTCAGCTACATGGTTGACTCAGCTCAGCCCAGCTCGGGCTTACATCAGGAAATCGGTGAAGTTTCGACAAACATTTCTAATCGCTTACTGTGCATTATAATGGACAACAAACATGTCAAACTAATCTATCATTATGATAACATGTTTGATAAGTCTATACAATTGATGGCTGGCTTTATGAAATTTTGCAAGTCTACCATTATTATTGGTATTGTAAGTACCGCTCAGGATATGACATATATAGCTTTGGTATCTTTCCGTTTTGCACAGGTCATCTTTTATATTGTATGGGGAAGTATATGAGTCTTTGCTAGTGCATACTTCTGATGATGTTTCACAGCCTGTTGTCATCTGAAAATATAAATATGATATATCTAACTCTTGTTTACCTTTATAATCTATGAGGGACTTTACACATCAGAAAATTTGTGCCATAATCACATATGTAGTCTTGAGTATTAGGCTGGTATCGGTGGAGTCGAGACGTAGCCGCATAATTCGTGTGGTCCGAAAGATTTATACTAGTCTTGAATATCAGCAGCAATCAGGCTGTTGTTGGTGGAGTTGAGCTGTAACTGCATGATCTGTGTCTTCCGAAAATTTTACACTGTCAATAGCAATCTTACTAGTAGAAACATTTGAGCAGAAATATCACAGCGGCGATACAATTATCAAATCTAATCCATATATACAGGCAGATGCAAGTCAATCAAATGTGGTATGAGATCCCTCTCCATTTTGAGACCTCTTCAAAGCTTCCCACCTTTCTCTAATCCTTGCCAACGCGCTGTCCTTGGATGCCAAACATTCGGGAGTTGCATAGACCGGGAAAATTTGCCTAAGGAAAAGTTTGAGTCACTAAAGCGATACTTGTAAGAAAGCAGAACTCGGAATACCTGTTCCACCACGCCAACAGTTGATCGACTTCTTCCTTCTCTTTGGGATATTCCAGCAAGACAAGGATACTGTTGTAGAACCGTTCGGAGTTGGTGACTAGATCAGTGCAAAAGAACGCTCAAAGTGAGCGCAAAACGAACCTGTGCAGTATGTAATGAGCACATGGTTTGAATGGAGAAACAGCACTGCCTACTTGAGTTACAACATAGGCAATTGAAGCCTTGGTGACCGAACGCATACCGTGTATACGTGCGTTTCCAGAACATGATGTGAATATGTGTTTGAAAGCCTGTGTGATTTTGTTTATATTGGTGTATTTTACAGTAGATTATCGGCATCAATTCACATTGACAAGAAGACTGCTTCTGAGCAAGCCATTCCAGGAGTCTTCTGCGTTGTAAGAGTAGTTTGCATAAAGCATAATAGGCCACTGGTCACCCAGAACTTGAATCTGCCCAGTCATTAATTTTGTCTTGGTGCTAGAAAATCTGTGAGGTCAAATTAACTAGTTACTAATAGACCAGCAGGTCTTACTTTTCATCAGACCAATCCAATCCTGCAGGACAAAGGAGAAACCCGGTTCGTTCATGGTTTGCTTTTACATTGCGATGTATGTGAGGTGAAAGAGTCTGTCCTTTGGGGGTAATCCAGTCAATTACAGCAGACTTGAGACCTTTGGTGTCATCAGACCTGGCCCCATTTGCGCCTTTCTGGATCTGTATAAAAATATGATGAGGTAGTTGTTGTTTTAGATACTAATAAGATACGATGTACCATATCTGCAATCACAATGATATCTTCTTCTGTAGTTTCCGTAGCCATCAGACGCCTCTCCAGGCTTGGAACAAGCTTCAACAATCCTTTGAATATACGCTGTTCCGCCCTGTCTCTGCAAAGTGAATGTGAATCAATCCAAAGGACTGAGCTTGACAAGTTTAACTTACTCTGCAGTTAAGTTCTCGTCAGGTTCATCTGATGCGATCCTTTCAATGGCATTTTCAATAAGGCTCTGCACATTACAAAATGCATGTATTGTCCTCCCAAAATGATGTCCATGGTGTATCAGAGGATCCTGCGTAGCCCTAAAGTATAAGGTGAGGACTTTTACAGAAATTCCTATATGATTTACGCACACTTTTTTTTGAGGATCCAATTCCAATGTGCTCAGTCGCCTGCTGCATTTTTGAGTAGTAGTATTCGTCCAAGATGTGCGACTCAAAGAGCTTGGTTGGTCCACTTCACTCTCCCCATCAGATATTGTATCACACTAAGAAGACGAGGTTAGTAAAGAGACTGAATGGGTAAAATATGAGTAGTAGTATGCCAAAACGCAGCAGTGTTCAAAGTAGCACTGGGCTGCTAGGTTCACAAGTCCCATAGAATATATATGATATACTTCAAACCACACAATACAAAACATACCAAATCTGAAACCATCCGAAGCTATCCAGTTTGAGAAATTGAGGCTGCATACTAGCAATTACAATTTGAGCTTGATAGATTCCTGTTGAGTTGTTTGATTTGGAAATTTGACCAGAATAGTCAAAGTCGCCGTGTTAAGGGCATGGTTAGCTCTAGCCGCCAACATGACGGAGAGCAGATGTCCTGGGCCCTAGCTGGCAATTGCAGGCTGTATTTTCAAAAAGGATTATTGGAGATATCGACAGAAGATCTTGACCAAAGCAGTAAAAATCACCATATGTAGATGACAGAATTGGTTACAAATATGATGATGTAATGTGAATATCAGTTAGTCATACTATTATCTTGAAGGTCTGGGCTGTGCTTGAAAATGATACTTGTGAATTCGGGGACCCGAGAAAGGCCTGTTACTTGGCTCCTGCAAAAGGAAACTGGTCAATTCTGGAAGTAGAACACAGGATATTCCATATTCTTACCGTAATGCGCAGTTAGTCCAACCACCTAAAAACCTCAGCCTGAGCTGACCTTGAATATCATGATAATGTCCGGTCAAGCTTGAAGACAGGTTTAAAAAGACTTGGAGCTGGCACTTACTTGAACATTATCAGTTGTGCTGTAGCTGCTCTTCTTTGTAAGTTCAAGTTTGTTTAAGCCAATTACAACTGGCACTTACTAACCCTATCACCTTTTGCATTTTGGTGAAACAAAAACTCGCTGGCAGGAATATGACAAGGACACAGAATCAAAGACACATCTCCACCCCAGGTACAAGATCAAACATCTTACTAGTTTTGCGGCCTGGAAGGGATACACCAAAGATATCATTGCAGTGAGTTTCAAGATGTGTAGTTATTAATGGATATGGATTCAATTACTCACAAATTATGCCAGTTTGTTGGGCTGCCTTGAACATGATAGAAACTGTAGAGTAAAGTTCAGAGTCAAATTGAAAGCCGGAGAAGTGGATAGGATGAGTATTGCAGCAGAACAAGAGTCTAATTGCAATCACAGTGCTGAACCCGTGTCTTCACGCTCTTCAATCCACACCAATCACGAGTCACTTCATGGTGAAGATGACCAGGAATTATGTCTAAAGATGAAACTTGGAGTAAAGAAAGCCATGGGTTAAACAGGTAAGCTGTCCATGGATTGAGACGTAAGGTGCAACTATTAATCAGATATTCAACAATTAGGTAGCAATAGTTGTGGGCACAACTCACGTCACACCCATGTGCTTGAATCCAGCAATGCAGGAACAAATACGCTGATCTCCATCCTTGAGGATCAGCCAGCTGTGAAGGCCGAACAGTTAGCAGAGATAGAAGAAAGAGCAAATAATCTATCTTACTAGCTAGCGCTTGCAGAGGGGTTTGGGACACCTAAACCAGAGCAAAGAGGGGATGATTAGCATATTCAAACTTGTGACATTTCTTCATGCTGCCTGAGTCTTGTTGTGCTGTAAGAAATATCATGGATGAAACCGGTATGTGATAAGAAAAATGGGATAACTGTGATAGGACAAGTCCGGTATAGCATGCAGAGGGAGATTACATCGAGTAGGGCACCTGTTCATTGTATTTGTAAGGTATATCGTCCGCCAACTTGTAGGTGTTGCATAACAACTTGAGCGGTCATACTCGAACTACAGGAGAAAAGGATTTTAAGTGTGCAGCTGTCCACCCTGACTTACCTATTAGTCCACGTCAAACTCCGGTGATTCCTCCTTTCCATACATCTCAAACATCTCCAAATCATGTGCCAGCATATTGTCTTCAGCATCCTCCCCTGCTGCTGTATCGTTCAAGTCGTCCAAGTCCCAACCTTCCCTTTTGCAATTTGCTAAGCTCAGTTCTGGATCCTCATCATCAATATTTTTGTCAGCCATGCCAGAATCATTGAAACAGGTTTTAGGAGGGCTGTGTGTTTGATTGGAGTGAGATGAATGTAAATTTGTCCCAACATCACTGACACAATCCTGTGAATGATACGTGGAGGTGCTCTGAGTATGTGGATGACATTCCATGCCCGGCATGTCAGTAGCCTGTGATGACCGGATAAAAATACCCTGAGTGTAAATGTGTCCAACGGCAAGACCCTAGTGATATTGCATTGCCATGTCGTGATCAACAAACCTAACCATTACTTAATTGACTGATTAAATAAAAGTAGTTACAGACATACCTGTTGATATAATATAATTTTGAGTCTTGACCATCTCGCGCGCATCTTGACAAACCAACACCATCCGGGCATGATTTGTCCCTGGCAAAGGCAGGGATAAGATGACAAGCACGAAGCACATCGGTGGGATCAACAAAGCCAAACACATCATTGTCGGCCATAGGAACAAAGCACAATGTAGCAAGTTGATGGGGCTCACAAGCTTGAAGCTCATACCACCTCACCCATAAAAATTCTATCCGTCTGGGTCGATAGTCAATGTTGGTAGAATCAATGGAAATTACATTTGCATGGTAGATCCCTATGACTTGAGCATACAAAAAGGGGTGTGCTGATGATGAGCTAGAGTCGGGGTAAGCCAGCAACATAATATTGCAATAGTTTGTTTGAGGATTGATTACGTCTTGGGCTTGCTGAATGTTGTAGGTCGTGTAGTTGATGCGGAGGATCTTATGGTTGTTTATACGGTCATTCTTGAAGACAATATGCCCCAGCATTGTGCTGGCACTATATCGGAGCAGATCGGCCGATATAGAGGTGTCCACCATGCCAGACTGAAGGTTTGCTGTTGTAAATGAAGGTACTGCTGGGATGTGAGTGCGTTAAAAGAGATGTGCCTTTAACTTCAAGATGAAATCCTGCTCGATGGATAACATTAGTTTCAGTGTATCAAGGGCTTCACAAAATGCCATCACCTTGCCAGCAGGATTTGCATATTTATTTACCAACTTGCCTACGTGCTCTGGAGTATTCTAAGACTTGCCGATAAAATGGTGATCACTCGGCCTAACATTGTTTGCTTCCTGAAGGTTGTCAGTTGCGGTTGCACAATACTTTTTTTAATATAGTAGGCATAGGTGGGCTTGCCGTCGTTCTATACTTGTGAGTTGTTTGATATACTCAACTAGTCCTGGTATATCAAGACTTCCCCATGCAATGTTCTAATTCACCCTGATTTAATAGGATATTGTAAGAAGCATAAGAAAGTAGTAGGGTATGTACTTACTGGCTCTGTAGAGTACACATTTGTAGTGCCAAAACGCCGGATTTGAGCAGGGTAATCTCCAAGGGCATGAAGTTTGTAAGTTCGTAGGTTGAAAGTTTTGGGCCGACATCTAGTATCTGGGACAGCATTGCTGGCGGTTGCAGCATTGGAAGATTTGTTATTTGATGCTTCCTGGATCTGGCGGCACTGTTGAGCATTAGCTTCTCGCTGAAGTTCTCGAGTGCAGAATGCAGGGCATGTTTCACTGGCAAACTTGCGTAGTCCCTCCCCAAAGACTTTGGTTGCTTTTTCTAGAATGGTGATCGTGTAGTCAGTATACATCCGTAATTTGGCAAGAGAATGCCAGTGAACAAGACAAAACAGCAAATGAAGGATTACTGTGTTATATGGCTCTGGTAGTAGGCCTTCAAACACAGGGATTGCGCACTACATATTGTTAGATTGCATTTGTAAGTCAAATACAAGTATGCATACCTGCAAAAAATCCTCAAAATTGTGAGCCGCCATCTTTTTCATCTCAGAGTTACTTTCTAGTTATCGTCAAGTCCCTACTTTCAGAGAGGATACAATCCGACATTTTACGGCCAATAGTCACAATATAGAAAAGCTGCACAACACATACCGCATATCCAATGTATCGACGGGGCAAGTATTCACACATTCAAGGATCTTTAGCAGATGTATGAAAATGGATTTCCATACCCCAAGTTCGAACTCGTGCATGAGGTCAACAACAAGAATGGAATACACATTGAACCCAAATGGACCAAGCTTGTTTGAGAATGCATTCTGAATATGGCATACCGCAATCAGTAAATGTACATGTTCAAGGAACTGGTAAACTTACTAGAGTAGGTACCCTGGACTCGGGCTTCAGGATATCATTGACTCTGACGCTAGTAACTGCATAGTTTGTTAGGCTATGAGAAGACTAAAAGAGAGTATTTCTCAGTCTTATAATCAAGAGACTCATATTGAAGGATAATATACCTATAAGAGAGTATTTCTAATAGTGTAAAGTGAGTATGATGATATAAAGTAAACTGTAAAATAACCAGACATACCTCAGTCTTATAATCAAGAGACTGAGGTTTGTGTAAGGCAGAGTGCTACGAGTTTTTGGAATAAGTGTGGGAAAGTTTTGAGCTTATGTAATGTAGTGGAAAAGCGGTCAAGTAGAGATGAAAGAATGGTGTATGGAAATGAAGAAATAAAAGGATAAAATGATAGGATGTGAGTGTATCATAAACAGGATATGCCAACATAGTTTTGTTCATAGATCATTTTTTGAGTTGTGATGACTTTAGAACATTGTTCACTATTGTCCACGTGTGCTAACAGTGTTTGCCCTTGCATGTCTTCTTCTGACCCAACATTGGGAACATCAACCATGGAGACCAAACAACGGGGGCATGGACAACAGCCAAGATTCCTTATGCTTGCGATCAGAATCCTGTAGCCCAATAAACAATTAGTTATCTGTTAAGGAAGAAGGTGTAAAACTGTACTTCTCTGGATAGTCTGCAGAGTATGTGAAGATGCGTGGATAGAAACATCGCAACACCCCATCACAACACATGATGACAATACCATGTTTGTATGCTTCAAAAAATTCTTCATCAAGAAGAACATTCCATTGAGCATGAAATAGCTCACGGTGACAATGTGTAAAAAAGGCGTCGCTCAGCTTGTTGCCCACATGTTTGGTGGCAAAATCTTTGAATTCATCAGGCAGCTAAGAACAGATGGCGAGTATCAGTAACCATGTCACAGAAGACTGCATAGGACAAACAAACCCTCTCGAAGTAGGCTGCATGATTGCAGAGATTACATGAAGGCTTGGAGTGCCGATACTTTGATTCATTACCAAAATACACGTGGAGAGGCCATAGCTTTGAGTTGCCAAAGGAGGTTAAATGTGTAGCATCCAACCATAGCATAAGTGCTGCGACAACACGTGGCAAGCTGCAGCTAGGCTCTGGAGGTGAATTTTGCGGATCTTTATGGGCCTCTAAAAATGCATCCGAGGTGTATAGCTCACCGTATACATGGCTTTCGCCAGACTGATGAGGTGGACACCACAATAGTTGGTACGGCTCGTGGTGAAAATGACGATCATCCTGTGGGTTCGCAAGCTTTTCACGGATCAAGGACACAAGAGAGCGGTGATACAAGTCCACTACACGACGTTCGCAGGGCCCGGGATTTTGAGACCTGGTATGGAAGGGAACAGTGATAGTTACTGGAGTCTTCTGCCATCCAGCATCTTCCTCTAGCCAACTCTCATCCCTGTCAAGGTCAGTTGTCCCAAGTTTCTTGTTAATATTACGCCAGTTAACATTGCAAACATCTTCAGGTTGAAAGTCTGGACTTCCTACAATATCGAGAAGCCTTTTAAAGCTTTCTTACAACTTTTGGACGCCATCATTCCAATACCAGTTGCCTAGGAGGAACAAATTTTTGTTCGGATAAGGACTGAAAGGCCGCTCATTGTTGGGCTGTGTAGTGTGTCGAGACATTTGCGATACTCGAGTCTCGTCACAGGAGCCTGGATTGTCTGGGTCGTGGGACGGTAGGCTGACACCACAATATTGACAGATGAGATTAAATGTATTCGGTGGTGTACGGAACAGATGAATAAGTTGCGCACCAAAAGACTGGGGACAAGAACTGGGGGTTGAGTCAGATAAAAGGGCACTATCAGAATCCGACATTGAGGCCTGATTAGCATGAGATTTGTTGTTGTCTTCCAAGGGAGAGGTGATGACGGAATGAGGAGGAAGGGGGGACAGTGGTTCTGGTAAAAAATCTTTGAATTGTTGAGGAAGGCGACGGTCAAGCCTGCGAGATCGACGCTGTGCCAAAGGCCGGTCATCTACCTCTGCAACAAAAGCCATATTGGGATCCATCGCAGCAGTTTGAGACTGAAAATGGAATTAGTCACTGATTGAGGAAAAACAAGGTGGTAAATCCATACCTCCGAATTTCCAGTCAACCCTTCTTGATTGCTGGAGTCCACGTCCATATGAGGCCCGCTAACATCATTGTGAAATTGTCTTGATGGATCATTGTTCTCTAGTGTACGCCTTTTTTTCTGCTGAAAAGCTTCTTTTGCCCTAGAGAGTACACTAGAGAGTCGCTTTTTGCCTTTGAGGCACATTTTCTGGTGTTTGCTGAATGCAGCTATGTGCAAAAAGGACCTTCCACAGGTACAAACTTGATGGAACACCTGTGTGCTACCAGATAAAACTGTTCCTTCCATGTTGGAGATCTGTTGTGTAATTTGTACTGCTGGGACTTAGTTATCAACTATGTGAGTTCAAGTAACTGACCTTGAAGCTAAACCCCTGCCAGCACACCCGCTGGATACTACAAATGGCCAAAAAACAGCGAGGTCAACGTGAAGAGGTGCAACGAAGCACTACATTCAAGTTACACCAGCTTAAGAGTGACCGTGACCATCCCATTTTGGCACTTGATCCTTCTCGTTGATCTGAGAACCTGTCGTGGCAGTGACTTGGATACTATCAACAATATATTTCAGTTGTAAGAGTTCAAGAATTGATCACACACTGCACGGCATTTGTGTCCTGCATGTTCTAAAAAGGTCTAATTAAGATTACATACAGAAGGTTTACCAGTGCTGCCATTATTAAATTGCAGATTCCTGGATGCGCACTGCCACTATGCTCTGAGTGTTATATTGAAGCTTTAGTTATTAGTAATAAGCTGAACTAGTGTTACCAGAACAATCCAAAAAATAAAGTACTCGCCGTTGCTTTACCGCCTGCTATATAATGCATTGATTTTCCAACTTTTGGCATTCACTTGCAAGAAACATTGTCGAAAGTCAAGTACCTGGTCCCTGGTGAGCAATATTGATGGCTATCACGGCGGTCAGGAATAATTGGGCAATCTAAAATCCAACCTTCGGGAGTGTGGTGTGCCAAAACCAACTAAAAATGTTTCTCAGTAGCAATGTCCAGGAGTCTAAGCCGAATTTACTGAAACTTGATCTGGAATTTGGTATGAAAGTAGTGAGTAAAGTCCCTGTGATTGTTGCGTCTAGATTTTGGATGTCCACCTAATCCAATGCAATAGTTCAGTCATGATTGGCCTTCAATTACCCAGTGAATCAATTTGGGTCAGATCAAACCGGCCATTGTTGCCGACAAGCCATGACTGTGACCTGGGGATAAACCTACACAAACCACGACAAGGGCCATTCACACTCAACAGACAGGTAATCCTTGATTGGAGAATACATTTCAACTTGACCGAGTGGGCGTCACCTTGACTATAAAAAAGACAGAAGTACATAGGCATAGATGACAAAAAGACCTCCCAGTCCACATATACACATGATCAACCATGACAACTGCATACTTAGGAGACAGAGTAGAATATACACCACTTTGGAAGATTCCAACCAGTTTCTGGATCAGTAAGTGATCATACCGTTGTACTAATATACTATGCTTACCAGCAGGGGAATTCAACTGGCCTTCACAAAATTTTGAAGGAATAAATCACGAGGTATGCTTATCTCCATCCCAAGTTCTTGAACAAGCGTTGTCACCTTGCTACACCGTCGAGAGGCACCTGGAAGCTGGGTGGAAAACAACTTAGCCTCCAAGTGACTCCACCTTGCTCTCCTTTCAATAAACAACTGCTCGATACTACATTCATTCTCTACGGCCTCAGCAAAGTCCATTAGGTTTTCTACAGAAGCGCCGTCTGCTCCCACCTGAAGTGGAATGGCCTACCAAAAAGTAAGTATACTCTCGAAAAACATTCAAAGATGACTCACCGGGGGTGCAATTATACTTTTACCCCTCAATGTGCCATGAGGACTGGACACAGGACTCAGGCTGGACCAAGTACTAGTAGAATTCTTGCATGGACTTTGACAACCCGGTGGGCTGTTGCTCTTTGTTTGTGAACTGCTTATCTTTGGCATTGTAGGAGGATGGAGTTTGAAGTGCAAATGTAGTGCGGTGAGCTAATAATCTTGGAAATTTGGGTGGGTTATTTGTACTAGCATTTCAGGTCCACCCACCCAGACGTATATGTGAGAAACTCACAGGACCCCAAAATGAGAGGTATATAAATGTACTCATACTAATACTCTGAGTCATAATTGTTTAATCCATCCGAGTCCACTGGCAGCGCACTAAGGCAGTTTGAGTTGTCATTAATTCTAATTCAGTCCTATCTACACAGGTCCAATATGTTCAAAAAGGAAGAATCAACTTGTAAAGTAGAAACTGAAGGCTAGCTGCCAAAGGTTTTGGCACCGGTGTGTAACACATGCGGCTTCTAAGGCTTCCTGGAAAGAACTATCATGATCCTGTTTTCAGCTCGGGTCTTCTGATAAGGGCTGTTCCCTGTTCCAAGTACGTGCTTTGTCACTCACGCTGCTTCCAAATTCAGGTTTATATCTGATTCTCTGATGCAGTGAATGCTGTCAAGGGTACATAAAAAATCACCTGCTGCATAATAGTTTCCCTCTTCAAGTTCATTGGGTATGCAAGACCCATTCTCATAACAGCTATTAATCCTCATGGCCATTTGACGCTTGCAAACTGGGGCTATTAAAAAGTCATGGTCGCTGTTGTGTATATTTATATGCTACTTCTACCAACGGTCTTGTATGCATGGTCAGGACATCCGAGTCCATCGTTAACCTTGTGCCTTATTCACTGGCACAACTTCCCAGCTTCCAATAATCTTGCAATCATCTGGGCCGGACTCTTACCCTTCGATGTTATCAAGACATAATAACTAATTTTCAGGTTGGAGCAGTGTTACCTCAACCTGAGGTTGAGGGCTTCAGGACCAAGTCTGTGAGTTGTTTCTTTTTGCTCTGTTCTTTTCTTAGCACTGGCATCTTTTGGGGTGCACTGGCCCTTTAAAATCCAATCTGTACCAATGCATAGGCTGATATGATAGGTCAGTGCAAAGGAGACATATTTGTATCAACTTGCTTAGCCTCAATTGGTGCTCGACTCGCCACCATGTCCAATCCATCATCATCAACATCCACAGGCAACATTGACAAGACTGACAATGTATCATTTCAAGTCCCTGGCTCTCTACAAGATCTTAGCAATGCTGGCATTATACCCAGCTCCTGTTTCTACAATGGTTATTTCGATGAAGTTATTAGAAGACTTCACAGCCGTTATGATTAGGAACTTGTTCACGTCATAGCTGCTAATATATTTGGCCTGGACCATATTCCCGCTCATGGTGAGCTATATGTCATCACACTTGGGTGCTAAAACTCTCGCTCATCACCACTCTAGATTACTCTCTCTTGACTTCAGCATCTGCGATCACAGATGTGGGGGCACCTTTTGCAGCTGAAGATGTGGAAACTCAAGGTGCTGGAGCCATCAATGTTGCTCCCAACTTAGATCTACTTTTGGTGGCAGAGTGTTTATTTGACGGAGATGGCGATCTGACTTGGTTGGGGGGTTTAGTAGTCTTACACGTCAGTTGTCCATATCCTTTTCATCCTTACCGTATTGACATTGGCCTGTTTTGTAGAGTTTCAATTGTCTGACCCACCACTTGCACTTCAAGAGTCGGCATCTGCTGATGAACCCCAAGAACCTGCATCTGATCCTGTACTCTCTAGCACACACCGCTCCCGTAATCAAACTTTACACTGTTGTCCAGAACTCCTGCACTTACACCTGTCACTACACCTGCACATTGACAAAACTGGATAAACCCGGTCTCTGCCGAAGCAGCCATTGTTCTCCATGGAGTCACCATTGTTCTCCTAGGAGTTATTATACTATAGCAAGTAGCACCTCTGACTATAAGTAGTAGGGGGTTTAGTATAGAAATACCTCAGTCATTTCTATAGCCTCTTGGGCAGTGGCTGAGTTTCACATAGTTTTATTACGTTATGAGCCCTGGTGCGCAAAAGCTACGCAGGAAATAATTCTTATTTGAAACAGCAACTTTGGAACCATGACCACAGCAAACAATACATCCACATGTCCAGTTCTCACTGGACCCAACAATTTTCAGATATAGAAACTCCGGATCATCTCAAAGCTACGTCGGGAAAAAGTTCTCCGGGTTGTTACTGGAGAGGAGCTTAAGCCCTCACCAGGAAAACCTACCTCCTTGGAGGATCCTGAAATCACCTGGATACTTAAGGATGAGAAGGTACATGGAATCATCCAGGACCACATCTCTGATGACCTCCTAATGAGGACTGGAGACCTCACCAGCTCCAAGGAGTTATTTGATAAACTTGTCTCACTCCATCAAACATCCAACATTGCCTCGGCCTTCTATTCATTCCAGCAACTCACCAAATTGTCCTGGGATGGGACATCACCTATCCAGGACCACATTGCGAAAATCCGGACAATTGATTCACACCTCTCCGGAATGAAACTAGGAGTTGATACCAAACTCATGGCCTTCGCTCTTCTCCAATCTCTCCCATGCACTCCTGAATGGCAAATATTTCAGTCATCGGTAATCAACACAATTGAAGAAAATAAACTTACCTTTGATGCAGTTGAGATCCGGATCACTGCAGAAGTTGCACGACAGTCAGGGAAGGCCCCTGGAGGTTCCAAATCAGCACTCAAATCCAAGGAGAAGTGGTGTGACTTCCACAAAGCTAAATCACACAACACCTTGGAGTGTCAAACACTTCAGTCAGCTGAAAAAGGTCAAAGGAAGAAGGGAAAGGAAAGACACAAGGATAAAGGAAAAGAGAAGGAAAAGGCAAATACAGCAGAGCAATCATCTGGATCTGACTCCAAGGAGGAACAGAGTCATATTGCATTGGAACATGTACATATTTCCAAGCCCCTTGCTAAACGCATTCAAGCTTACCTTGTGTCGGAACCCAATAAGACCAAAACAACAATCATCATTGACTCCGGAGCAACATCCCACATGGTCCCTCACTGCTCCTGGTTTGAGCCAGGAACATACCATGTTCTGCATCCTCCAAGGACAATCAGTTTTGGGGATGAATCCTCTGTAAATGCCATTGGCATTGGAACAGTAATTCTACAAGCAACTGTTGGCAAAAAGGACTACAATATTGCACTGTCAAATGTCTTACTTGTGCCAAACTTCACGTTAGCACTTGTCTCTGTGCACAAATTGTCCAAAACGGGGTTATCAACACTTTTTCCAGCAGGGTCAAATGCTTGTGAAGTTTGGAAAAAGGAGGAACTTATCCTCACTGTGTTACACAAGCGAGGACTTTATCACATCCAAGCAAAACCCGAAATTAACCCGGAGTCAGCTTTTGCAGCAGTAGATGTAAATTTATTGCTCAGGAGAATGGGACACATTGGAATGGACCGTATCCTCACTGTGTTACACAAGCGAGGACTTTATCACATCCAAGCAAAACCCGAAATGGTCTTATTGGGTTCCGACACAAGGTAAGCTTGAATGCGTTTAGCAAGGGGCTTGGAAATATGTACATGTTCCAATGCAATATGACTCTGTTCCTCCTTGGAGTCAGATCCAGATGATTGCTCTGCTGTATTTGCCTTTTCCTTCTCTTTTCCTTTATCCTTGTGTCTTTCCTTTCCCTTCTTCCTTTGACCTTTTTCAGCTGACTGAAGTGTTTGACACTCCAAGGTGTTGTGTGATTTAGCTTTGTGGAAGTCACACCACTTCTCCTTGGATTTGAGTGCTGATTTGGAACCTCCAGGGGCCTTCCCTGACTGTCGTGCAACTTCTGCAGTGATCCGGATCTCAACTGCATCAAAGGTAAGTTTATTTTCTTCAATTGTGTTGATTACCGATGACTGAAATATTTGCCATTCAGGAGTGCATGGGAGAGATTGGAGAAGAGCGAAGGCCATGAGTTTGGTATCAACTCCTAGTTTCATTCCGGAGAGGTGTGAATCAATTGTCCGGATTTTCGCAATGTGGTCCTGGATAGGTGATGTCCCATCCCAGGACAATTTGGTGAGTTGCTGGAATGAATAGAAGGCCGAGGCAATGTTGGATGTTTGATGGAGTGAGACAAGTTTATCAAATAACTCCTTGGAGCTGGTGAGGTCTCCAGTCCTCATTAGGAGGTCATCAGAGATGTGGTCCTGGATGATTCCATGTACCTTCTCATCCTTAAGTATCCAGGTGATTTCAGGATCCTCCAAGGAGGTAGGTTTTCCTGGTGAGGGCTTAAGCTCCTCTCCAGTAACAACCCGGAGAACTTTTTCCCGACGTAGCTTTGAGATGATCCGGAGTTTCTATATCTGAAAATTGTTGGGTCCAGTGAGAACTGGACATGTGGATGTATTGTTTGCTGTGGTCATGGTTCCAAAGTTGCTGTTTCAAATAAGAATTATTTCCTGCGTAGCTTTTGCGCACCAGGGCTCATAACGTAATAAAACTATGTGAAACTCAGCCACTGCCCAAGAGGCTATAGAAATGACTGAGGTATTTCTATACTAAACCCCCTACTACTTATAGTCAGAGGTGCTACTTGCTATAGTATAATAACTCCTAGGAGAACAATGGTTACTCCATGGAGTGGTGGCTATGCTCCATGGAGAACAATGGCTGCTTCGGCAGAGACCGGGTTTATCCGGTTTTGTCACATTCTAGTGGTCAAATTCTATGAATCCCACAAATACACAAAGCCCCAATATGGGTATGCTGAACCCATCAACCTGCAGTATTGGTACAACTTACAAAAGGATGACAATATCAAATATGGCCCTCTGAGGACAGCTGATGATGTAATGTGGGCGGGTAGATTTGTGGTGGATATGTACCTGTATGAAAAGGACCCAAAAGTAGTAGGAAAGGAGGACTATACACTGGATCTTCCTATGCCCATAGTATTGGTGCGTCCCCTTTTGATCTCAACCTTCTTTGTCTAATATAACATACATACAGAGGGTAGTACCTAACATAGATGTGGGCCAACTCTATCCCACTCAAGCCCAGAAAGACGACTTCGACAAAGTTTTCAATCGTGTTATTACCAGGTCAATTTTGGAGTTGGAGAATATTATGAGGAGTGCACCCCAGACTGTTGCTAACCTAAAAGCTGAAATTGCAGCTGCTCAGATTGCAGCACTAGAGGTTGCTACCCATGATTTGATAGTAAACTGCACTCTGTGTCCTCCTCAGAGTGGTACCCGTTCACGCACCCCCACCACTACTCTACCTACTCCCCATTTGCACCCCCAAGTGTTGCCTAAAGAGATATCTCCCATCAATCTCTCAGTCTTCAAAGTCCAGCTGCATTTTGATCATTTTCTTCAGGCTTTTCAAGGATCCATAGCTGATCTGGCACATAGACATTTTCAGGATCATTATAATGCCCCCCGAAGTTGTGCTAAGGCAGCTAGGAGAAGGAGTCCTTTTCACTCTGAAGAAGAAGTGGGTTGGCCTGTTCAACAGAAATTGGGTGTAGGTAGCTCCAGCAACAATGTCACAAGGAGGAAGTGAAACACGTACACGGACAACACATCATATGTATTACTTCTCTTGTTTTTGTACTCTGTGCTTGTAAATAATATGGTACTTAGACATATACAACTTCTCTTTGTATTAGAATAAGCAAATTTTGTGTGTTACCTATTTCTGATTCGGGATATTGCCGGTGCAGATTGAGGTATTGTGTCTTGACAGCATATTTACAAACAGGTCCTAGATAATCAAAGGTATCAATTTCATATTAACTGATGTTATTATTTCATAAACTGACTGGATGTGTATGGTGTAATTTGGGTTCAAGGAGAAAAATGGCACATGTACCAAGTATGGTTGATCGCACATGTCCTGTGTGTGTAACCACCAAGAGTTTGTTACTCTGGTGCACAACTCAGACAAAGCTATAAAGATAGTGAGGGGAGTGGTTACCCTTAGGATAGAACCAAGTTAGTTGTGGGTAAACAACAGGAGGACTCGCTGAGGAGTCTCCTTGATCTATCGGGGTACATATACTACTACAGGTTGTTTGTACATGTGTATAATACAGTTGATGGGAGCAGTGGCTGATGATGTCAACAGGCTGTGTGACCAGCTCCACTACGTGAGAGACTTTGTAACTAAAAGTAAAGAAAAGCAGTGCAGCGTGAGAAAGTGGAGTTTGAACAAAATGGAAAGTGCCACATGGCACAGTGTGTGAGAACTACACAAGAAAGTTAAAGAGGAGAATGAAAATTAAAGGTCTGAAAATTGTGTATTGTAACAGTGTGTGGAAAACTTTTGAAAACACTGCAAGGTGTCATGGCTCACCTATCAATATCAGTGATGTGTGCTTGGTATAGGAAAGGAAAGAGGAGAGAACTTGAGGCAGACAACCTCCTGAACAAGTAGTATTTGATGAAGTCAACTTGGATGAAAATGTTTAAAATCAAGAAGACTATGACTCAGATGGGTCAGAAGATATATTCCTCAACAGCTTACAAGAACCATATAAAAATTGCAAGACAACACCCAGGATAACTTGAACCCTGACTCAGAGATGCAGGCTGGCAGTTTACATCACCCAACTCCCTGCACTTCAATCTGGATGACAATGATGATGATGAAAGTGTAGTGGAACAAAATAAGAATGCTGGCAAGGTTATAAGGGTGGATCTGAATGCTCCTAATAAATGGAGGGAGAGTTTTCACCAGTTTAATCAAGATGATGATGAGATGGATGTTGATCTTCCAGATGATAAATGGGCTCTATTTTCCACAGAATTGGATTAGAAATTTGCACATTGGGCATTGCAGGAGGGAGTTGGTCAGAAATCTCTTGACAGATTACTGGCAATTCCTGAAGTGAGTGATGCCTCCGCACTTTGATTCATGTTTTATGTTAACTGACCTCCAACCTTTACAACAGCTTTTCCAGATACTGTGCCTTTCTTATCAAAATAGCAAAAGCCTTCTAAAAATTATTGACTCCAAAATTTTTAAAAGGGCCAAATGGCACTCAAAATATCTACACTTTGATGATCATCCAGAAGAAAAACACCTTATACAATATAGAGACCCCTTATAAGCCATTGCATCTTTGTTGGGCAATCCAGCACATGCAAGAGACATAGTCTATAAACCCTCAAAAATATTCACAAACAGCAACAGGGATGATTGTATATTCAATGAGATGTGGGCTGGAAAATGGTGGCATTCTGTACAGGTTAATATATTCATGCCAATGGTTGCTTTCTGAATTTCATACTTATTTCTTTGATTTTAGGCTCTTTTACCTCAGGGAGTATCTGTTGCTCCTGTTATAATAGCAACAGACAACACTCAGTTGACTCAGTTCTCAGGCAACAAGTCTGCATATCCGGTGTATCTTACACTAGGCAATATACCCAGCTCTATTAGGTGCAAACCCTCTCAGCACGCTTGTGTACTTATTGGATATCTGTCTGTCAATAAATTGGTGAAAAAAGGCTTGACAACAAAGGAGAAGACAGCATGTGTTCAAAGACTTTTCCATGCCTCAGTACAGATGATTTTTGAGCTACTTATTGAGGCTGGATGTAAAGGAACGGAGGTTACAGGTGGAGATGGTGTAGTGAGAAAACTTCACCCTATTCTTGCTTGCTATGTTGCCGACTATCCAGAGCAATGTCTGGTGACTTGCTCAAAGTATGGAATATGTCCCCAGTGTAGGTGTCCAGCAACAGACCTTGAAAATAAAGCAGCTGGGGAACCTAAGATATCTGACTGGACTCTCTCTATTATTAATCAAGCCTCATCTTTAAAGTCAAGAAGGGAACTTTTTGATTAATGTATGGATAAATATGTATCTGGAGGTGTTTACAGGCTATTTTGGGAAGGATTTCCCTACTGTGATATTCATCTTTGCATTACCCCCAATGTCTTGCATCAGTTATATCAAGGTGTCGTTAAACATCTCATCTCATGATGCCAAGATTTTATGGGTACAGAGGAACTGGATACAAGAATATGCACTTTACCTCCTGCATATGGATCAAATCATTTCAAAAATGGCTTATTGGCTCTTTCTCATCTGGAGGCAAAAGAAAAAATATGGCCAAGGTACTTTTAGGATGCCTTGTAGGAAAACTCCTCAAGCAGGCAATTATTGCAATTAGATCACTTTTGGACTTCATTCACATTGCTCAGCAATACAATCCTTGGATATCTATCAGATGTTCTTAAAATATTTCATCAAAACAAAGCAATTTTTGTCACTCTGGTTGTTAGAGAAAATTTGAATATTGCTAAATTTCACTCTCTATTGCATTATGTTGACTCTATTCACTGGTTTGCGGCTACAAATAACTACAACACAGAAATGTTTGAACATTTCCACATAGACATGGCCAAGGATGCATAGAGAGCATCAAATCATAGAAATGGGCATCCACAAATGACCACCTGGCTAACAGGAAAACAAAAAACTGCGTGGTTTGAATGTGATCATTGGTCTTTACAAAATAGACCAGTTCTACATCAGCAAAATATTCTCCAGAATCTATCTGCCTTAGGTATTAAAATAGCCATAGTATCTCCTCTTCCATGACAACCCCTTTAATCAATTCAACAAAACCACCAATGTCATGGCTTGATATGTGATATCAAGGAGTTTCTGAATTGCCAAATGCATGGTCAGCCAGGTTATATGTCCAGAAATCAAGTCAATATTGCAAATCTCCCAATTGATTCACTTGATATATTTATTAGTTTTAGATTCACTCCAATTCACCTTGGAGATGATGCTAGTGCAAGTGTAAAGTACGAAGTCATCAAAGCAAGACCTAGGTCCAAAGGAAATACCCCACAGTTTGATAATGTTGTTGTATTAGACTCATTAGAAGCAGAGTCAACAGGCGTTGCTAGTAATATTCTTCTCTAATTTCATAATCAGTTTCAAGTCGTGAATTAATGACATAGGTACACATATTGGAAGAGTTAAAGTAATATTCAAGCTCCCTGCCATTTCTCATGGTGGTTCTGTTGGTATACCAAAACATTGGCCCAAAATTCCATTAGCATACATTAAATGGTACACCAAGTTGAAAGGTAGTGCAGATGCTGTTAGTTTTGGTGATTCTGCACCTTTGTGCTACCTATATATTTTCATTCCTTTCTCTATCTATTCTTCTATCATTCACTATTGATTATGTTCTCTATTATTTCGCCTTTGTGGCTGCTTTGTTTACCTTTGTTTACAAAACTTCGGACAGTACTGCAGAGTCCAATGCTTCCTATTCTCTAGTTACTCACATTGGACTCTAGGTACTGTATACCTGTTATACTCTCTAATAATTTAGTTACTCACATTGGACTCTAGTTCCAGTCCCTGATTGCTCTCAGCAAGTGGCTAGACACTTCCTTCAAGCTTTGTTCTTAATAGATGCAGCTTATATAATGTATGTGGCTACAAAACCTGCACTTAGAGCTGATGGTACTCCACCAGCTTCCATAGTACTATTCAGCAGTATACAACAAGGCTGCCACTTGTTGCCTTTGTTTGGAAAAAATCACGTGCCTGCAAATTAACATAAGAACTATGCCAGATGCTGGGCATCAGACCTACATTATCAAGGTGTTTTATCCACAAACAGATGGACAAATAGAAAGACTCAACCAGGAGTTGGAAAAGTATCTCCGTATATCTATTGATGACAAACAGACAGATTGGGCCAAGTGGCTACAGATAGCCCAGTTATTTTTGTCAAACAGTCATTGGCTACAAGAAAAACACTATTTGAGGTTACAAGGTTGTACCTCCCCAGAATGGGTATAGTGTTGGTGATTCTGCACCTAGTTGTGCTATCTATTTTCCCTTCTTTCTAAATCACTTTCCACTTTATTCTTTTTGCTGTATTGTTCAGTATTCACTGAGCATTCTATAATTTTGCCTTTGTGGCTGATTTGTTTACCTTTGTTTACAAAACTTCGGACTAGTATTGCAGAGTCCAGTATTCCTATTCTTTAGTTACTCATGCTGGACTCTAGGTACTGTACACATTCTGTACTCTCTGATAATATAGTTACTCATACTGGACTCTAGTTCTGTCCCTGTTAGCTCTCAGCAAGTGGCTAGACACTTCCCAGAAGTTCTCAATTGAACATATAGAACCTGGCAAGGGAAAGAACATGGCTACCAGGACTATGGTCAAAAATATGAAGTCTGTTCTAGACAAAATGTGCAAGGCACTATACAACACTGCAGAGCAGATGTAAGACAGGGCAGAGCGTAGATGCTCTAAGGCCCCTGATTACAAGGTTGGTGACCTGGTCTGGTTAAACACCGACCACTTAAAAGCAAAAGACTGGCAGTCTAGAAAACTGACCAAAAAGTGAATTGGCCCTCATTGGATTAAGGGAGTCAATCCCAATACAGTGGAGCTGGAACTCCCAAAACAAATGAGGGTAGTACCCATGATCAACATTAACCGTGTAAAACCCTACTAAGGGCCACTGCCGGGACAGTGCGTAAACCAGCCTAGACCGGTTATAGTCACCCAGGAAGATGAAGAAGAGTTTGAAGTTGAACAAGTGGTGGATACATATTTGAAGCGTAGAAAATTAGAGTTTCTGGTCCTCTGGAAAGGCTATGGAGACAAGGACAGAATGTGGGAACCAAAAGCCTATCTGGACAATTCCCGCAATGTTGTTTGAGAATTTTATTCTAAGAATCCCTCAGCTCCTAAGAAGCTTAGAAGCATGAATGTAAACCTTTCTAATTCTCTTTTTCAACCTATGCCTAATTATTTCACTACTACCTCCAGAACTTGGCCTCACCTGAAAGTCAAGTCTTTAGGGGGGAGGGGGGTGAGGGGGCGTTACAATACACAAATATCGGACTTTTGACTTGTAGTCTCCTCTTTAACTTTCTTTCTCTTCTGGATACTTGTGCCATACAGCACTTTCCTTTGTTTTCAAGTCCCACTTGTATCTTCATTTTCTCATGCTACACAACTTCTAGCAACTGTATATTACACATGTATGTACTATTAGTATCATCATCTTCCCCTAGGGCCTGCTTTAGGCCCAATATCCTGATGCATAGGTCTAAGGATGGGAGCTTCAAAAATGATAATTGCCAAGAAGAAGATATTGACAAGGAGATCTCTCTGAACTCTATTCCTAAATATCATTACCTGTGATTAACAAGTGATATTAGTATACTGTGCATTGAGGTAGGCAAAAGCCTCACTTGTGAACTGGAACTCATACAAAATATCCAGTCCAGTGCAATATTACCTTCAAGTTCAAGTTTTGTCATTATGTGCCAATCTAATGTATGCATCATATAGCAAACACGGCACTGTACTAGTATGTAATAATAACTGTATTGAACACTGAGTAGTGCTAGTGGTGCTGACTGGTATGACTTAATATTGGAGAAACATTCCTTGAAAGCTGTTGTTGGACTCCAGAAAGTCACAATATTGTAACTAAATGGTAACAAGTTCAAAATATGAGTATGGTTAATATTTGATTATTAGCCCACCAAAGTTGGATAGCCATGGTAGTACCTGTCATTGACATCATGCCACATTGGTTCACTCATCATATATTAGGTAAGCAAGGATGGCTGGTCAATCACCAGTAACTCCAACTTAAACTTGAAATTATTGGTGACTCCACTGTGACAAGCTTAGTTGGTAGTCCTGTCCGTGGTTCAAGATCATCATGGATAATGGTGTTAAAAACATAGTACAGGATTGTTGAATCCACCATATATATATTGATAGCAGCAACTTGAACTTGGGGCAGAGCTTATCCACTAGCAGGCACTTGCTTGTGTCTTAAATGCCTGCTTACTTGCTGTTTGAGGCAGTGTGTTCAGGCCAGGTTCAATGTGTTATATATGTCCTGTAATGCATGTGATGTTTGGCTATTATGTCCTGTAACACTTGTAACACACCTGTGAGTCTTGATGTTACTCCTTGTGGCTGTATTACATCATGTGGTTGACATAGAGTGATAATGGTGATGGTGATGTAGCCAAGTCTGTAATCATCCACATTACCACACTACTGACTAACCTATTTTGGTCCAAAGGATGAATCCTCACAGCATCAACTTGAAAGGGACCGGTTTATTCAAGAGATGTACAAGGCGCCTGGCAAAGCCTTTATTGTAGGCTAACTAGCTGTGTGATCACCGGGAATTATCACAGCTAACTAACATTATTGTGCGGGAATTACAGGAGGTCTTAACAGAATATAATAGAACATTACAGAAATGTTTACCTATATTTATATTAACTGTACAGTGCCACATGTATTTAGGTATAAATACCCTTGCAATAGATGGAAACTCCTCAGCAAGTCCTCCTTATATACCAATGACAAACTTGTTCCTAGTATCCTGAGTCTACCGCTTGAGCTTACCTTCACCACTACTCCTTGAGTTACTGTGTGTGTACCAGAGTCTACAAACTTTGGGTATTGTTACACCTCCCAGTAGATTTCCAGGGTTTGTTGTCTGATTCACAATGTGATGTCTCATCATCTAGACCTGACTGTCCATTTGGTGCCACTTGAGCAACCAAGCAGCTTTGTTGCTCCTTATGTACTACTCACAATGTCTTCAGTCTTTTTTAACAGTTTTTTGCAGAAATATTTCCCTCAGATGACCCTGAGGAAGCTGTCAAAATGGATGATCTATCAAACACCAACAACACACACCCCAGTCATTCTAGTCTGTGACAATCCACTTCAACTCTTCTTCCTTTCCCAAATTACCACTTATTCTGTCTGTGGGAGTGGTATTGGAATGACAGTGTGCAGAAATCACAAGCCTCATTTAATGAGCTTCTTTCTATAGTTGGCAATCCATGTTTTCAACCACAAAAGACTTGTAACATTGATTGGGGCCTTGTGGATAAACATCTAGCTAGTGATAATGTTCAAGAATAAATGGATAAGGATGCAGGGTGGACCTGAACTCCTGTCAGCATATTGGTTCCTTTTCACAGGAAAACAATTCGTCCCGGCTTACAGGAATATGTTCACACTGATTTTTCCCACCGTCACATAGTATCAGTTATGCATGAAAAGTGAGCTAACACCAATAGCAGTCTTTTCCACTTTGAGCCTTATCAGCTTCTCTGGCAGAAAGGAAATCAAGATCCTGTACAGAATTATATACATTACAAGCCTTCTTTGATGCCCACCATAAACCTCAAGAATCTCCAGGAGAACTGGGCAGAAATATGTATCTGTATGAAGGATTGTGATTGTAATATTTATGATACTACTGCTGCACCAGCATCTCCCTTGGAGCGTGGCCCCAGCAAGACAACTACTAGGGTGCTTAATTCTGGTAAAAATAAAAATAAATATAGAGAATTGTAAAATAGAAAAACAAGTTTCTCTTAATATTTAAGTTTCTTCTTCATCGGAGCCACTTCCCACAGAAATCCCAAGGTGTGTGTTGATGTGCACATATTTATTCCAAAAGGAGATCTGTTTAGACATTGGTGTAGAAAGCCTTGCCCGGGGCATAGTACACCCAACCAGTGCACTGCTTGATTCAGGCGCTAACAGAATCTTCATAGATTAGGTCTAGGCAGAGCAAATTGGACTCCCCCTTGTAAAATTAGATATATCTATTCCTGTCTATAATGTTAACGGTACACTTAACACTGGTGGCTATATTATGCACAAATATTCTTTTGTTGTCGAGTACCAAGGACACAGAGAAGGAGTCACTGCCGAAGCTACCCAACTAGGGAAGATTAATTTAATCTTAGGCTGGACCTCGCTATTTAAACACAATCTTACTGGCAGACAAGGGTTGTCACATTGCCCTCAGGAGTGTGATGACTTGGGTAAGCCGAGTCATGCCCATCAAACTGAGCTTAATGAAAGGATAAACACTGGTCACGTTTATGCCAAGCTCAGATCTTTAGATAAGATTGACAATGACAATGACGAGGTAAAACCTGAGGAAGAGATTATGAGACTGGTACCTCCAGAGTACCATGACTTCTGGAAAGCCTTTTCAAAACATAAATCAGAGCGCTTCCCAGAGGCTAAGCCTTGAGACCATGCTATAGATTTGAAGGACACATTTAAACCTAGAAAAGGACACATGATTCCCTTCTCTGCTCCAGAAAGAGATGAGGTTTCAAGTTTCATAGATGAACAGCTCAGGAAGGGTTACATCAGACCTTCCAAAAGCCCTATGATGTTCCTGGTGTTCTTCATTCCTAAAAAGAATGGTAAGATACATATGATTATGGACTATTGTTACTTGAATGAGTACACAGTTAAAAATGTGTATCCACTGCCTTTGATTAGTCAGCTAGTAGACAAATTGGCTGGCGCCAAGATCTTGACAAAGATGGATCTCAGATGGGGGTACAATAATGTATGCATCAAAGAAGAAGATGCTTGGAACATCAGGAAAAACCTAGTTGCCTTTTATAGTTATCATAGCCACCATAGTGCTATATAGGGAAAATAGTAGCTATAGTACGCCTAGACAAGTCCCTATTATATAGCTCTATATAGCAGCACTATTTTGAGCCATTTGCTATGCCTGCTATAGTAGCACATTTGTGATATACATTGTTGCCTTTACTTTGGCTGCTTTCATAGATTATAAGATATATCATAATTCTGGATTCTTGTTTCAAATCAATCATACTAAATTTACTTTTACTATAGCATATAGCAAACTGTCAGAATTTATTCCTAATACTGTTGTATGACATGCATAGAGTAAACTACTGTAATGAAGTGAACCCCCACAAACTAGAAAGTTCTCTCAACTTCCTGTTTGGTCTTAAGATACTTATTCACTATGGACAACATTCAATATTATTGTATAAATACACTTTGACAATACTCACAGAATTTCATGAATAACTTGACAAGTTTTCTTTATAGTTTGTCAAGCCTTGATGAATAGTGCAAGCATCTGGTAAGTGATTATAAGTATAGGTATAGATATAAGTGGAGGAACGTACTTTGGCTTGTTAACCTATTCACACCTATTCAGAAAAAGATAAGGTGGTCAAACACACTTTGGAGTAGTTGTAACATACCTTAGTGATAATTGAAGCAATAGTGTATGCTGCTACTACCAGCTGATGATGTAGTGGTGGGATATGTTGGGTATTGATATGGCACTGGTGCCAGTGGCCACTGTGAATAGAGCAGAGCTAATTTTGGTACCTTATAAGATAGTTATTAGAAAAAATTACACCTAGAGCTAATAGCATACTTGTTAATGTTATTGCAAATTCAAAGGAAAGAAGGATGTGCAGGACTCTAAAGCGCAATGGTGTACCATTGTGATGTGACATGTAACATCACACTAGTGCCACGTGTAACAACCAAGAGTTAGTTACTCTGGCGCACACAAGAACACACTATAAAGGTAGTGATGAGGGAGTGGTTACCCCTTAAGCTGCAGAGAGTTTGTTGGTATACAACAGGAGGATTTGCTGAGGAGTCTCCTTGATCTATTGGGGTATTTATACTAATACAGAGTGTTTGTACCTATGTACTGTACAGTTGATAAAAGCAGTGGCTGATGATGTCAGAGGGCGCAGCCCGTGTGACCAGCTCCACTGCATGAGAGAGTTTGTGTCTAAAAGAAGAACAAAGGCAGCGCTGCACAAGAATGTGGAGTTAGAACAAAAAAGGAAAGTGCTGCATGGCACGGAGTGTGAACTATAGTAAAAAGGTTAAAGTGGAGAATGAAAATTAAAGGAAAGGTCCAAAAATTGTGTTATCGTAACACCACGTATGTATCGAGAGCTGACTCTGAAAAATATGTGGCACTCAAATCTAATCTAATCCTGAGAAGTGTGTGAAAATAGACAGTGACACTGTCCATTTTCACACACTCAATTATAGTGTTCAAAGTTAGCTGCTGGAAAATTTGCTTTGGTGCCACATATTCAAACTCCGCTTAAATTTATCCTTGTGCGTCAAGCAAGACACTTCAACTTTGATGCAATATTAATAGTATTCTCTAGTACCCATACAATTAAATATTTTGGATATTTGTGATAGATTTTTTTAATAAAACCATTAGGCTAAATTACTTGCATACCAAACCATTGTATGAATAATAGGGGCATTCTCATCAGCACCAGAAAAATGTCTCATAGAAATTAACAAGCTATATAGCTTCTATAGCTGCTATAGCATATATAGCATCTATCATAGCAATGCCTGGTTGCTGAAGTGTGTAGACAATATTTGGACACTTCAGTCACCCCCAAAACATAAGCATTTAGCTTCAACTATCTGTGTAAATGTATAAAGCTAAGAGCTTGTTTTTCCTGGTATCATCCCAAGTGCTCCAGCAAGGATGGGATCATCCCAGAAGTGGGATAATACCACCCTTCTGGGATTTTCCCATGGTATCAGACCATTTGTTATGGTGGGATAATCCCATTAGATGGGATAATCCCAGACATTTGCCACATGTCACATGATGTCAGGGGGGCTTTACTGCAAAAATAGTTCCTGCATAAATGTAGCCAACATCAATACATTATCAATAGTACTAATAGCCATGAAGCAGAATACAATACTACCTGCTTTCATCATTTATAACATATATACAAATTTCAAATGGTGTTTACTCTCAATTGAACCTTAATTTGTCCAGCTTCTAGTGTAATATCATATACTATAGATTGATGGAGGAGACTTTGACCAAAGGTTAGTGTAACTAATTGTGACATATAACCATTTACAAATTAACCTGATTTAATTCAGTTGATTAGGAGATAATTCAACCATATCTCTTTTCCTTAACTGACTATATAACTTTGTCATTTCTACTTATCATATAATTTACTGCATATCACAAAGTAGATTTATCTACCCTGGATTTCTATCAATGTTACTTAAAATGGCTTATAGTCAAAGGAATACAAGATGTTTGACAATACCAAGCATATACATCTGCAGGATTACAATACCTCTCATTCAGGCTCATCCAACTTTAAATAATGTAACACTCTTGCAACCAGGCAAAGATATGTCACAAATCCATTTAATGTGCTGATCCAAAAGATATGATATTTTTTTGAATTGTGCAGCTTTATCCAAGTGCCTGAACTGAAAAATGCACAAAGATACCAGTCCGAGTAAGTACTACATATTCATTATCCTTCCCTCTGCTGCATCATTGTCAAAGGCAGAACATGTCTTGCATGAGACAAATTGCTGGCTCTTTGTGGCAGCCCAGCATCCACAAGCCAACACCCATTTTATCCACTATATGTCCCCACGCATACAATTGATTATAAATTTTTGTGAAAACAAAAATGGCTGAAAGGTGTGCTCTGCATGCTTATGCAATTTCATGTGACTTGGGATGAACCTACGTGAGGGCTACTCTGAATCACTGTCCCAGTTCAACCTTAGGTTCATCCAGGTCCTACCATAACATAATAGTTGGTTTACAAACAAAATACTGCAACATGTAAAAAATGGAAACTGCTGGAAAAGGACAATAATATTTTAAGCTGCTGGGAACTTACCTATGATTATATGTTACAGAATAACCTTAGTGCATTTCAGGAGTATTTTCCCCTGTCATGCTGAGTCACCAGCAGCCTAAGCATGCTATTCGATAATTCTGTTCCTGTTGTGGGATCTCCCTGTCCTATTCTGACTCAGGGTGATCTTGTCCCCTGCTTGGATTTGTCTGTGATGTAGTGAGATGATCCTATGTAATTTGGAGATTTTTCTAGATCAGATTGAACTGGAATGATCCCATCTCTTTCCAAGACTTTCCTTGGCTGGTTTGGGATGATGCTTTACCCTTCAGGCATTGGTCCATATCAAATTGTGATGATCCCATCCCATTTGGTATTTGTCCACATTTAACTGGGATCATCCCCTTTTTTGCTGGGATTTTCCCAGATTGGTTTGAGATGACCCTATCCCCCCTTGGTATTTGTCCATGTTGAACTGAGATTTTCCCAGATTCAATTGGGATCATCCCATCCTCTTTTGGTATTTGTCCATGTTAAACTGGTATCATCCCATCTCTTGCTGGGATTTTCCCAGATTCAATTGGGATCATCCCATCCTCTTTTGGTATTTGTCCATGCTTAACTGGGATCATCCCATCTCATTTGGTATTTGTCCATGCTTAACTGGGATTTTCCCAGATTGGTTTGGGATCATCCCAGATTGGCTTGGGATTATCCCATCCTCTTGTGGTATTTGTCCACATTGAGCTGGGATCATCCCATCCCTTTATGGTATTTGTCCATATTGAACTGGGATGATCCCACCCCCTTCTGGTATTTGTCCATGTGAGAAGTGGGTAACCCCATGTTACGTGGGGACATGTACAGATTTAACTGGGATGATCACACCCTATTTCAGGGATTTGTCCAGATCAGTGTGGGATGATCCTCAGTAAAAAAAATCAAAAGTTGGGCAATGTCAATGGTCAGAATCAGTTTTGAAGGAAATTACCTGAGTTCTACATATTGCCATAAAAATGATAATCCAAAAAGAGTGGTGTGAGACAGCATCACTATCATATGAGAGACAGAGAATGTTGGCAGAAACCTTACTTGGCATGAAAAAATATTTTCCGGATTCATTTCAATTTCTCAAGAATCTAAAAAAAGAATACCTTTACAGCACTCAGATTCTTTGTGGACTTAGATACTGTACTATACACAGTCAGCATATAGGCACCAGTCACCCCTTAGACCTTCAGCTGGTAGCTCCCAGAAATGGCACAACTCAAGGTATTAAATACCTAAGCAGTGCCTAATTAATCCTCACACTCAAGTCATCTAGTGTAGGAGTATCAAAATGGAGATCTTGTGTATTATACTGTACATAGCAAGCATCCCCCTCTCCCCATAGACCTTCAGCCAGCAGCCCCCAGGAACCACTCTCAGAGAATGTACAATATAAGGTATCAAATACCTTGGTAGTGCCACAAAAGTGGTAAATTCATGTTTTTGCAAGAACATGACTTTATGTTTCTTTTTACTATGTTTTACTTTCTACAAGGTCAGGATTTTCCTCACAGAATATGCCAGATCTAGTGTAAATCTAATATTCGATGTCCTTCTGCAGATTACTTTGTTGTCACAGCATTTGTGTTGTGTTTCCTAGTTTTTACTTCAGTTAAGGGTATAATAAACCTTGCAAAAAAGCAGAACTCACATATCACATCTATCAGCAAGGACAACAGCATCTTTCTAGTGTATGGTTCCTGCAATTGATTATATCTAGAAATTGATAATGTTCCACATTTAAAAAAAAGGGAATGCTTCTCCCCAAATTTGCAGTAAGCTACAATGAGGAACTTGTAACTCATATATTTCAAAATAGTCTTGATTATATTGGGCTAAAGTACCATTATTCAGGTGGAAAAGACTGGAAATATCTTCACTAGTTGGCCCAGCATTCTCACATGTTAGTATTAGCACCAATCCCCCTGATACCATGTGACATGTGACAGGTTATTGGGATTATCCCATCTGAGGGATAATCCCACTATGGTACATGGTCTGATACCATGGGAAAATCCCAGAAGGGTGGTATTATTCCGCTTCTGGGATGATCCCATCCTTGCTGGAGCACTTGGGATGATACCAGGAAAAACAAGCTCTTAGCTTTATACATTTACACAGATAGTTGAAGCTAAATGCTTATGTTTTGGGGGTGACTGAAGTGTATTTGGAACATATGTAATAGACTTCCATTACATAAATAATCAGGCTAACACACATGCCAAACCATTTAGTGAGTAATAATGGTGTTTTCATCATAATCAGAATGAAATTCCCAAAGATAGAAATAAGCTATTATAGCTACTATAGCAGCTATACTATTTATTATAGAAAAAACTTGATTGTTATAGTAATACATTAGTTGTCATAGAAGCCATAGAAACATGCTTGGCTATATAGCAAAATGGTTTTTCCTGATGAAGGCCGTGTTCATGTGCCACCGAGGATCCTTCAAGCCCCTTGTCATGTTGTTTGGGTTGACCAATTCACCGGCAACCTTCCAAAGCATGATGAACAAGATCTTTGCAGATATGGAAAACTGTGTTGTCATTTACATTAACAATTTATTAATATTTACAAAGTCAGACAATGAGGCTGAGCACAACAAGGTTGTGCAACCCTTGAAAAATCTCACTAAAAAGGACATTGTCTGGCACTGGGGTGCCAAAAAACAAGGAGCTTTTGATAAGCTTAAACAGGCATTTACAACAATGCCCATATTAGCATTTCACGAACTAGACAAAGAGTTCCAGCTAGAAACCGACTCTTCTGATTTTGCTACTGGGACTGTTCTATCAATCAAATGCCCTGATGATCTTTGGAGGCCTTGTGCTTATTTATTGCATAGTTTGTCACCTACAGAGCACAACTATCAAATTTACAATAAGGAGATGCTGGCAATCATTAGAACTTTAGAGCACTAGCGGCACTACTTAGAAGGTGCTAGGCACCAACTCAAAATTTGGACTGATCATAAAAATCTAGAGTATTTTATGACGGCCCGAGACTTGAACCAAAGACAGGCCCGCTATATGGTGTACCTATGTAGGTTTAATTATAAACTAATTCATAAGCCTGGGACTTGAATGGGGAAAGCGGACACTTTGTCTAGAAAAGAGGATCATGCCAATGGCATCAAAGGTGACAACAAAGGTGTCACCCTGATAGATCAATCCAGGGTTGCCAATGTTCAAATTGGGTAGGATTCCGAACTTCTAGAAGTCTTCAGGAAAGACATCTCCTCAGAAGAGAAGGCACACCTTGATGGCAATTTACATTATTTATGGGAAAGCGGGCTCTTCCATTACAAAGACAAAATCTATGTGCCTGAGTCCGCAAGGATCAAGGCAATAGATAGACATCACAACACTCCAGTGGCTGGGCACCCTGGGTAGCAATAAATCATGGAGTTGATCTCCAGAAATTACATGTGGCCTGGCATGGTCAAAGACATACAGGAATACATAAAATCCTATCTAAGATGTGCCATGGCAAAGAACTCGCATCAACCGCCGGCCAGAGAACTTATGCCAAATCTGATACCAGCTAGTCCCTGGCAGGATATATCGTTTGACTTTATGATGGATCTGCCTGAATCACAAGGGTATGATTTAGTAATGGTGGTAGTAGATCACTTCTCCAAAGAAGTGGTATTTATTCCCACCAATAAAGCAATTACAGCTGCTGGTATGGCAGACTTATCTAAGGATTTTGTATGGTCTACCCATGGGTTACCGGAAACAGTTATCTCTGACAGGGGACCCCAATTTGCTAGCAAATTTACGAAAGAGTTATGTCAAATGCTAGACATCAAACCTAAATTATCAACGGTGTTCCATCCGCAGACCGATGGAAAAATGGAGAGGCTCAATCAGGAATTGAAGCAATACCTCCGTATATTTATTAATGACAGACAGACAGATTGGGCCAAGTAGCTTAGATAGCCCAGTTCTCTTATAATATTAAACAGTCGTCAGCTACAAAAAAGGCACCATTAGAGGTTACGAGATTGTACCTGCCCAGAATGGGTGTAGAACCCGGTAAAAGCAAGAATGAGGCTGCAGGGAACATGGCTAAGGACATGAAATCTGCCTTAGACAAAACACGCAAGGTATTATTCAAAACTGCAGAGCAGATGAAAGACAGGGCAGAGTGTAGACGCTCCAAGGCTCCTGATTACAAGGTCAGCGACCTGGTCTGGTTAGATACTGACCACCTACAATTGAAAGATTGGCAGTCTAGAAAACTAACCAAAAAGTGGATTCGTCTTTACCGGACTTTCTTCACAGATTATTGGTGAGCACCATGTCCATTCTAGACTTGTTTTCTACTAAATCCATACAAGTGCACATTATGTCCTTGCCTATACATCGTGCAGCATTAGTCAACAGAGATGCTCCTCACATGTGTCCTGTTGGATGCGGAAAGTCATTTGCAACAGCTCATGCTGTGAATGCCCATCTTGGCTCTGCAAACAAATGTTTATGGTACTGCAAAGGGAAGCTACGAGCACTCACTATCCCACAGTCAGAAAAAGATCTTGAAGAAGCTAGTGGATTAGACATGTTGATAGATGATGATAGGGAGGAGGAGACAACTGGAGACGTACTATAGGAGCTGCAAAAAGACCTATTTTTCTTTGTTCCCATCCAGCCTCCTGATATTATAGAAAATGAGCAGAACATAGCAGGCCCATCCCTTCATCCAAACTCATTTGTCTTAGATGATAATGAGGATAAATGTATAGAGGTGAAATATCCCACTACTGGCAAGTATGGATGAGACTTTACATCAGAGGTGGAGAAGGGAATTTTTTAGGGCAGGTGGAGGTGGAGATGGAGGTGGAGATAGAGGTGAAGACATAGAAATGGGTGAAAATCCAGATCCCAAGTTCTTTCCCTTTGCCTCAGAGATGGATTGGAGGGTAGCCTGCTGGGCAATTGAAGATGGTATAGGGCATCAGTCATTTGATTGACTGCTGGGTATTCCAGGTGTCAGTGATTTCACAATTTCTCTGTACTTTGCTCATACTTTTTCCCAGGTCAAGGAGAAACTTGGCTTGTCATATCATAATATACATGCATTACATAAAATTGTCGACCACAACATACCAGCCAGGGCTGAATGGAAATTAACCATGATCTTTTTCACGGATACTCCTGACAACACACACCTAATCCAGTACCGTGATGTACTGTCAGCTATCAGAACTCTCCTGGGAAATCCAGTTCATGCTGAAAATATAGTCTATCATATCAAAAATGTTTTTACAGATGCAAGTAGAGATTCAAGGATATACCATGAGATGTGGACAAGGAAATGGTGGCATGCTATCCAGGTGAGCATAGCCTGTGTGAATCTTTTACATTAACTTATACAATCTTTGGAATAGGCTCATCTACTATCTAGGGTAGCCTTGGTGCCTGTTATCATTGCAACAGACAAAACCCAGCTCACGCAATTCTTCAACTCTAAATCAGCTTATCCTGTAATCTCATGTTGGGAAACATACCCAGAGCCATAAGACGCAAGCCAAGCCAACATGCTTGCATTCTCACAGGATATCTGTCAGTCAATAAAGTTAGGGGATCTCAGCTTACAGCAAAGGCAAAGTCATTAAGAGTTCAGCGTCTATTCCATGAGTCTTTGAGGGTCATACTAGAACCTTTAAAGAAGGCTGGCATTGAAGGGATGGACATTACTGGGGGTGATGGGGCTGTCAGGAGAGTTCATCCTGTTTTGGCTTGCTATGTCACAGATTATCCAGAACAATGTCTAGTGACATGTACAAGGTACGGCACCTGTCCCAAATTCAAAAGGCCTGCTTCTGAGCTTTCAAAATCTACTCCCGGAGAGCCACGTACACAGAACTGGACAGAAGAAGTCATTCAGAACACTAGAGCTAATACAGATTCCTTCAATCAATTTCAAGAGAGATGCACGGATAATAATGTCTCCAGTGGTGTTTACGAGCCATTCTGGTGTAACTTCTCTCTGTTACAATTTACATACCAGCACCTATTTACGCTTCACTTTTGTACTTCTACTTTTATTTTCCAAGTCACATGACCAGTCATGTGACCATTTACTTTACTTTACATTTTCGGACTTTTCATAAGTCACATGACCAGTCATGTGACACATTACCTGACCAGTGTCTAGACTCATCATGTGACCAGTCACATGCTAAATATCGGACTTTAAACTATATTTACAACTGTACAGTACCTCATGTATTTTAGTATATATACAGGAGCAATACATGGGGAAGGACTCAGCGAGTCCTCCTGTTGTCTAGCACAACTAACTCACTGTAGCCTAAGGGGTAACCACTCCCCATCATCTTCTTTATAGTGTGTTCCTGTGTGCGCCAGAGTAAATAAATCTTGGTTGTTACACTCTCATTGCAACATTCATTTATCTGTTTCCCCCAAAATTCTCCATCAACTATACCAAGGCATCTTTAAGCATATGGTGAACTGGTGCAAGGACCTTATGGATCCCAAGGAGCTTGACCACCACATTTCCTCCCTTCCTGCTTGCTATGGTGTTCGTCATTTCAAAAATGGAATTTCTGCATTAGGCCAGATTGGTGGAAAGGAAAGAAGGGATATGGCCCGCATATTGCTTTGATATTTGATTGGAAAGATTCTAAGAAGCACTATACTTGCATACCGACCCCTCTTGGACTTCATCCAGATAGCACAGTATCCCACTCATGACAACACCACTCTGGGCTACCTTTCAGATGCTTTGGACAATTTCCACAAACACAAAGATATATTGGTATGGCTTAACATAAGAAAACACTTAAACATTCCAAAATTCCACTCTCTCCTCCATTACCACCAGTTTATTACATGGTTTGGAACCACCAAAAATTACAACACTGAGATATTTGAGCACTTCCATATCGGCTTTGCAAAAGAAGGTTGGAGGGCTTCTAATAAAAGAAATGAAGCACCATAAATGGTGACATAGCTTCTGCGTTGTGAAAAGGTGGTTGCTTTCCAGAGCTATCTGAAAATGACCATGGATAATGAAAAATATGAATTCCCTCACTCCAAATTCCAAGGCCAAAGGCTTGTCATAGCAAAATACCTTAATAAATGTCAGCAAAGCATTTTGGACGTCATGGAGAAGCATCAGTGTCCTGGATTTGAATCAGCACTCAAAGTCTTCTTTAACAGTAAACTAACTCACCCAAATACATGTTGTGAAACCAGATTACTACCCCTTCTATTTCAAAACCTCAATATCTTCCATGGCTTCAAATTTTGTTTAGATAGCCTAAGCAACAATGTTGACCTGGAGAATGACCAGGTAGATTCTGTCAAAGCCAGGCCAAGTGGAAAAAACAATCTATTGCCACAGTTTGACACAGTGGTTGTGATGAGTTTTCCTGATTGTGAGGCTACAGGCATAAAAGGTAATGTTTCTCTTACCCTATGACCACAAGCACATCTAATACTAATGACTGTATTCAAGGAACAAGAATTGGGAGATTGAGAGTAATATTTAAACTACCTGAAACACTATACAATTTCCATGCATCCCCCAATAATTGGCCAAAATATCATTTGGCATATGTAGAGTGGTATAGCAACCTCAAATCCACAGCTGAAAAGGACCACTTAATGTACTCTATTAATAAGGTACCTCTAAACACTGAAGGTTTTCCTCCAGGACAAATCATCCCTTTATCCAGTATTAGACAGGTTTGTCAACTTATCCCTACTTTTGGTGGTTTGCACGATACATGTTCTTATCATTGGACTCATAGTAATGTTCTGGATGTTTGTCACAAATTTTATCTTAATAACTTTAGTAGCAAATATGCATATCAAACATTATGGTAGTCATATATAGCATTTTAAATTTTGCATCTATAATACTATTATTGCTTTTGTTGCTCCTGTTGCTCTTATTGCTCATATAACACTATGGTCGCTATAATCATACTATAGTTGCTCTTATAGTGCTATAAGTGCTATAGGTGCTATAATAGGCTTCATTTGCACATATATACAAACCCCTCTGCTATATAGCAAAAGGCTTTTTTTTCCTGATGTATTGCCTTATAATCTTGTTGGTATAGCATGTCTGATGTCTCCATCAAGAGATTGTTTCCTCAGGCTATTATTTTTACGTCAGTTACATCATGTATGCTTGTTGTTGTAAGCCTATATTAACAAGCAGCATCCATACTCTTAGAAGCAGGCTTGCAGGTATGGCCAATTCAATCACTGTATGTTACTGTAATTAGGCCCGACTTGAATATTTGCTATTGTTATTTCCACCCATACTTGCTTATTTCACCCTAATGATATGCACAATCCCCCACACAAGAAAGATAACACCACTGCTCTAACTGCAACTTTGGTATGTGTGATCTTGTCATAAAACACCTCTCATATCCAGCCTTATGCCAACCCCATATCTAGCCTACCAAGACCACCAGTCTCATGCCAATCTCATGTTTAATCTATTAACACAACTATAGATTGTAAGTTCCAGATATATCTCACCTTATCACTCAAACTTAGACAAAGCTAACTATCAGACAATACAACCATACTTGCTAATCATAGAATACATTTATGATGTACTTTTATTATTCCACCATGAATAGCGGAGATTACAAGACTCTAGCAGGACAAAGCTGGTTGATAATTCTATCAGCCTTATTTGTATGCTTATCAATACATAGCAATGTGATATAACTTTCAGAATTCCATAAACATTGCCAGAGCATATATAGGTGATGCACTTTTCACCATGGATAATCACATTGTTGCAAAAATCACTTTTACCATATGAGGCCTATTTGCAATCTTTTGTAGCTTTTTATACATTTTTTTACTCTGACACAGCCAAATTGGGGCAGATCAGAAATTTGTCAGGCCAGAAAAGATGCAAAAGGCTGCAAATAGGCCTAATATAGTAAAAGTGATTTTTGCAACAATCCATGTCCAAATAATGCCTTATCAGATTTTCACCAATTCCTGAAGTTCGAGTAAATATCAACCTGGTGTGTTGATCATGTGATCCCTTGGTATTCTACTTGTAGTGTAAATACTTTCCAACATAGCAGGTGAAGTGGTTATGTATAAACCTCTGTTTAATGAATAAACACTAAAGTAGAATGTCAATAGATATCTAACTTGAAAACACATTGCTGTAATGTCTCACCTCAGTACTGTAATAACAGACTGAGGTGTCAAGTGCTTGAACAACGAGAAAATACACATTGCGGAAATATCTGAAGATGGAAAAGGAAGGAGTTTCCCGCAGTTACAAATTCGTAAGTAATGTAAGTGTTTCTAGGCGAAGGCTCAACTTCTATGAGCATTGTCTAATGCTCCAACACCCTCCCTTAAGCTGAGCTGAGTCCTATCATGTTACAGAATCATTGAAATTTTGGTTTGGCCAGCGCTTTCATTAACGTGTCAGCAGGCATCTTGTTGGTAGGTCAGTATTTGAAGGATAGGATGGATTCTTCAACTAGTTGGCGGATGAAGTGGAATTGTACGTTGATGTGCTTCAAACGGGTGTGGTATACATTATTTGAGGTGAGTGCAATGGCACTTTGATTGTCTGCATAGACTATTGTTGGCTTTAGCGGTTTTGTGCCTTCTATATTGCCTAGTATCCCTCTCAACCATATTGCTTCTTTGCTCGCATAGGTAAGCCTGATATATTCAGCTTCTGTGCTGGAGAGAGCAACTATTGATTGCTTCTTGGCACTCCAGGAGATTGTACTGCCATTATACGTGAAGATGTATCAACTGATTGATCTCCTATGGGGCTGTGATGCCCAGTCACTGTCCAAGAATCCTATTAGGCCCTTGTTTTCTCCTCCTAAGGTGAGTGTTGTTTCCTTTGATCCTTTTACATATCTTAGGATTTTTTTTACAGCTTCCCAATGGACTTTGGCAGGGTTATGTGAGAATTGTGATACCACTGATACAGCAAATGATATATCTGGCCTTGTACCGGGTGCCAGATACATCAGCTTTCCAATAGCTTCTTGGTACAGTACATTCACCATTTGTTGTATTTGTTCAGTTGATTTCGGGCACTGATCAATTAATAGTATAATTCCAGGTTCCATTGGTGCTGATGCACTCTTGCAGTTCTGCATTTCAAACACTTTGAGGATCAAATTGGTGTACGCTTGTTGACCTAACTTTAAGATGTGTTCCTTTTGGCTTCTGGTTATTTCAAATCCTACTAACCAGTGGATTTTGCCTAGATCCAATATCTCGTGCTATCTGTAACAACCAAGAGTTAGTTACTCTGGCGCACACAGGAACACACTATAAAGAGAATGAAGAGGGAGTGGTTACCCTTTAAGATGCAGAGAGTTAGTTGGTATACAACAGGAGGACTTGCTGAGGAGTCTCCTGGATCTATTGGGGTATATATACTACTACAGGGTTATTTGTACATATGTACTTTACAGTTGATAGTGACAGTGTCTGATGATGTCATGGGGCCTAGCCCGCATGGCCAGCTCCACTGGGTGAGAGAGTTGTGTCTATAATAAGAAGAAAGGCAATGCGGCGCGAGAAAGAGGAGTTTGGACAAAAAGGGGAAGTGCCGCGTGGCACCATGTGTGAAAGCTAAAGTACAAGGTTAAAGCGGAGAATAAAAGTAAAGGGAAAGTCCAAAAATTGTGTTATTGTAACACTATCGTTGTAGATTGTTCTTGAAGCCTTCTATAGCTTTTAGACAGTTTGATGTGACTGTTATATTGTCTACTGACACTCCCACAACTATTTCAGATGCATTGCAGTGCCTCACAAAAACAGCGTGATTGTATTCCGATCTTGTAAATCCCTTGGAGTCAAACATTTTGGTGAGTCTTTTGTACCATTGAACTCCTGCCTGTTTTAATCCATAGATACCCTTGTTCAATTTGCAGACCATTTCCTTTTGATCTGGTTTTAGGTACCCTGGCGGAGGTCTCATATAGACACATCAGGAAAAATGGGGGTAGCTATATAGAGCAAATATAGAGCTATACTTGCTTATAGGTGCTTATAAAGTTGTCATAACTGTCAGACCTGTTATAGAACCTCTGGCATTTATAAAGCCACATATAGGCTCTTATAGATGACCAAAAGCTGTTATAGCTGTTATAGATGCTGGGGATCTTTTTTGACTTTTAGAGTCAAGCCAACTAATTATAGCTTTTGCCTAGGTTTTATAGTCTTTATAGAAAAATAGCTGTAATACAAGTCTTATAGCTTCCACCTTGTTTTATATGTACCTATACATTGGATCAATTATTTGGACATTTATTGCATTATAACTTCAAGGGTAATGCAAAAAATGCATAATATCAAAAGCAATATCAAAAATTCACAATATCTTTAAAAGAATCAAACAATCTAGACTATGAATAGACTTTACTATTAACAGAGTACTTATGCTACCATAGTTTCCTCTAAAGCATCAAAGTCAATCCCAAAATCTTTGCCTTGAGGTTTTTGATTAAGATATTGAAGATTGGCTGATTGTCTGTATATATATTTCACATTAGTGTAGGTTTGCACTTCCTGATCATAGCAGAAGATGAAGATACACTAGCCATTGCTGTGCTTGATGTGCAACTGGAAGGTTGAATGGAAAGAGCTGCAGATAGCAAACAAGATGGTGTGCTAGTGCTTTCACCAATATTACCAACTTGTTGTGTGTCCTATATACATATGTGAAGATGTTAACTTTTATTGAGAGTAGATAGATATACTCACTTTTCTGCCTTGCATCTGGGAATGATTGCCATCCTCCTCCTCTATACTCGTTATATAAAAGACAACCTTGATATACAAGATAAAGGAATCATACCTTCTTGTTCACTATCCCCTCTAACAGTGTTCCTAAACTCTTCTGTATCTGTATTGTCATTGTCATCCCCACCCCCGTCTTCATCTTCATTATCTATAGGCCTCCAGGATCTAGGTTGAGTTGCAGGTGGAGTCTGGACCATGTTACTATCATTCTCTTCTTCCTGGTCATCTACTACCTCCCTCCTATACCTACCCTTCTGGGAGGGTGGCAGTGGGGCATCCTCCCCCTCATCCTCTTCCTCAAGAGTATCAGCAGTATGTTTCAGGATTTCTAAATAGCATCAGTAGAATATATAATATTTTATGGGAGATTTAAAAAAACAAATACCTTGACACTGTCTCTCCAGAAATGTCTTTTGAGCTGCTTTGCTGGCAGCCCTAGTTTGAGCTTTCCCAACTTCCTTAAGCCTCTCATACTCTCCAGCATCTATTGTAATCTTACCCTTTTGATATTTGGTTTTACTAGAAGCAGATTTTTTAGCCATGAGTAGTATAAGGAGGATGATGAACCTGCAATACACGGGGAGGATTAAATCACCACACGTCAAATTTTGGCGTGGGAGCATCTGAAAGTATACTAACTTCACAAAGAAAAAACATGCAAAAAGCTAAGCTATTCAAACTACATTGTCTGCCCATCCATTTCTATTCTTTTCCCATGAAGAGAACTCTTTGTCAGTATGGAAAACAAAAGATGCTCTCTTGCCTTGGTATTGCAGATTGAAGTGTGTAATATCACAAGATCTGAAGATGGCAAAGTCATCTTGCCTTAATTCCAAGACCAGACCTGTTTCAACCATGATAAGGGCTCCACCTTGGAAATTACCAATAAGAAGGACAAGACAGAAGTCCTTGTCTTTGCTATCTCGATGACCTTTGGTAGAGACATTGAGGTTAATCACCAGTGAAAGGAAGGGGAATATTGGAGACAAATTGATGCCAGGCAAAATTGACGTAACTTCAGCCAATAGCTTATACTCCTCAGGCAGCTGCAGCTCAATCTTTTGGATAGAGTGATTATTAGATTAGATACCACAATAATGTACTATATTCAAGCTTACCACATCATGGATCCAATGGAATAGGTCTGCAAAGACAACTTTGATAGTCTGGTAAATAGTGCCATGATCTTTGATTTCCTTGGACAGGTAAGGGATCATCTGGGAATAGTTGGTACGACGTCCATCTTCCCTCTCTAACATGAGAGGTGAAATCTCAGTTGGAGCATCATCTCCCTAGTTTTTAGAATGGCTTTTCTGCTCTTGGTCAAATAGGGGGGAAGGAACGGAAAGATATGGCAAAGATACTGTTGGGATGCCTTATTGGCAAACTTCCACGTCATGCTATCATCACCTATCAATCACTTTTAGACTTTATTCAGATAGCACAATACCCAACACGTGATGATACCACCTTGGGCTACCTTGCCCAATCTCTCAATATTTTTCACCAACACAAAGATATCCTTATTCATCTTGGAGTCAGGGACCATTTCAACATACCTAAATTTCATTCCCTCTTACACTACCAGGAGTTTATCACATGGTTTGGCACCACCGACAACTACAATACAGAGATGTTTGAAAGATTTCATATAGACTTTGCTAAAGATGGATGGAGGGCCTCTAATAAGAGGAATGAAGCTCCTCAAATGATCACCTGGCTGCTGCGTAGGGAAAAAATATTTGCTTTTGAGAGTTATCTTAAAATGAGCATGGAAAAAGATGATGAAGATGTTTTCCTTTGTGCCAAGTCTCAGGATCGTCATATTATTATTGCAAAAAATCCAAGCACATCCCAACAATCACTTATATCTATCATGGAGAAGCACTCCTGCCCAGGCTTTGAGGACATACTCAAAATCTATCCTAATTCAAAATTACAGCAGCCCCATTCCAGAGCACAAACAAGGCCTTATCCTCTTCTATTTCATAACCTTGATGTTTTCCACTCATTCAAATTCTCCCTTGAAACTCTTGGAAACAATGTGGACTTGTTTGATGACCAAATAAATGCTGTAAAGGCAAAACCCTCAGGCGTTGGTGGACAGCATCCTAGGTTTGATACTATTATAGTGATGAACTCCAATGACTGTGAATCAACAGGTTTGACAGGTAAGTTTTATAATATAAAGCTCTATCTACTATCTGTTTAAAAGTTATACCAGGCACAAGGATTGGACGTCTCAGAGTGATCTTCAAGTTACCTACAACTTTATATGGCACACATAGTGCCCCTTCTAACTGGCCCAGAGATCATTTGGCTTATGTTGAATGGTTTAATCATCTAAGGCCAACAGCTGAAGACAACCATATGATGTACTCTGTCACCAAATCTGGGCCTAATGCATCTGGCTACCTGCCTGGTGATATTATACCCCTTTCTGCAATTAGATGTAACAACCAAGAGTTAGTTACTCTGGCGCACACAAGAACACACTATAAAGGTAGTGATGGGGGAGTGGTTACCCCTTAAGCTGCAGAGAGTTTGTTGGTAAACAACAGGAGGACTTGCTAAGGAGTCTCCTGGATCTATTGGGGTATATATACTAATACAGAGTGTTTGTACTTATGTACTGTACAGTTGATAAAGTCAGTGGCTGATGATATCATGGAGCCTAGCCCGCATGACCAGCTCCACTGTGTGAGAGAGTTGTATCTAAAATAAGAAGAAGGCAATGCGGCACGAGAAAGAGGAGTTTGAACAAAAGGGGAAGTGCCGCGTGGCACCATGTGTGGAAGCTAAAGTATACAAGGTTAAAGTGGAGAATGAAAATGAAGGAAAGGTCCGAAAATTGTGTTATCGTAACATTAGACAGGTTTGTCATTTGATTCCAATCTTTGGGGGAAATAGAGATACTTGTCCACTCAATTGGACTCACAGTAATATTTTGGATGTTTGCACAAAATTTTATCTCAAACAATTTTAGTAGTAAATACACTTATTAGACACTGTGGTAAATTCAAATTATGAATATTATTATTTTGTTTTTAGCTAAATCTTGTGCTATAAAGGCTATAATTGCATTGATAGGGCTATAGTGACTATAAAAATATTAGTATACTATTGTTGGACACCGGATGCAACCAGTAAGAGATATGCACTTGGGCCTCCAGAGGCTCAACGATCACTGTACAGGTAGCTAGAAAATTGTCAGATGTAGAATATAGTATAGAGAATATAATTGTGAAAGAATTTAGTGAATAGCTTATCTGTAGCAACAACAACAGACCTGACACTATGCTCTTGAACTCCAGAAGTGTGAATTTTGAGGGAAAGATGGCCAGATTTGACCAGATCTCGTGCTGGGAATATTGCAATATCTTTCTAGAAAATGTCAATAGGTAGGCCCCTACAATGCCAGATACTTACTGAGCTGATTGGGGCCTCAAAGCGTCTGGAGAAATGAAAACAATGATGGAGTTGTGACTAGGTGACCGAAACAGGCAATCACACACCAAGATAATCAATCAAGGACCACTAGCTCCGCTTCGGTACATACCGCACATACCACCAGCGTCAGGACTTGGTGTGAACTGGCAGAATTTGACTTGTAAGCTCCGCCTGATTTGGTCTGTGAGTGCCACTGTGACCCAGTGTGACCAGAAATTGCAGAACCATTCCAAAACATGCGTTGTCTTTTCGGTTTTGTTCTGCCGCTCCAATGCTTCAAGTTCTTGCTTATTTTTCTACATAGGCAGCTAGAAAACTAAAAAATATATCTACTGGTCAAGTTCTGACAGTCTAAAGCTCAATGACTGGTGAGTTATTCAACTTCTCCCCAGACCAATTGCACCTATTGTCCAACGATAGTAGTGCTATAATTGCATTTATAGGGCTATGGTTGCTATGAAAGCATCCATATATACATGTGGTGGCTATATAGCAAAAGGGTTTTTCCTGATATATCCTTGTCGAGTTTTGCATTTAGATATGCCCCTTTTATATCTACCTGATGTATGTTCCAGCCTTCTGCACAGGCATGTGCGAGGATTGTGCAATGAGACATCAGTCTTGCAACTGCTGAGTAGGTTTCAAGGTAGTCGATGCCATATTTTTGGCCATTTCCATTTGCGACTAATTGTGCTTTATATTTTAGGATTTCTCCTTTAGCGCCTCTTTTTATTTGTGTTACAAAGTGTGATCGAATTATGTTTGCGCCTTTTGGTGGTGTCACGAGGTCCCAGGTGTGCAGATGCCGTTTTGCTGTGGCAAATCATGAACTGTTGCTTCGCGGATGGTTCCCTTTTCTCTTAGGTGTGTAGCAAATTCTTCACTCATGTATTCTCCGCCCCAATCAGACCTTAGCTTCTTTATTTTAGCTCCATCCTTTTGGTTGAGGATCCATGTTCTGAATCTGGTAAATGCTGATAGTGCTTGGTTGGTGAATATGGGATTCTCTGGAATAGTCATTGGTAAACATCATCATGTAACATTTTCCTGTGATATCCTCGACGCTTGCTGGTCCCCATAGGTCCGAATGGATCTGTTTGCCATAAAACGTGGCTTGTATAAACAATTCCTTAGGGAATTGTTTGCAATCTGCTTTTGCCTTTGCGCATGCATCTCAAAATGTCTCATCTGTAGTGAAGTCTAATTTTATGCCGGTTACTAGAGATGATGCAATGAGATGCTTTATGGCTCTGGTTGATATGTTGCCCACTGCTCTGTGAGCTTGCCAGATTTATTGGCTATAATAGGAATTCTATAGCTATCATAGCAGCTATAGAAACATACCCAGCTATATAGCAAAATGGTTTTTCCTGATGTGGTCCAGAGTCAACAATCTGATGGTGGCGGTATTGGCTTGTATTTGTTCTTTTTCATTGTTGTCAACTGGTACATCTTGTAGCTGATATATCCCTTTTTTTGCAGGTACAATTGCAATAACTCAGCATTTTGGGTTTGGTGAAATTATGTGACAAGAACGGCCTTCAATGTGTATGCTATATCTGGCCCTATCCATTCTGTTTGCAGATATGAGAATGGTGGACATCTCTGGTACATACAGTGCATCTTTTGTGAGTATCTTAGATTTTCTTACTCCGTTTGGAAGTGATACTGTCATATCCCCGTGGCCTATTGCTTGTAGTGGGGGTTCACCTGCTGTATGAATAGGTTCTGGGGTGATTTGTGGGAAGGTAACAAACATGTTTCTAAATGGGGAGAAGTGTTGACTTGCACCAGAGTCTATGATAGCCGGGCATAGGATACATTTTCTTTTATAATGTTCGACAAGGTTGACACTTTGAAAGCATACATGGAGTCATCTGAGTTGTCTTCAGCAGAGGCTTTTGCAGCCGTTTTGCAATGATTATTTTGGTGAGTTTTCTTTTTATCATTGTTCTTGTCTGCTGACTTCTCGTTTTTGTTCTGGCCCTTCCTCTTCCCTAGGTTTTTTACAGTCGCGAGAAATATGTCTGTTACCCCCATAGTTGTTCTTTTTTGACTTTTTATCATTTTTGTCTGAGGGTTTGTCCTTGACCTTGGCCATTAGGGCAGCCTCTTCCTCAACTCATTTTTCAACTGCATAGTGATTAGCCTCGTCCAGTACGTAGAATAACAAAAGGTGTACTATTAAAGTGCTAGAGCTACTACAATGTCTGCAGCACAAATGGCCACCATAACTAAAGTACAGTTCTCTCGCATTTTGTTGGAATTTACTAACTTGTACTTGACAGAAACTTTGTTCTTCACAGGTGCTGGTTGATGAACATGACCGGCCACCCCCTCGGATTTCTGCCTATAGACAAAGGGCAGGAACATAATATCAAGGATACAAAGGTTACATTTGGAACTCGTGGCCTAAATGCATCTTGGGCTCTTATGAAGAAAACTTCCCCAGCCATTCCCACACTCAGAGCTGTGCGCAAGCATACAGAACTTCAAATTCGGACGCTTCGACGAGGCCTACACCACTCTGACCCACTCAAGGAGAAGGATATTGAGATTCTGCATAATGCATACATTGCCTCAAATATTCACACATATCAGGATGGACGAGAGGTGAAGACTAAAGCAGATGGGACTATGGATGTTGTGACGAAAGGATCTCTCAACATACTCACAAAAGGGACATTGGCAAGATGGTGGAATAATAGAAGTTATGTTCGGGCACCACAGGAGATATGGTAGGGTAGTGACAAATGTACTATAACGAATGCCAGAACGTATTACCTGACCCACGGAGGATGGAGGAAGTCCATGAGTGTATTGTCTGTCTGTAGCATGGGAGGGTGAACAACTCGAGGCTTGAGGTAAGCGGTACTGAGAGATATACCAGAATGTATTACCTGACCCACGGAGGATGGAGGAAGTCCATGGGTGTATCGTCTGTCTGTAGCATGGGAGGGTGAACAACTCGAGGCTTGAGGTAAGCGGTACTGAGAGATATACCAGAATGTATTACCTGACCCACGGAGGATGGAGGAAGTCCATGGGTGTATCGTCTGTTGGTAGCATGGGAGGGTGAACAACTTGAGGCTCAAGGTAAGCAATACTGAGAGATGCCAGAACGTATTACCTGACCCACGGAGGATAAAGTGAGTCCTTAGTATATCATCTCAAGGGGAGCGGCACTCTTGAACAAGAGGATAAAATATAAATGTATATAATCACTTGTTCTATATACAGTACTATAGTCCAAGGTATTGCACCTCCTGCTAGCCCTTGTAGGTCTCCGTATTGGGCTGAAAAGAACTGGCAAAAAATGAGGGAGTGAAAGGCAAAAACAACGGCACAGCAGTGGAGGATGAAAGTGTTAAGGTCCAGGTGGCATACAAAGTTTGAGTTGCGTCTAGGGGGACTGAGGGTGTGTTGACATTTACTTGGAACCTTACAAGAAAGAGTATCAGTGGTATCAGCCGGTAAGTGAAGAAATAACTTACTCTGAGGTACCAGGCAGTGGTACATTTTCTTTACCACTTGCGCTGGAATTGCGGACTCGGTGTGAGCTTCGTTTCTGCACTTTCAGCTCCCTTCCTATAGCCTTATTCTCCTCCTTCACGGCCTCCCTTGCAAGCTTCTTTGCTTGGCGTTTCTCGACTTTGGCCCCTTCATGAGACTCTCACACTTTGTCATCCAACTGCCTCACCAAGTCCAGAACCTCACCACCATATACATCAACTAATGACCATGAGGCCCCGAGAGATCCGCGAAGATCATTGATCATTTTCCACGAACGATTAGAGGCTATTGATTTTAGAGTGAGATCGGGGAGAAGGGCGAGGCCAGTAAATGAGCAGTGGGGATAGTCACGCTGGCGGATTGTCACACGCCAATGGTCCAGAGCATCCTTGATGGTTTGGAGATGTTGGCCTGTGCGTTGAGTGAGTGGGGAATTCTGATCAGCGGTTTTCATCACACGCTTGCCCATTGCATTCTGTTCATGGGTAGGTGTGTCTTCCTGCTCCTCATCGCTAGTTTCGGAGGATGTGTGAGCAGGACTGAGTAGAGGTAAAATAATATTGGAGGGCATAAGGCCCGTCGCAGTTCTGTCGCAGTTGTCACAGCAGACGCCGGTAGGTGCTAGGTTCAAACATCAGAATCTCACGCTGCCACAGAAAATGTGCAACCTACATGTACGGCCGGGTGGATTATTGTAAAATGCATCTGCAATATCACGCCGACAACCTGTGGTTTCAATCCAGGCTCGAAGAGGCTCTTCTATTTTCTTGTGCTACGTTGGATCTTTCTCTATTCCAATCTCGTGGTCTGAGTCTTCAAGCTCATATTCTGACTCTAAGTTCTCTTCTCCAGTTCTGCCTTTCTTTTTTTTACTAACGCATTGAAGCACTGACGCTTCAACCATCATTATAGCACGTCCTTGAAGACTGAAGTTGCGGACAGCTCGGCCTGCTCTTTGGAGCCATACTGACAGTGATGATGGGACTCCAAATTGGATCACCAACTTGACATCTGGTATGTTGAATCCCTGTTTAATTATTAGACAAAGCAAGCTTATTAAATTGCTTTGAATGCTAACCATGCCACCTATTTTGGTCACAAACATGACCCTTATTTTTCCTTCACAAAAGTCACGCAAGACAGTTTTCCTGGTGCGTGGCGAGCGCCTGGCATTCAAATAACTGATTTGACTCTTTAGTTGGTCAGATACAATTCCGTGGAGTCTCCGAAAGCCAGCCTGGGACTGACTAACAGTGTTAACAAAGATGAGTGCCCGTGGTATTTCATTGGCAGCCTGTGCATCTTTGACAATGAAATCAAGGGCCGAATAGTCTGTGGAGCCAGCAATGATGCAAAGCTCCTGCGTTACATTAGGTCGGTTGTTTCCCAAGTTCAAATGAAAGGATTTTGATGCACTAATGTGCAGTGTTTTTTGAACCTCGGCCAAGACGGCAGGGGACATTGTAGCTGACGTTGCATATATAGGTGTGCCTAGAGGCACAAATGAATGGAGCCTATCTAATTTAGCATACACTGGCCAAAAGTCACCTCCCCACTGTGAGATACAGTGGGCTTCGTCAACTATGTATCCAAGTACACATTTCTGAAAATCAGGTGAGCACAACAATGCATTGAATTGGGGGTTTTCAATTGTCAATTCTGGTGATGCTAACAATATTTGATATTTAAGGTCCTCGAGCTCCTACACATGCCAACGAGTTTAAAGCAACATAGAGACTCGAGAAATAGACTTACCTTGTGTAAGTCTTGTTTATATGTGTCTCCATTTACTGCAACTGACTGTATGCCCCATGCACAAAACTAATCGGCCTGTTCCTCTTCTATAGTTTTCAACGGCGATATAACGACTGTCACGCCATACTTCTGTATGAAGGATGGCATGACATAAGCCAAAGTCTTTCCAGATCCTGTGCCAGCAATAATGGTGCAGTCGAGTCCCAAAGTAAAGGCCTCAGCGGCGTCCACTTGCCATGAATAGGGGGTGCGGCCATTGCATTGTTGGCGGACAAAATTTCGAAGTGATTCTTGTAAGTCTGCTTCTTGGCCTGCCGCTTCAGCTTTCTGACGAGCCTCTACAAGGTTGGTATAGGATTTCTTTTTGATGGCTTCATGGGATAAATATTCTGTAGGGACAGTGACCATTTAATGAAGCATGGAAAGTGACGAATAATTGAATGATCATTGAATATGGGACTCGTCAATATTTTCTGATTTCTGTACTACTAAGCATAATTACATCATGATAATCTTAGTCTAAAAGCGGCAATCGTTGCCTAAAAGAGTCGAGTGTCTGTGACACTGTGACTCGATGCACTCGTCCTAAGACGAAAGTCTCCAGACGTTTTGGGAGCGCGGCTTATCCCGCGCCTTCCCAAAACGTCTGGTTCGAGACTACGACTATCCCCAAACGACCATGTTTTCGCATACACGCAACTACGCGGGAAAAAAACAAACACTGTCCCATTAACCCGAAAGACTTTCCTCACGACAATCAACAAAGCCCTCCAAGCCGGAGGTCAACAGAAAATGTCGGGACACAGTATACGCATTGGAGCTACACTCGAATATTTATTGAGAGGGGTACCATTTGACGTTATGAAAGTGAAAGGACATACATGCAAGCTATCCCCGAAACCCACACCGCACTAATACGTTATACCCTGAACCTACCACCGGTCAGATAAACAATTGGTACGTACATTACTATCGTGGACTCCTACCATTTGGGACATCAGCATCTCTGCTTGCGTCGCCCACCTGAACTCCTACATCTCAGGGTATCGCAGGTCGCTGACATCCCTTATCCTTAGATTTCTATATACATTGACGGGCCACCATAGCGGGGAAAGCCGCCTTCGGGCTTTCGCCCAAACTCATATCCGCACAATAAAATTTTAGTACTTCACGAACTCTTTCCTCCTGATATCTCTTTAATCATTTACACTGTATATATCCCACTTTCGAACTGCAACAGTAAAAGACAGGATATATGGATATATACATGTTAACATCCGGTAGAGATTCAGAATTCCATACAATTACACTTGTTGATCTGGCTCTTCGTTGTCATCGTTAACTCTGAGTACTTTGACCCACTCTCGATAATTAAAGTTGCCCTGGCGGTCAGTAAATGGTCCTTTAAGAAACTTGTCGATCTAAGGAGGGTCATTCGAAAATGTCTCAGGTATCGAGCAGCAGAAGCGCACCTCATGCTGATCCATTCTCTCGCCTGCTTCGCTTAGCCACTTTCTCAATTCTTCCACTTTGACCATCCCAGTATCCCCTTCGTCAAAAGACTCAAAAGCCTCTATTAACTCTGCTTCTGGGTCAAACTCGAAGAGACGCTCGCTCATCATAGTAAGGAACATCGTGAAATTGATTCCTCGATCAGAAGCAACGGATTCATCATATGAGGAGATGACCGACAGCGCCTTTCCATGTCCCCCCGTGCCTGGGCGAGCTCTAAGGAGTGCATCCATCATCGTCTTCGAGGGTGTGATACCTGCGATGGAGCAAAGGCAAAGGCGTTATCAAACTATAACGGGTTCACATGCCCACAAGAATGCTAATAAATGGTTACACCCACCAAGACTAGTGAATATTTCCCGTAAATCCTGGTCGTTGACCCACCCATCCTTGTCATGGTCGATCAGTTGAAATGCTTCTTTGAATTGCTGTATTTGTGGTGCTTGAAAGAGTGAAAAGACACCCGACGGCTCACGACGCGCACGCGACTTTTGCGATTTGGAGAACTTCTGGGGTGTTACATTCGGAGAGAGGTAATCTGGATAACAGGACATTGCAGAGTCAACTTGAGCGAACTTGTCCCCTGATTAGGAGATGAACACTGAGCGAGAACCGGCATCTAGTCGCGCTGAAATTCAAACCCTAATTCTGGAGCTGATGTGAATCACGTGGCTAATGTTATCTTTGAAAAACTTCGTTGAACAAGATCGCGTGTAATAATCTAAGGTCTTTCGTGTTCGAGTTAAACGATGTCTAAACGCTCAGCCGCCGAAAACTCAGTTGTATCTAGCGAGGGGCAAGCGTTTCAGAAAGCATCGGCCAGTGGCTCGAAACGCGATAATGTCGCAAATAATGAGATGGGTGAGTTCGAGGATGCTTGGGAGGATGAGATCGAAGGCGATGAGGAAGTAGTAGACGGAGGTGCAAGCGAGGGTGGAGAGGATGGTATGTATCATCATCTTTTGAACATAATTGAGTAATATCTGGTTTTCTAGGAATGGACGTTGACGAGGTGTTACCCGCGATCGAAGAATCAGACGAGCAACCATCTGCACCTGATGTATTCATCCCAGGGACGCACATGCTCGGAAACGACGAGATTTTAGAACCAGATGACTCCGTATACGTTATGCGGCACTCGATGAATGTTAATTGGCCGTGTCTCTCCTTTGATGTTTTACGAGACAGCCTAGGAGATGAGCGGCAGCGATACCCGGCCACGGCTTACTTGGTCAGTGGTACGCAAGCTGATTTGGCCAATAAGAACGAGCTTGCGGTTTATAAAATGAGTTCATTGCATCGAACACAAACGGACGGAGGTAGGCCGATGTCGATTCTTATTGTATCGCTAATCAAAACATTTACAACTTCTTATTCATGAAGACGAATCTCATTCTGAAGACAACGATCAAGACGACGACAATCTCGATGAAGATGCCATCCTGGAATACAGATCAGTTCCTCACATCGGAGGTGTCAATCGCGTCCGAGCGCAGCCTCTACCTCCCTCGCATCCCCTTCTTCCAGTATCTCAGCCTTATTATGCCGCTACCTGGGCCGACACTGGAAAAGTACATATATGGGACATCAGACCGCTCATCGAGTCACTGGATGTCCCAGGTTACTCACTTGACAAGTCAAGAAGTGGAAAACCAGCATTTACGATAAATTTGCATGGATGCGTAGAAGGTTTTGCAATGGACTGGGCATCGTCTGGCGAAGCCAACCCATCGTCTCTACGGCTCCTCACCGGAGACATACACTCGAAAATTTATCTGACAACATCCACACCGTCTGGGTTCAATGCTCTTTCTCAGCCTTTCACATCGCACACGTCGAGTATCGAGGATCTCCAATGGAGTCCATCAGAGCCTACCGTCTTTGCCTCTTGTTCTGCCGATTGTAGCGTGCAAATTTGGGACGTCCGGAGTAAAGGACGTCAGAGCGTGGCCGGTATTCAGCCTGCTCACGAGAGCGACGTTAATGTTATCAGTTGGAATAAAAACGCAGGTCATCTTCTTCTCAGCGGTGGTGATGAAGGTGGTATCAAGGTATGGGATTTACGGAGCATGCAGAAGAAGGGGTAAGTGTGCTACTTACAAAAATAGCATATTTGCTTATTGTCTCATTGCTTTATCTAGGACACCTTCTCCAGTGCCATTACCAGTGGCATCTTTCAACTGGCATCACGCGCCCATCACGTCTATTGAGTGGCATCCGATGGAGGACTCCGTCTTCGCTGCTTCTGGAGCAGACAATCAGGTAACACTTTGGGATCTCGGCGTAGAGCAAGATGACGATGAGTCTGGTGCGATGGACGATGTGCCTGAATGGGGACGCATGGTACCTCCTCAGTTACTCTTCGTACATCAAGGTCAAAAGGACGTCAAGGAGCTGCATTGGCATCCTCAGATTCCCGGAACAGTCATTAGTACCGCTCTGGATGGCTTCAATATATTCAAAACTATATCTGTTTGAGACCGGCAGATGTAGACGTACCTTTGGGTATACTACTCAACACCTAGAGTAGACAAAAGGATGCATTCACGAGATTTATAGCAAGAGTGTATTGCTGAAATTTCCATGTTACGGATGTTAGGAAGTAATTATCATGCAAGGAAACACTAAGATAAAGGAACAATTGGAACTGCGGCATCACGAAACAGTGGGCTCGCCATAACGGCACCCGCCATTTCTTGCGTAAGCTTCGCGTGCTTCCCGCAATGTTAGGGCTCGTACGGGAACTCTGTTTTTCTTGAAATCCCACTTTTTTTTTTCCAGCCACAATCTGCCGGAATGCCGTCGGAGAGACGGATAGGCATCCATCCCATAAGCCTATGAGTGAGTAGGTATCATACTTCCATCAACCTCATGTCTAGAGCAAAAAAATGCAGGGCCTCCAGCCCAACCCTAGTCCCAGTCCCTTCACCAAAACGACTGTGATGTTCTACCAGGATGAACCAAGACCTCCAGCCTGCTCAGAACATATCTACCGAGGTTGCAATGGCACAGGCGCCCAAGATAGTAGTAACAACAATGCAATTTGGACTGAAGCAGAGACATCGGCTCTTATCCAGTTCATTGACAAAACCGGATAAACCTGGTCTCTGCCGAAGCAGCCATTGTTCTCCATGGAGCATAGCCACCACTCCATAGAGTAACCATTGTACTCCTAGGAGTCATTATACTGTAGCGAGTAGCACCTCTGACTATAAGTAGTAGGGGGTTTAGTATAGGAATACCTCAGTCGTTTCTATAGCCTCTCGGGCAGCGGCTGAGGTATGTTACATTACATTTATTAGAGATCACCTTAAACTAACATCTATTGTAGTTTCACTTAGGTAAATAATAAAGTCGTTTCTATAGCCTCTCGGGCAGCGGCTGAGTTTCACTTAGGTTTATTATTCATCACCACCAACAGTGCAGAGGGCGGGGACAGTTTGAATTTCAAGCCTGGGTTCTGGCCTAAGGTTGTGTTACATTTAGTTCCTCTTCTTAGTAAGGGACCAGCAAAGACCACCACTTCCTGCAGTTCAAAGTGGGGCAGGGTACATTATCTAATCTATCAATCACTGATTGTCAACCTCAAGGTTTACAGCTTCGTACAAAATACAACTTAGTGAAGCCTATCACCAACTTGTCAGGCATTCCTTGGGACGATGAAGTGGGTCTTAATATACTTGACAAAGGAGAAACGGTCTGGAAGGAGCTCATTGTGGTATGATGATACATTTTGGCTTTATGACTGATAGCTAATCACTACACAGAAAAATCCGGTAGCAAAGAGCTTTCGGAAGAAGGGCTGGACCCATTTTTCCGCCATGCATGCCTTGTTGGGTGGAGTCCCAGCCAAGAGTTCCAATGTATTCCGTGTCCCCAAAGTCCCGAAGCATCCTAAGGCACCCAAAGCCCCCAAACTGCCGCCTTCCATCAATGTTCCCTCCAATCAGCCTAACACCACTGCCTCTGTAACGAATGCCAGCACCACCAGCCCCAAATCATCTGGCGGCGTAAAAAATTGGCTTGGTGGTGTCGAGTCTCCAACATCTATCCGTGCTTCCACCACCTCATCTGTAACAACTATCAGCAGCAAGCACTCTGCACGAGACACCGCACTCTTTGATGAAGACGCTGAGGATGGCGCTACCGTCATATCTCGCACCAAGAGTGCAGGCAACGGCAGCAGAGGCTCTAACAAGGCCCCACACAACACTGCTGCCAACACTCTTAGTGGGTTGAACGACCGGTTGGGGGAAATCATCCCCATCTTCAAGGACTTCAACTCAAAACTCAACATTAGCCTTGCTCCACCTGCCTCCCCAGTTATTGCCCCTTCTCAAACAGCTTCAATGGAAAACCACTCCACCACATCTACTATTGTGCCGCCTATTGGCACTACCTCACTCGCTCCTCCTACTGCAAGTGGTGCCTTACAAGGCAGCTTATCCATGCAGCTGGCCCATGCTCGTCGTTGTGCCGCTATCACATTCATGATGCAATATGATAAATATCTTGGAGTTGATGGCTCTGTCAAATTATTACATCTGTTTGAGCAAGATGTCATAGCCATGGACACGTACCTCAGTCTCCTTGAATCTGACGAACTTCACAAGGTGTATGTAAAGTCAAAGCTGGAGTAAGATAGACAATGTGGATGGAGTTTACCATACTGTATTGCTTACCAATGTTTTCCTTGTATCATTTATCGCATAGTACTGTGTCTTTAACAAATCTATGGCTTTGTTTTCATTAACTGAATTTGAATGGATTTTCAATGACAGATAACATTGTAAGGATACAAAAATGTGTAAACTAAAGTAGGCCCCTTCTACCTAGCTCCTGCTGATAATCAATCCACATAGCGTGAGCGATCTGATCACAGCAATTATTGGCCACAGTACGGTTTGCCTCCGTTGGTGGGGTGTGAGAAAGCTCACCGTTGTCAACCTCAGGAGTAGGGTTGAGGAGGTTGATGTCATTGGGAGCATTGATGTTGGAGGGATCATGGGTCTTGATGAAGTTGTGCAGCATACAGACAGCAGGTGGAACCTTGGCTTGGATGGACATGTCATACTCTATAGCGACCCTCAAAATACCAAATTGGCCCTTCAAATCACCAAATATTCGCTCCACAACATTCTGGGCAGATGCATGGGGTAGATTAAAATATTCCTCGGGATATTGAGGTCTAAAAAAATGAATTTAGTCTACTATAACATAGTAAATAGATACTTTACATTACCTGCAATTTCCCCGAGCATATTCGGCCAAATAATAGCGGACACCTCTGTAGGGGACCAGCAATTGGTTACATGAAGGAAATCCCGCATCAGCGAGATAGTAGCGATGATGAGGGATGTACAGGTAATAAGTCCAAGCGTCATGGAACAGGCTGGCATCTGCAACTGACCCCTCCCAGCCGCTAAGCACGTATATGAACTTCATATCAAAGTCACAGCACATCAAGCAGTTCTGGGTGACTGAACCCTTCCAATTGCAAGAGGCTGCACATTCTGCAGCAGAAGGACTGCAAACAACATGGGTGCCATCAATGGCACCAATGGCACCCGCAAAATGGCAAAGCTTTGGGTTATTGCTGATGGCAAATGGTGTAGGGGCATTGGCATCTGGTAGACGTACATATGCGTGTAGATATTAGGGTAAGTGAAAGCTTCAAGCATTCTCTTGAAGTATCTAGAGACTGTGTCATTTGAGCGCTGAACGTTCCGTCACACATGTGTACAGAAAAATGGCGAGTTGTTCTTCAATCAACATATGCTTTGAATCCGAGTATCCATTGGCCTGCAATAAATCTAACAACTTCGAGAAAACTTCCTGTCGCACCCCAAGCTCCACCTGATACAATCAGGATGCCCATCTATCAATTCCCTGACCCATCCATAGCCTGTCAGGACCAAGTTGTGGTATGGTCTTGGTTTGGGGCATTGCACTTGTTCTTCCACTATAGCCTGAGTAGCATGTGTGATTGATTCAATGACAATAGAAGCTAGTTTTGACATCTGTAAATGGGCCAAGTACATCCGGTGTTGGCTGGTGATTAGCTGGTGATTAGCTACAGTATTTAAACCATCCTGCCCCTCTGAATCATGAGTATCATTTCCTTCCGTACAAGTTGCAGGATTGGTGTCTGAGTTCATATAGGCGGTATAGCTGATAGCTGATGACATGGTGTCCTAGTAGTACTATCTTATCAACGGGTCGCGAAAAAGGCTGCGAAAGACGAATACAGAAGGTGCACAAAATGTGGGGGACTGCATAAGACAGATGGGTACCAAAAAACATCCAAGGTAGACTACAAATATCGAAGAAAATCCACAAGCATCAGTATATTCAATACAGTCACAGTATACCTAAAATAGTAAGTCAACAATGTGCTTGGCACCAGAGTTTTGCTCGTTTGGCCCATATACCCTCAGACAACAATACATATATGTCCTTTGTACGTTGCCAACAAACTCTCAATATCTCAAACATAGGTTCGTCTTCTGAACCATCTTTCTCTTCTGGAAGCATCTCATAACCTTCAGGTATAACATTGCCTGTTACAATATCATGAAGCATAGAGAAAAAAATGTTCCTGGTTAGAGTTTAGGAAAGGACTCATGTAAAAAGGAGTCTCAATTCCGTTGTGAAAAATGTTGCGTTGAATCTCTTCTGCTGGATCTGCACACGGTGATTCTTCATCAGCGGCCCTCGTAGCATTGTTGTGGTAGCCACATACAACAAGCGTTGCTTGTCCGATTAAATGCAAGTCCTGAGAGAACCATGAATATTTAATTAATTACATTCCTTATAACAACCAACACTTACCTTTGGACTTTTATTGTTGGTCTCAGTGCCAGCAATGGGATGTGAATTCCAATCAGCTTGAAAGTGCTGACAATTGTCGTTGAGGACATCTGTAAAGAGTGAATGGAGGAGCTATAACTTAATGTAAAAAAGCCAAAAACATGCAATGTATGTGCCCCATATGAAAGACGCCTGATTGGGCCCGTTCTTCATTACCATGTAGGTGGCAACTTGTACATTTTCCCCTCCACAATCTCCTTGAACATGAGAGGGGCACCCAAATTCTGTGATAGCACTCAAAAAAAGGTCAAGGACCATTGAAGCACAGTTATTTGTACTTGCCTTGAGCGCGACAACCTGAATTTTAACAATAATGTCATTTGGATGATTGGAAATAGATGTGACAACTTACAGTGCAACAGAACCCGTCCACCATGCCATGGATAATGTAGCCCCAGCGTATAAGTTGTGATGCCCATTGATGTGCCATAGGGCATTTGGGTGAGGGACTCAATATTTTTGGCATCAAATGATTTGTTGTTTTTGTAGTCAATGTCCTAGGCCGTCAACACAACGTAAACTGTGCCAAATTTGCCTACGTTGAATGCATAAGCCGTGGCTTTGGAGAAAATTGACAAGATAACAAAAGCTGAAATTGGGCTTTTGGCTCTTGAATTGCCTTGCCAAGGTATCCAAAGACACATCACTGATATTGGAATACTCGTGCTTGATATTGTGTTCTCGCATAACACGACGTAAGGTATTTTGATGGATTCCGAGCACGCCAGCGAGCTGCTTCAGCATTATTTTCCGGCTGCTACACAGTGCTTCCTTCACAAACATGATGCTGACGTCTGCATGTGGTCGTCCTGGTTGTCTTGTGGACTTCATGTTGACAAGTTATGGAATAAAAACATCACTACTATAATATGTGAGTCCTAATAAACAAGCACCAAACAACACTTGTATAAGCTTACCCATTCTGCACCCTTGAATCCAGGGAATGTAAAGCACGGACAATGTGACCTAGGAGTTTGGCACAATTGTGAAGCCAAATTTTACTGGTTCGATCTTGCATGAAGTTTTTGTCATTTTCTAGGACCTCGAGCAACGGCAAAGTGTCTGATTGTATGGACTGGATGTGGAATAAAGCTCAAAACACGTCAATATCATTGGAGCGAAGAATTCTAAGAGCATTTTGATAGATTTTGTTTAGGACATCGTAAGCATGTGCTAGATTTGACATGAGCAGCGGATCTAACGTTGTGGACACAGGTGGATAAGGATAACTTGAAGGGAGATTTGCTATCATATTGTGGTCCATCAGTGGTACACTACTCGGAACGCCAACAATATATTGATTCATACTCCGCTACTCTCAACATTGTTTACTTACTCCCATGACTTCCCCATTGCTGATTGTTTTGTATAAACATGAATGCTACTACTCTGATGCACCATAAAAAATACTATTCAACCAAAACTACTGGGAACTTTGTTTATATAGTAAGATTTTACTCTGAAACTTTATTAAGAACAAAGCTTGAAGGAAGTGTCTAGCCACTTGCTGAGAGCAATCAGGGACTGGAACTAGAGTCCAATGTGAGTAACTAGAGAATAGGAAGCATTGGACTCTGCAGTACTGTCCGAAGTTTTGTAAACAAAGGTTAACAAAGCAGCCACAAAGGCAAAATAATAGAGAACACAATCAATAGTGAATGATAGAAGAATAGATAGAGAAAGGAATGAAAATATATAGGTAGCACAAAGGTGCAGAATCACCAAAACTAACAAACTTATCATAATTTGTTTTGGGCTGACTGAATTTACAGCGGGTTGAAAATACGCTCTATCGTATAAGACCGGTGATCCTCACGAAGAACTCGATTGTTTTTGCTAATATATTTGCCTCAGGATTGGCGGGAGAGTTGGTGAAGGAAATGGATGGGTCAAGTGATAAGAATCTGATCATTCTGGAACAGCTTCCTTGCTGTCAATTCGACATCTTTCTTGTGGTTTACACTAGCAAGTGGGTGTATTTGCATAATCTCTCCTACTTTCTCCCCTGATACTTTGCTAGATGCCATTCCCTTACCTTCACCAATAACAAAATAGCAAACCTGTTGTGCTTTAGTTCCAAGTATCTTTGTGTAGCTGCTCGAAACCTGGCCATTCACCATATTTTTACACGACATTGGTCCTATTCTGACATCACTTTGGCCGCCATTGCAGTTCAGTGTGGTGTTTGGACCTGGTTCAAACACGCCTTTACCTGTTTGGTCGAAGTTCGCCTAAGCCAGTTCACCCCAGCCAAACGCCAATCACTAGGGCATCCTATTTTCATCGCTGTAGCTACTCTCCATGAAATCATCTACAAACATCGTCGCATAGTTGCCTGCAAGCCTCCTGAACTTGAGGAACACACTCTGGATTGTTCAAATCACAACAGGTGCACTTCAGATTGGGCTCAGGTATGGTGGAGTGGAATGAGCCAATTTATACTCGATGGTCACAATCCCTTGTTGTACAAAGAGGCCTCTCAGCGTTTTCAGAAGTTCAATTTTGGTTGGATGGCGGATGGATGTAAAAAGAAGATGTTTGAGGTAATCCGGTCCAATAAAGCATTTGGCATTACAGATAAGCTTGTCGAGGAAACAGCGGTGCATTTGGAGAAGGAGCTCATCTTCGAGCCGTGTTTATCATCAGCAGACAATGAATCCTTGGGAATGGACGAGTAATATTGTGGTAATTAATACAATGTAAATAAATTTAGTGTTTATTTGGACTACTACAATTATGATGCCTCCGGCTGTTTGTTCGTACTGAATGCCCCCTCTTGAGATATGACCGGTGATTGCTAATTTTTAGTATTAATATATATATATGTAAGTACAACATGTACAAAATGTGAACCAAACAGTTGGCATACCTGGTGTACTCTCAAATTGTGCTTCTAATCCATCATGATCCATTGTGACCGAGCAGGGGATGGATGCACAGAGTGCATGGAACAGCTGCTTGTTGGGCTATTGGGGATAACTCAGTTGAGTTTGTGGGAAATGTCTCATTTGAAGACCTTACATACTTTTTGTGAGCACCATGCGGCTTTTATTGAGTGATTTTCTACGTATACCATGTAGAAAGTATAGTAGGCTTTACAATCTAAAATACTGCAAGTTAATAATCAGTAAAGCGGATAGATAGAGGTGAAGGGGGGGGGGTTTGACTTACCGGGCTGGAACTCCCTCCTATCAAGTCCCTACTGGATGTCAACCTCCACTTCCTGATCTGAGACCCTCACATCTACTCTTGGTGTCGGAACGTCGGGTGTCGGATGGACATTGATGTTGATCTGATGTCCACTGACATTATTGAATGTCCCCACCACTGAGCGGGCATCAGACAGTCTGAACAAATCCAGAAGATTGGCTAGCGGTAAGGTCCTACGAAAGAATGTTAAGAAAAAAGGAGGGGAAAACAAGGAAAACAAGAACCCACCACTACTGGCAGCGATAGCCTAATCCTGCAATCGAAAACATGTTTCATGTAGAACTATGAAGAGATTAGATTAGATTAGATCAAAGTGTGAGCCGCATGGTACTTACATAAGTACAAGACGAGCCAATAGCAAGTCCCACGACAAAAATGACGCAAGCTTCCCACACAGGAAATCACATATTGTGAGCCAAATTAGGCGGATAATGCGGCTAATTTCATTATCTAATGAGTCTAACATACATGTTAATTCAGGAGGTGAAGCTATTGGTAGGTGTAGTGATATTTTATTTTACTGCTATTACAAGAAGTAGTATTTCTGAGAAGACACTGAAGATATCACTGAATATTCCATGTGTACCTCATATTCTATAAGGTAAATTGTGTCAATATATATAGAACTTCTAAGGAAGAAGGACCCCTGACACCTAGTGACATGTGACATTGTGGCAATTCACCATGAAATATTTTGTCTGGCACTTACCACATGGTTCTTATGGCAATTCTCCATTAGTCATTCTGGGGATATCCCATACTGTTTGGGAAGTGCCATAAGTAGTTGGGATTTGCCACTATATAGCAAGATGAACCGTGGTGGACCAGGTTTTGAAGGGATCTTAGCCCTATCTTTGATACTAATATGATCAAGCTAAGAGCCCTTGATGGGGGGTAGCCTGAAGTGGTAAATCTTTGTTATAATATTGTAGGTACTTTTGTATTTTGTTCCTTTGTTTTTTTCACTAATTTCTTTACTCCCTGACATACATTGAACTTGAAGATACTGCATTGTCTTCTCTACACGGGGATACATTATAATGTTGCAGGCAGAAAATTATGACAGGTATGCATGCCAGATCAAAGTTTGGACGAGGGAGCTTATTAAAAGAATTCAGGCAAAACCTCCTCCCAAATTCACGTCCTTATTCTCAATGTCCGACTAAACATGCTCTGCACTTTTGTAGTTTGCATGCTTTGTCTTTCAACTCCCTTTCCCTTTTTCATATTCAGTGTTATCCCCTCTAGGTTAGCAGCAGCCTTGGCTGAGGGACATCTTACCCTCTTCCTACTTGGTGGCTCTGCATTGTCTGGTACGGTGCATTTGCAATTTGTCCTGGCTACAAGAATACTGGCTGATGCAGCCTGTTGTGTTGTCTCTGGTGCTGTAGTCAGAGCAGACTGCCTGCCAGGCACTGAAATGTACATTAGTTTTTGTGGAATAAAGAGAATTGAATCCTACCAGAACTAAGTCCACGCAAGGCAGGATCAATCACATTGTCTGGTACAACAGCAGGAGAATCCCTCTTTTGGCTTGTAGGAGAGGGATCTACTGTAGAGATTGATGAGGTAGCAGGCTCCAACACAGCAGCATTCAACACTTGTGCACCAGATGTGAGCTGCGTTGCAGCGGGAGCTTATATGACGGACATGGCTCTTAAATTAGATTGAGGAGCAGCTATGTGAGTCAGCTGCATTACAGCTGGAAGGTGTGACAATATGGAAGTGTCATTATGCAAGGGCCCTACTGTGTCAGTGCCGTTGCTACTCTTGTGGTCTGGTGTGAGGATTTCACCTCCAGAAATGCACTGACTGTGCCCCTGAGCCTCACCTCTGGTAATCATCATGAACTTACAGTCTTTCTTGGTAATTGCTTGAGCAACTCACTCAAGAACATCAGCACCTCCCTTGAGATCACTTGGGTTGGCCCACTTGTTATGAGGCTAATTGATGATTTTTACGAGGTAGCATTGAACCACAGCTTGTTTATAGCAAACATACTTCATATGGGCAGTTGTATCTCCTGTGATTTGGACTAATAGAGAATGAATGGCAAGCATATAAAAGCAAAACAAGCACATTACTTAATAAGGTTGAGCTGCAATCCATTTCTAATTGTCATTTTTGCAACCTTGTCATGAAATCTATAGCTTAAAGATGTTGCTAATTGGCCATGAGCACTGTGAGTGACAAAAGAAAACATGGAACTTGTCAATGCACCGCCTATCAAAGGTTCTGCAATAACCATACACTCCATATTAATTGCGGATAACATCAGGTCCTTTCCTGTGGCCTGGCAAATATAATGCTCAATTACAGGGCTGATAAAGTGAGCCTTTGGCTATATGTTCATGGATACTGATCCATGCACAAGAATGGTGACTGCCTTGGTACCAACACATTCCTTCAGAGCATCAAGCTGAGTGGATAAAAATACATAATAAGATAATGGAATAATCAATACAAAAATTACGACATATGTTGTTCAAGATAGCATTGGAGCTATTGCCACACTCTGCAGTACAAGTTTTCTCAGAGACATTTGGTGGCTTGACATGCAAAACATCCTTGATCTTGTCAAACTCCCTGACAAGGTTTACACGCTGAGAGTCGGTTAACTGCTTATAGTCAGTGATATCTTCAACAAGGTCTTGGATGTCTCCCTTCTTGCCGTTTTCAATACCTGTAAAATATTCAAAAATTAGTTAATTGTTCTTGCTTGGAAAAGAAGGAAAAAAGGAGAAGAAAAATAAAAAAAACAAACCTTTATTGCAGTAGAACTATTTGAGAAAACGGTGCCGACTCCTGCAGAATTTTATGGCCAGTTCTGTTGCTTTCTTGTCAATCATATTAAATACTTCATTCACCGCAGCATTTTATTGCTTCCATTTTGAAGCTCATTGTATTCCAAGGATTTTCTTGGCCTCTTGTGATAGATGAGCCCTGGGAGCTTTCAGTCTGCGTTGGATGAGTCAACCACAGTTCATGAATGATAATGGCTGTTTTGGGTTTGCTTCAGAATACATTCCTGGAAAGCTGTGTTAGCAGTAAAATAAATGGCAGCCTAAACTGTGAAAAAATGTAGCTTGAAATGCTATTTTATACTTCTAATGTCCACAGCGAGTATACATGGCATTAGGCAAAACCTTAAATCTCTATGAACCTGACTAAGTGACCCTTGTCACTCTCCAAAAATATCAAGACTAGTGCTAGTCTCAATTGCTAATGGGCAAACTTTTGTTAATAGGATGCTAGTTCTTCAGACATGCTATCTGCAGTGCCATCTTGGAACATGAGAACTTACAGGAGACATATTTTGTTGGTAGAATGCTAGTTCTTCGGATACACTTTTTGTAGTACCATCTCAGAACTAGTTCTCCCTCAAAAAAAACAGCGGCAACATAGCTATGAATGATCCTTATACAATATAGAAATAGTATATTTTGGACATAGGTTAATGCACACAATTTGAATTATGAAATATCTAAATGGCCAAAAAAATCCTCCAGTGCAGTTAGCTGCTCATGTTGATGATCTTCATTTCCCGCTTCTCCTTCATTATCCATTGCATCATTCATATCTGCACACATCTCTGGTGGAACAGTGTTTTTTGAACGGCCAAGATGTACACCTGTGGAATGGCTGCCAGAGTAACCTAGAAGTGCCTCAATCTGCTGAAGACAATAGAGATGGCCAGTATTCACCAGAGATAGTCCCATCAGTGCTGCAATTCAAATGAAAGTGGTAAATCATTTTGATGGAGGGCCTGAATAATAGCAGGATAATCTTGAGCATCATCACAGATCTTAGTTTGGGGTCTCATGATTTCAACGTTGCAGCGAAGGATCTCCTCTTTTGCCTGTGTAATCTCAAAGTACTGACGTGCAGCTTGACAGTTTTGTGGAATAGCCTATCTCTTTTTTTGAACCTTGCCAGTAACATCACAAATTAGATCAAACTCTGCAATGAAAGAATACTCCACAATTTAATCCCATATTAATAGGGCCTTCAGAGGATCAAACTCAGCGGCATACTTGTTATAGTGTTCTATGGCATTTTTTATAGCAGCTGTGCAAGTTTTCAGAGCCTTGGAATTCTGTGTCCGTAGTTTGTAGCCTGTAGATACCAATGTTAGCTGGAGTTTTGTAACATGTGTTAAAATTATTACCCAAGCCACTCATTTTGAGCTCTGTAAGTTCCAATAGCTGCATAACCACTAACTGCTCAATATTCTTAACAGCTTTATAAAAGCGGTGGTGGACAAGGCAAGATTGTGCCTTTTGACGCCCAGGATGTGCCACAGTACATCTTTCCTCAACTCTGAGTCTAGCCTTGAAGGCCTGAACAACCTCCAACTCGAGCTCAAGCTTCTTTTGCGCATTTGTACAATTGCTTTGTACTTTTGCAAATTTCTTCCATGTAAATCCATCTGTTAAGATGCGGAGATTAAGGCAGTTAAATTTAGATAAAGATTCTGAACAAATGAGCAACACACATACTCAGCTTCATCCAATTCACTCAAAGCTTTGACATGCTCCATCTCAATGCTATCTTCATTTGTTTTACTACTGAGTTGCTGAAAATACTGGTGTTTGTCAGCTAAATCTGCTTCAAAGTCGTTGCTGGTCAATTATGAGTGATGAAGAAATTCTGTGTTGATATTGATAACATTGAGGGCCTAGATATAGTTCTGGTATATGAGTGTACCTGTCAAAGGACTCTGTCACTTGCAAAATCACCAAAATGAAAAAAAAAAAAAAACTCACTCAACAATGCATATTTATCAATATCAGAGAACTTGAAGTACTCATCAAGTGCTTGATGCCGATGAAACTCTGTGCTGTTGTGAATCTTGGGTGCAAGGGCATTAAAACCATAAATATTTGTTTGCAGGTTTTAAAGTCTTCCTTTCCTCTGGCAACCTTGTACTTTGAATGGTACTGCACTTGACAAAGCTGGTTATGAGCATGGCCATGAAATATGGGGACAACCCCATCCATGCTGAGCTTCTTCACCATGGGGTCCAAGGAGGAGTGGAGAAGAGCCTTGCTAAGTGCACAGTGGATATTATAGCCATATAGAAATGGCTCTTGCAAGACCTCCATCAAATGGCTGATTGTTGCAAGCAGATATGTTATGCTTTTCAAGATATTAGATAAAACATGTAATCCTGGATGAGATTCACTTACAGTTTGCAAGAACAAACCATATCACAGATTGAAAGCAAAAATTCATGATGGCAGACAGCCACAAAGATGCCATATTTGCAGAAAATAGTAATTTTTCTTTGAGCTTTGTGAGCCATGTTATGCAAGTGGTCAACGCATACATTCTGATGCTGTGTCGGGTCAGCTGCTTCATGATCATCTATCCAGGGATCATCAGGATCTGCATCATCAGCTTGAGGCTGTTGGCGCAGACTTTGGACTTCATTTTTGAATCAGTTCACATATTCCTCACTAATCCAGACAGTAGACTTTCCATCCCATGGTTCTGGATGTTTTCAGCCTTTACGGAATCCTGGATCCACAAATCTAGCAGAGTTCTTGCTGTTTATAGCAGTCTCTATTATAAACAAGAGCTTTGGTTCCCCTTCCAGTTTATATCAACACAGTGGGCAAGAATTGAGTATATGCCAGTATGGGATATCACACCCGAGTGCTTTGTTGATGTGATTGTTGACAGAGCAATGAATTTTCAAGTACACATCATACAAAATCCTAAATTGCTTGACCAGATAGTGGTGGTAGCATACCTGCACAAAACACTTGAGTTGAAAATAGGGCCTATTATACTACACTTACACAATGTATGTGGCAAAGCTTCTTGACCTCTGCATGGATGCTATGACATGGGCACACACAATGGGTCTGTCAATAGTTTTCTAGTGTGTGCAGAGTAGTTGCCACTGTGGGCTTGATGTGAGATGACCTAATGCAACCCCTGTGTATGAAGGATATGTTTGTGAACTGGGACACATGCAAAAAAAATATAAAGCTTTTGTTCTAGCAGGGTATTGTAGTCAGCATTTAAGCAATGAAACCAATCTGTAAGTACCAAAAACATCAACTACTTCAATAGAAAGATGATCTTTGTGTGGTCTACTACTGATGGGAAGTGGCATTAAACAGTCTTGTTGATGCTGTAAATATGTGTTAGTAAGTGAATCAGAAAAGTAAGTGAAACAATGCATTGAATAAAAGAACAGAACTACCTTTTGGCATTAAAGGCCTCGTGAAGCTCTGTATATGCCTCAAACTCCCTGCCAGTATGGCTAAGGGAGAATGATTCTTCACCCAACAGGTGGAACCACAAAAGGCATGTCAATTGAATGTGAGGATTGATCTGTGTCTTCATGAATGTTTTTGGCCATACTTGCAAGGCTGCCATTGCTATCCCCCAGCCTCCCCGGACATGACACTCCCCCGCCCCAACACTCCCTTCAACTTCTCATCCCCACCTTTCCATCCCACCCCCATGTCTCCTCCCAGCTCTCCAAATCTATTCAGGCAGGAAAAAATGCCTTTGGACATTCCTGGCATCCCTTGTCCTTCCCCCAGGCCTCCTCCTTACTGGCCTTTTAAGGTCCAACAAGGGATTCACCTCAGCTGCCAAGGCCCCATACACCCCCGGGAGGTGAGGTCCCTACCACTGTCATTCCTCAAAGTGATAGCCGGGACCTCATAAACTTCAGCTTTACATCCCCGGTTACCAGCCACGTACAATGCTCATCACAGCAGTGGAGTTCCCCTTCTTCCTTGGAAATTACTTGGAAGAAAGGGATCATTGGGGATCTCTATCAGAGGATTAGCAAGCTGGAAGATGAGGTATTAAGGTTAAAAGCGAAGGAGAGGGACTACAATTAGAAGAGATAATTGTTGAAGGGACTTGTATTATAAATCTTAACTTTTCTCAAAATTTTATTCTTTTTTTCAGCTAGATTTCATTTGTATATACTTAGTTTCTCCTCACTCACCACTCAGTGTATATTTACTTACTTGATTCATATAAATTTGAGCTACCTACATTACAATCTCAGTGTGATAATGTTTGATAACAATAAGCCTGAGAACTCTACCCAGAGACCCATCCACATGGCCCAAGACCTGTCTAACTTCAACTCATTGATAAGCTATCTGTAAGTGATGCCCAGCAACATGGTAATATTGCCCAGAATGCTCTATAGCCAAATGATGTATAATCTGTTCAGCCCGGGCAATAAGATCATCTAACCTGGGAAGACTACAACACTCACACCCCCGGGTACACATTTTAAACCCAGGGCCATTATATACATTTATTACATTACTGTACAAGAGGTATACCTACTATTCAACACCTTGTTTTCTTTACCTTTCACATCTGATCTACCTTGGTGTCCTTGGCTTGTTGAAGCCGCTTTACTGGACAATTACCAGACCTTGTCCTGTGTGCAATGTTCCCAGGTTTTTCATCTATCTCCTCATGCCCACATTTGGTGGAACTCTGCATCACCCTTGTCACCATCCTGGGTAGTGGCCTTGCCTTTTCAGGAAAGGCAGATTCCAAGCTGCTTTGTATTGCAGTGGTCATGTCCCTGCAGAATGGCCCCTGATACCTGTGTGGCCATCCCAAGACCCCGGAAAATGTAGATAAGGCTGCACGCGGAGCCACCTCAACAGGTTTTGGGTTCCATTGCCTTGGTGAATCTCCAATGTAATCATGCTGTGGACATAGCCGCATGAGGCCTATAATGGCCAGTAGTCCAAGTAATCCTCTGGCTGGCCATTACTCTGGGAGCCAGGCCTGGGCTTGTCTTTTGGCAGTTGGTACACTGCATAAGGAGTGTTCTTGTCTGTTTTTTTCTACACCTACATATTGCTGCCCTGAGATAAGGTTGGGCATCAGTTTGGAGGGCCCGGTGTTGATGATGAGAACTGTTGTTAGAAAACCACACACAAAAACAAACTAACACACAATCCTCCCAGATTCCACGGAACTTGTTTATAGGCTTTGCCTCCTAGAACAGTGGGTGCTCTGGTTATTCGTGGGGTGGTATGTATGAGGATCCTTCAAAGTAAAACCCAGAGATGTATGGGTGTGGGTTTTGAGGAGGGATAGTTGGAATATAGAAAGATAGGGGCTTTGTGGCGAGTATAGACGAGCACTACTTTGCTAATCGTAGCACAAGGTAGGTTTGAGAATGACAATATGACGAGTTTCCCAGTGATAGCAGGTTCCTGACGCACAAACTGTAGTGCTCAGAAGGACTTTAATCAAAAGGGATGACAATGACTTCAAAAGTGGGAAGTGACAATGACAGCAGTTGACAGTGGTAGCAGTGGGAAGTGTTGTGATAGGATAAGATTGTCAAATAAAGGAAAAGAAAGGGATAGAACAATGAATGCTGTGAGTAATGTCACAGGTTTGTACAGCCATAAAGTAAAGTCCAATAGCAAAAAGAGAGCAGGAAAATCATGATGTCATGGGAAGATACAGGTAAAAAAAGGGCAAGGCAAAACACTATCAGTATCAACACAGTTTCTTTATTGTCAGTCAGGCATTCTAAAAAATATGTGTCCATAAAAATGATTCAAAAATCAAAAATAATTGCACTGTAAATGAATGTTCTGCTGAAAAAAAAGAAACTGGAGCCACCGGTCCACCACCTAGTCCAAATCCGACAGTTCCATGGCCTCACCAATGGACTGGTTGTGCTGGACCACCTGGTCAAACGGGGGGGGGGGAGAGGAGTAGTCCCAATTTGGAACAAGTGAGTCCCAGGCAGCGTGTGGTAGGTGTAGCTGTAGCAAAGACGATGGACAAAAGATAAGTGTACCCAAGTGAATGGGACAGCAATGAAGATGGGCAACGCAAGGAGATGAACCTTCTCCAGCTCAAAAACTACCCACCCATGCTCCAACCAGGCAAGACGAGTGACCGATGTTTTGATAGTATATGATGGTAGATCAACGTCATAAAGATGGACCTGTTGCCCTATTTGAACCGGCCGCCGGGGCTTTGCTGATATCAGCAGTGGCACGTGGTAGTCGACGGACTGGCGATAGAAGCAGATAGGAAGTGGTGACATCAGAAATGGTGTGGGTGCAAATAAGATGAGGAGGAGGGTGGAGGTGACGAAAAGGTGGATTAGAATGGGGATCCAGAAACGACCGTCAGGTGAGAATAAAAAGGAGAGGAAGGGGCCCATGGTGGGGCTAGGCAAAGGAAGGGAAGTAAAGGAAACAACAAAAACGAGGGCACAATGCAATGTGTAGCCAGTGGCGACGCAAAAATTTGCCGAAATGCTGAAACGCGGAAAGTACCGAATGGAAAAGCAAAGGTGAGCGTGACTGGATTGCTATTTCACGTGGCACTGTGCCTGTGTGGAGCAAAGGCGAGTTTTTTTGAATATTCACTTTGTTATTAACACCTGTCCATGCTACCAATCAACTTTGGTGCATGACACCGGGCCTGGATGTTGATTTCTGGAAAGCTATGGTTTGTTGCCTTGCAGCTGGTTCAGAGAGCCCGGGCTAGTCCTGAACCATCAGGAAAAACTCTTTTACTATATAGCGCTATATAGCCACCACCTATATATATAAATGCACTCATAGATACTATAGTACTATCAGTGCAATCATAGCTCTTATAGCTCTTATAGCACAGTAGTAGGCAAAATTTCAACCAAGGGGAGAAGTATTTATAATTCCCTCAAACCCTGCATTAATCTAATAAACTTGTTCGATAATAAAAACAGACTAGAAGTGTTTGGATTCAAGTATATTATTATTAGGCAAGGTACTATAAGTGCTCTTATAGCCTATGGTAGCCTACATAGCTCCTATAGCTGTAAAGGTCATAGTTATAATATAGTTGAAGCTGCTTAAAAGGGCTAATAAATCATACAGTATTGATCAATTATGTAGCCTGTATTAGTGAAATAGTAGTTTGGGATCTTTGATATTTATAAAAATGAGAATAATGATTTATCCAAATATAAGTGGTGACAATGAGTAACAAAATAACCTAAGTCCATGAAAGGTCAATGTATAACACCTGTATAACCTATTTTATGAGCTCTCATGGTGTAGTGGATAAATGTGTGATGTGTGGCTATAGGTTGCTTAGCCACCCAAAAGCTGACTAGCAGGTTGAGAGTTCAAATCCTGTCTGTTAATTTTTTTAATCAGCCACACAACAATTTCCAACATCTATAAGAGCATTTATAGAGCTATATGAGACTCTATAGATGGCAGAGGTTCTATAACAGGTTTGACCACTATAACAGCTTTATGAGCACTTATAGTGCTATAGAGCTCTATATAGCTACCCCCATTTTTCCTGATGACGTCAGCACTGTGTTTATCATCACTTAGAATTTCATCAAGCCCCTCAATCTCCACTTGTTCCTCATCGGTGGATTTGCTTCTTGGTGCAACCATTTTCGCTCTGGGAAGGGTCTCTCTTCATTACTGCCTTCTCTTTACCCTTTTATTTATTGGCTACCAGGTGCAGACTACATTTGAACCCTGGCACTCTGCAAGGCTTGTGCAAATAGTTCCATTTGTATTTTTATGGGCAGTGAGCACAAAACTTAAAATTCCCAGATCCTGGCTTGCTTGCATCCAAAAGTCCTTCATTACTTTCCTACCCTTCATTCCAGAAGCTCTGGGTATCTTGAGTCACTATTTGTCCTGGGTGAGTAAAGGACATTATACTCACTTTTGTCTCACTTCCTCTGATGGCCCATCAATGTACCACTCCTTGCTCTTCTCTTTTAATTCAGCTAGCTCCTGCTTGCTGAGCTCAGTCAACATTGCCTTCAGGACACTCTGCAGTTTACCAATATAACCTGACTGCCCCAGCTTCACTCTGTAAAGGTCCCACATCCTTTTGTCCACCTCCTTCTTCACAATGTTGAGCACTTGGTTCAGACTTAAATACTCTCATGCCCGGCAACCTTGTTCCTAGGCTCTTTGTTACCACTGTGGTTGTACAACCAACACCTGACCCGCTGCAATCTTAATTCAATCTTAATTGTAAACATAATGTTACGATAACACAATTTTCGGACCTTTCCTTCATTTTCATTCTCCGCTTTAAACCTTGTATACTTTAGCTTTCACACATGGTGCCATGTGGCACTTCCCCTTTTGTTCAAACTCCTCTTTCTCGTGCCGTGTTGCCTTCTTCTTATTTTAGATACAACTCTCTCACACAGTGGAGTTGGTCATGCGGGCTAGGCCCCATGACATCATCAGCCACTGACTTTATCAACTGTACAGTACATAAGTACAAACACTCTGTATTAGTATATATACCCCAATAGATCCAGGAGACTCCTTAGCGAGTCCTCCTGTTGTTAACCAACAAACTCTCTGCAGCTTAAGGGGTAATCACTCCCCATTCACTACCTTTATCATGTGTTCCTGTGTGCGCCAGAGTAACTAACTCTTGTTTGTTACACATAATGATATACTTTGACAATTAAGAGTGACTATACCTCTTTCATGTCTGTCAATTCCTTGATGTTGGTTAGTGTTGGATATTTGGTCCCTCAGGGCGCAGGAACAGGTGCGGGAGCAGGACTCCTTTGGCAAACAAATGCCATAACAAGGTAAATACAAGGTTTCTTATATAACAAATATACATAAATATTATGTGAAAAAATAATGGTGACCACAAAAGGCCGGTTATAATCACAGAGTAAATCTTCGGGCAAAGCCCCAAAGTTTGCTTACATAATATAATTTCTACAGTTAGTACATGTTCCCCCAAAATTTTCCTGACATTACATTCCAGGTATCATGAAGTACATGTCCCCGTTGTAGAGAATTTGCAACCCAGGACTCTTCCAAATGTGTATTGAGTATTTAAATTTGGGCATCATTAAAAAGTACTTCAGGCATGACTAAATGTGGTACTAGTTAGAAAGTGAGGTGCATATTTGAAGATGAGTGCTATCTTTCCCTTTTCTGTTTGACTGCAAATTTTCAGTCAATTCAATACCATATTCATCCATTCCAAGCAAATATTTGGCTCTTCTGTCAGACCTAAGTAATGATATCATCACCTTAACTCCATATGGGGTCTTCAGCTAAAGCCTAGAACGTGTCAATGCATTCCCTGATATATTGCTTCCATGTAAGGAAATTTAGTGCCAGATCTATCGAGTTGATTACCCTGGTGAGGCCTGGGTAGCATAGAAGCTATTGTAAATTAGAAGCATGGGCTCCATATCAATCACTGCCTTCTATCATAAATATCCTGCATAAAATCTTCAAACTGGTGTCTGGTTTAACAACCTCATCTCTTCTCTGCAGAATTACTTAGCATGGGCTGCAGCTCCTCCCAATGTTTGGCTCCAGTGTTACAAAGAGTGGATTAGAAGAAGCTCAAAACAAGCAGAGGTGTGCGGACAAAACAAATAAGTGTGAAAGACCACATATCCCAATCAACTTTGTCAACACCCCATCAAACTCCTCATAAACATGATTTGTTCCCCATCCGAGACATTGACCATCCTATTCTTGAGCCATTGGTTATATCTCCAGGATGGCAAGTCCATTAAGTAAGTACGTCTGTTATTATTTGTCTGACATTGGTTTAGTCACAAAATAATTACATGAAACAATGACTGGATTATTGTTCAGAGTATCTGAAAGTCCTCATGCAGGAAGGGGGGTGGTCCCTGGGACAGACTTGCAGCTTTTGTTTAGTGAGACAAAGAACTTGGTGATGCACAGAATGTTTGGGGAAACCAGAGTATTGTTACAATTGACATACCAGCACCTACTTACACTTTACTTTTACTGTAATTTTACCTTTATTTTCCAAGTCACACAACTAATCACATGATGCATCACCTGACCAGTGTCTAGATTCATCATGTGACCAGTCACATGCTAGACATCAGACTTTAAACTTTATTTACAACTGTACAGTACTGTTAGTTTTGGTGATTCTGCACCTTTGTGCTACCTATATATTTTCATTCCTTTCTCTATCTATTCTTCTATCAGTCACTATTGATTGTGTTCTCTATTATTTTGCCTTTATGGCTGCTTTGTTTACCTTTCTTTACAAAACTTCGGACAGTACTGCAGAGTCCAATGCTTCCTATTCTCTAGTTACTCACATTGGACTCTAGGTACTGTATACCTGTCATACTCTCTAATAATATAGTTACTCACATTGGACTCTGGTTCCAGTCCCTGATTGCTCTCAGCAAGTGGCTAGACACTTCCTTCAAGCTTTGTTCTTAATAAGTACCTCATGTATTGTAGTATATATATCTGAGCAATACATGGGGAAGGACTCAGTAAGTCCTCTTCTAGTGTATACCAACATTAGTATGACAAATTCCCTCTCTTGATGAGTTGTACTGTTACAATACACAATTTTCAGACCTTTGACTTTCATTCTCCGTTTCAACCTTCTTTTCAGCTTTCACAGTGCTACACTGCCAAAAACTGGCCTACCTGAGACAATCTCAAGGGGGAGATGGAAAAATATTTCAAACCCCAAGCTGAGCGTGACTAGGCGTGCCAGCAAATCTGTTCGTTCAAACAAGGAAACATGAGGACAGATGATTTTGTAACCCGGTTCCTGGCCCTCTCCATCCAAGGGGGTATAGGTAATGAACATACAGTAGAACTGCTAGAATGCAATGTGAATCCCCACATTGCAGAACAGCTTTATTTGCAGGATATGAGAAATGAGAACCTCTCACAAGCAGCAGAAGAAGTTCGCAAAATAGGTAGGGCCATTGAGCTCTACAAAATGCAATTCTGTGGCGGGTCCACCACCAAAAACAACTGTTCCCAGAGGAGCACTGGGTCATCAAACCAAAATAATCATCACTCTCACGGGTTCAAACCATTCGGGCTGCAACTAGGGCAGGGAGCCCCTATGGATATTGGTGCGGTCCAAGGTGGACAGATGGGCAGATTCAAAGGGAACTGCTACAATTGTGGTCAAGAAGAACATATATCCCGAGACTGTATAAATGGGGCGCAGGCTGCCCAACAAAAAAATAACCAAGGGCACCAGGTTCACCAATTAGAAATGGAGAAGCTGGAAGATTGGCTCAATACTCTGGCCGGTTGCTCATATGACAAAATCCAAGCCTTCTTTTACGACCAACAGGTCGCTGAGATGAAGGCTCAGGGAAAAAAGTTCAAAGCTTAGGTCACTTAGGTGCCTTGCTCCTCTTAACAATGAAGTAAACCACAACAAGGTGGCCACTGCTCCGGGGTGTTGCACAAGCAATAAAGGAAAGGGGGTGGCTCCCCAATTTGTAAATAGATTTTTAAATTTGTTATCTGAAGTATGTACTTGTATGAAGAATTGTGACTGTGGTATTTATGATACTACTGCTGCACCAGCGTCTCCTCAGGAGTGTGGCCCCGGCGAGACAAACACTAGGGTGCTTGATTCTTGTAAAAATAAAAATAAAAACATAGAAAATACTATAGTAGAAAAATCTGTTTCTTTTGATTTCTCTTCTTTGGAGCCACTTTCCACAGAAATCCCAAGGCGTGTGCTGATGCACACATATTTATTAAGAGATCCATTTAGATGTTGGTGTGGAAGACCTTGCCTGGGGCATAGTACACCCAACCAGTGCACTGCTTGATTCAGGCGCTAACAGCATCTTCATAGATCAGGTCTGGGCAGAGCAAGTTGGACTCCCCCTTGTAAAATTAGATATATCTATTCCTGTCTATAATGTTGATGGTACACTTAATGCGGCTGGCTGTATTACACACAAATATTCTTTTGTTGTTGAATGCCAAGGACACAGAGAACCAGTCACCGCCAAAGCAACCCAACTAGGGAAGATTAATTCAATCTTAGGCTGGGCCTGGCTATACAAACACAACCCTGAGATAAAATAGCAGACAGGGGTTGTCACATTGTCACGTTGTCCTCAGAAGTATAATGACTTGGGTAAACCAAGTCATGTCTGTCAAACTGAGCTTGATGAAAGGATAAACGCTAGTCACATTTATGCCAAACTCAGATTTTTGGATAAGATTGATGATGACAATGATGAGGTAAAACCTGAGGAAGAGATTAAGAGGCTGGTACCTCCAGAGTAAACAAGTTGGCTGGTGCCAAGATCTTAACAAAGATGGACCTCAGATGGGGGTACAATAATTTACGCATCAAAGAAGAAGCTGCTTGGAAGGCCGCGTTCACATGCCACCAAGGATCCTTTGAACCCCTTGTCATGTTCTTTGGGTTGACCAATTCACTAGCTACCTTCCAGAGCATGATGAATGAGATCTTTGCAGATATGGAAAATTGTGTCATCATTTACATTGTCAATTTAGTAATCTTTACGAAGTCGGACAATGAGGCTGAGCATGACAAGGTTGTGCAAGAAGTCCTTTGATGCTTACAGGAACGGGACCTATTCATCAAACCCAGAAAATGTAATTTTAAAGTGAAGGAAGTAGACTTCCTTGGTATGATAATTGGCCAAAACAGAATCAGGATGGATCCTGAGAAAGTTCAAGTTATATTGGATTGGCCTGAACCTACTCGCGTTAAAGGAGTTAGAGCCTTCCTTGGCTTAAGCTAAGCTTCCTAGGAGCCAAGGGATTCTTAGAATAAAATTCTCAAACAGCATTGCGGGAATTGTCCAGATGGGCTTCTGGTTCCCATGTTCTCTCCTGGTTGCCATAGCCCTTCCATAGGACCAGGAACTCTAATTTTCCACGCTTCAAGCATGCATCCACCTCCCATTTGACTTCAAATTGTTCTTCACCTTCCTGGGTGACTACAACCGGTCCGGGCCGGTCTATGCACTGTCCCGGCAGCGGCCCTTTGTAGGGTTTCACATGGCTAATGTTAACCGTTGGTACTACCCTCATTCATTTTGGGAGTTCCAGCTCCACACATTGGGTTTGACTTCCTTAGTCCGGTAAGGACCGAGAAGTGGATCGGTCAGTTTTTAAGACTGCTGATCTTTTTAATTTTAAGTGGTCGGTATCTAACCAGACCAGGTCGCCAACCTTGTAATCAGGGGCCTTAGAGTGTCTATGCTCTGCCCTGTCTTTCATCTGCTCTGCAATTTTGAATAGCGCCTTGCACATTTTGTCTAAATCAAACTTCATGTCCTTAACCATGCTCCCAGCAGCCTTATTCTTGCTTTTGCCAGGTTCTACACCCATTCTGGGGAGGTATAACCCCGTAATCTCAAATGGTGCTTTCCCTGTAGCCGACGACTGTTTGACATTATATGAGAACTGGGCTATCTTTAGCCACGGTATGGCATAGGCTCTTTCTTCACTTGGAATAAGATTTAAGATAGTGTCGGATGTTAACTGATGGGTTAACAAGTAGAGACCAACAAACAAGACAGTATAGGTGAACTATGTTTATGTATTTGCCAAGTAACAAGGCTAAATGTCATAAACTTGTTGAAAGGTTATTCAGATAGTTTACCATATTCTGCCTTTAGATAAGAGTTGGTTATATGGCCTAATTTTAATTTCTTATTGTCAATAAAATTCAAGTTATTCAAGATCTACTAGAAACCAGATATAAGTAAAATTTTTCATGTTGCATTTGTTCCAGTTTGTTAAGGCAGTATCACCTGCTGGACTAATCTTGCTTTCATCAAATATTTCCCGCAGCTTTCACAGAAAGATGGTGGGACAAAATATTATTAGATTATGTGTGCTAATGAGAATTACAAAATGTAAAGATAATAGAGTAGATGTGTTTTTGGGATATGATTATGAGAAAATGAAATAAGTGATTATGTTGGAAAGGGTTTGGCGTAGATTTAGTAACATAAGGATTTCTTAGATGACTTGGATAGTTTTTTAGAATATACTGATAACCCAATAAGATGGTGGAATTATAATATAGAGTTTATAACCTGTTGCAGTTTAACAAACAAGATAGAAAGTATTGACAAAAATGGTAGAGTAAGAAAATATAAACTAACTATATGTATTTACAAGCTGAGAAGACTTATCATCATAATTTCTAACAGGTAGTACTTAGGATGAGATATTTATATAGATAGGACTAGTACTTCAGATAGCTACATCAATGATGTTCTGATTTTAATATCTGCCAGATCTGCATAACACATCACAAATTATGTGATTTTTTTAGTAAGAGAAACCATACATTAACTAGAGCTTGAACTGGGATTCCAGCATTCATGGTCTGGTACTTTACCAATTAGGGTACCAAGGCATACTTGGAAAGCATATTGATTGGTTGCATTCCTAGAAGGGCTGAATCACTATACACAGGTGTGGATCACTTTATATAGTGTGATGGCACATACTCAAAATCATGGTCTATATTAAACTTGAAAACATCCCACTTGAGTGGCCAATTTCAGAATAGAATATAGCTTTGACAAAACCGGATAAACCTGGTCTCTGCCGAAGCAGCCATTGTTCTCCATGGAGCATAGCCACCACTCCATGGAGTAACCATTGTTCTCCTAGGAGTCATTATACTGTAGCGAGTAGCACCTCCGACTATAAGTAGTAGGGGGTTTAGTATAGGAATACCTCAGTCGTTTCTATAGCCTCTCGGGCAGCGGCTGAGGTATGTTACATTACATTTAATAGAGATCACCTTAAACTAACATCTATTGTAGTTTCACTTAGGTAAATAATAAAGTCGTTTCTATAGCCTCTCAGGCAGCGGCTGAGTTTCACTTAGAATTATTAGGTTATGAGCCCTGGCGCGCAAAAGCTATGCAGGAAATAATTCTTATTTGAAACAGCAACTTTGGAACCATGACCACAGCACACAATACATCCACATGTCCAGTTCTCACTGGACCCAACAATTTTCAGATATAGAAACTCCGGATCATCTCAAAGCTACATTGGGAAAAAGTTCTCCGGGTTGTTACTGGAGAGAGCTCAAGCCCTCACCAGGAAAACCTACCTCCTCGGAGGATTCTGAGATCACCTGGATACTTAAGGATGAGAAGGCACATGGAATCATCCAGGACCACATCTCTGATGACCTCCTAATGAGGACTGGAGACCTCACCAGCTCCAAGGAGTTATTTGATAAACTTGTCTCACTCCATGAAATGTCCAACATTGCCTTGGCCTTCTATTCATTCCAGCAACTCACCAAATTGTCCTGGGATGGGACATCACCTATCCAGGACCACATTGCGAAAATACGGACAATTGATTCACACCTCTCCAGAATGAAACTAGGAGTTGATACCAAACTCATGGCCTTTGCTCTTCTCCAATCTCTCCCATGCACTCCTGAATGGCAAATATTTCAGTCATCGGTAATCAACACAATTGAAGAAAATAAACTTACCTTTGATGCAGTTGAGATCTGGATCACTGCAGAAGTTGCACGACAGTCAGGGAAGGCCCCTGGAGGTTCCAAATCAGCACTCAAATCCGAGGAGAAATGGTGTAACTTCCACAAAGCCAAATCACACAACACCTCGGAGTGTCGAACACTTCAGTCGGCTGAAAAAGGTCAAAGGAAGAAGGGAAAGGAAAATACAGCAGAGCAATCATCCGGATCTGACTCCGAGGAGGAACAGAGTCATATTGCATTGGAACATGTACATATTTCCAAGCCCCTTGCTAAACACATTCAAGCTTACCTTGTGTCGGAACCCGATATGACCAAAACAACAATTATTATTGACTCTGGAGCAACATCCCACATGGTCCCTCACCGCTCCTGGTTTGAGCCAGGAACATACCATGTTCTGCATCCTCCAAGGACAATCAGTTTTGGGGATGAATCCTCTGTAAATGCTATTGGCATTGGAACAGTAATCCTACAAGCAACTGTTGGCAAAAAGGACTACAATATTGCACTGTCAAATGCCTTACTTGTGCCAAACTTCACATTAGCACTTTTTTCTGTCCACAAATTGTTCAAAACGGGGTTATCAACACTTTTTCCAGCAGGGTCAAATGCTTGTGAAGTTTGGAAAAAGGAGGAACTTATCCTCACTGTGTTACACAAGCGAGGACTTTATCACATCCAAGCAAAACCCGAAATTAACCCGGAGTCAGCTTTTGCAGCAGTAGATGTAAATTTATTGCTCAGGAGAATGGGACACATTGGAATGGACCGCTTGCAACAAATGGTTACAAAAAGACAGCTCCAGGACATAGACACCCTTACCGGAACCCCGGAGTTTTGTGAACCTTGTGCTTTAGGAAAGATGAAGAAATTGCCTTTCAAGTCCACTGGAGAAAACCGAGCCAAGCGCCCCATACAAATTGTGCACACAGATGTTGGAGGACCACTCAAAATAACATTGAAAAAACAGCAAAAATATTGAATTATCTGTAAGCTATAAAAACATATAGGTATCGCTAGAAAATGTGAAATGAGAGCTACAAAGTACTGCAAAAAAACTCGAAAATAATGCCTGAAAATGTAACACCAGGAATCTCTTCAATCCACCATGGAAGCTGCTAGTTTATAGATGTATAGTCAGTAAACAAAATATAGATAGTAAATCAATATGTGTACCTTTTATTCTGACCTCTCTGTATAAACCTGGAATAAAATCAGAACAATATTAGGCTAGAGAGAGAACAAACAAACCTGTTTTCTGTACACCACCAATTTGTTCCAATACTGCATGAATTGTCACTGGTGCCATTAAGCTGGATTGTTTGCACACCATTTGATAGCACAGAAATTCCTGTAAAAATTGATTAGAAATAATTGCTGGGGGGGTCAAAAGTTGACATTGGTATGAAAGCCTTTGTTGGCACTGTTCATTTGCTAGGTGGTTTCAGTGGTGGGGGGATAATTGGTACCAGTGGTGTATGTGAGGACACCTCACCACAGCTGCTTGTGGTTTGGAAATTGGGAACTATCAAAGCTGGGATGAGGGAGTCAATGTGAAGATTTAAGGTGATGGTAAGGAACAGAGTGACGGTAGAACCATTGGTGGTATATATGACAGTATACTGGTATGATAACACATATAGCTAATGATTACTATATTAATCCACACTTACTGTGACTGATTTTTGCTAAGTCAATTTTGCTGAATTCATCTTACTGATACTCCAAATATTTGTTTGAGTCTGTAAAAATATGCAAGTAAGCAAGAAAGCAACAATAAATATATTACGTGCAACACCAATCTTGATTATGGATCTTATGCAGCATTCCTTACATGCCAATGAGTCACTTGATCACTGATTTCCATGATATGTTGTCATTTGTCTATATATTTACATATTTACTTCTATTTCATGCTTTTTCCATATTTCTAAATTGCGACTTTTCACTGGGCATCATGATGATGGTGTAATGGCAACAAACATTTAGATGAGATTCGGAACAACTCAGCTGGCAGGATTCAATCAAATTTTAGGAAAATTGTCACACAAGGAATTATGTCACATGTGATATGTTCATCATTGGACTGCAGCTTTGATCGTGAATCAAAGCTGCAGTTCAAGGATGAAAACAGTTTGGAAGATAATTAGAAATAATTTCCAAAAAATGCTGTGGATAAGGGTTGAATATAAGAAGATATAAGTTTGAAATGTTTCATTATAAATGCTTAGGATCAATGATAATGCAATTTAGAGTGGATCCTTGGATAATTTTATAAATATTATCTACAAAATATTCTTTTTATGTTGCCTGCCTTGAGCATGATCATTTTGTAAATATTTTCTATATAATATATGAGACCGTAGTACAATGATTTTACTAAAAATTCCAGACTCAAAGCTGTGAGGACAGGCAAACAATATTAGGGATTATATTTAAAAATTTGCTTCATATGTTCCTTAGATATAATTGGTATATTTTTACAAAAAAATCACTGTAAGATCACACTGCAAGTCTAGCTATTATAAGTCAATCCCCACAGTGTGTGGAAATGATAATGATCTGAATCACAGCTATTGCTGATTAAGCATGGCACAAAGATAGTTCAACTCTATCCTTGACGAATTTATATCTTCAGGTATCCAACTTTCATAACTAATTATTTACGTTCTTTACACCCCAGCCTACAAAAGACATGCGGTTGTGGAGGACCTCCTATCCCACAGTACAGCCCTATTTTAAGTACCCTATATCTGACAAGACTTCTATTAAGTGGGCCACAAGAATAGTAAAGGATACCTATGTGAATGAGATCAATCAGCTGGCTTCTGAAGATGCGGGATGGCATTTCAATGCTACAAAGGCCTTAGCCAAACAAATTGAACAGTTCTGTCTTGAAGGAATAGCAACCAAATACAAGGAAAAAGCCCCACATTTATGGGACCTTGTACATGTCCTGCTGGCTACTTATTGTGGAACGACATCTCGAGAGTCGTGATGTGACACAGATAAACACACTATCATTGGCACAGACAAAAGAAGCTGACAAGTCCTATTGGCACAATGTGGATGACTTAGATCTGGAGGGGTTAGTCAAGAACATTGTTAGTGACCCTAGCACTTGTGCACATAGGGTCACTGAACTAAAAAGGGCACTTCTGACTGTTGTAAGTGTATTATACTGTGTCGAGCAATCTAAATTAATGTCCAGACAACCTAGAAAAAGGTTGTAATCTTGAGTATAATGATGCAGACATCAAATCAGTGAGCTAATGTTTTGCAAAGTGTGATTGGAATCTTTCTTCACTCATTGCATGCCCCGCAAGTAGTAGTTGACACCATGGCTTGCATGGGTGTATCCATTTCTATAAGCACCATTCATAATGCCATCTGATCACTTTCTGTTTGATCACATGAAACTTTGCAGACATTGGGCCAAACACTTCTGGCTGCGTATGCCTACAATAATTTTAACATTGATCTCAAGACTACCAAACACACAGTTAAAAAGTCTACCAATTCCCTCAAATATCTCCCATTGGGACTCAGGGTCCCCCTACAACACAATGTCACATGCAACGACCTCAAATGCTTGGATAAGCTGTGGAAAAAATCACCCATAAATCTATAGGCTCAAGAACAACCTGCCACCCAAACAAACATTTAAAGACTTCCTTTCCATATCTCCCAATCACACCGATGCCGCATCAGGACTCAATGCACGCCAGAGATTCAACTCATGGTGCTTTTTCCACGACTTGTGTCACTTTGGACCTCATTATCTTCAGTGTTTCAAGGACCAGATCAAACCTCCGACAGCCATGGAGCCAATACCAATTGTGCAGACACCAATTATCCCAGCACGAGCTATGGATGTCAATAACTCAACTGTCTCTGGAAACATATGTGCTGTCGTGGAATTGATGGCACAGGGAGGGTTTGAGGAGGAAATTTTGCTATCAGATTATGTAGTCTTGTTTCACGGAGATCTGGGGACAGAAGAATGCCTGCAGGCCCTCCAGCAAAGGTGTTCCCTCAATGAATCAGCTTGAGCAAGGTTTCAATATGTCATATTCATTCCAGGCCTGTTCCATCTCAAGATGGCCTGTGTAGATGTCATTTGGCGGGTTTTTGTACAGCCATCATCAGCCCAAGAAGATATCGCCAAATTGCGACCTAAGAAGACAGGTATCTTTGCCACCAAGTCAGGCTCCCAATACATGTACCAGATAATTGGGCATGCTGGTATTTGCCGCCAACTTGATTGCTGGAGAAATGAGGCCATGTCTCATAACACAGAACACAAGACCTTGGAAGCATTTGCTGCTTCATGCCCTTCATTTGAATAGCTTCAAAGCATGGCTGACAATCTTGCTAGGATATTTATTGCAGACCACAGACTTTTCAAAATGCACCAGTGCTCGAATGAAATGCATAATCAGCAACATGAGAATACATTGCTATTCAATAAGTATGCCCTACACTATGAGGAACTAACACATGCAATGAACACTGGTGACATTAGGAGGGCTGAATCATGCATTGTCCCATGGATACCCATATTCAAAGCCACGGGAAAGCACAAGTACCCAACACATATGAAGGACTTCTTAATAAATCTACACTACAATTATCCGCCAGGCTTAAAGTGTGTCTCTCAAAATGATAATATTATCATCACTGACAGATTTTCTAGATGCACAATACAATATAACATTCTTATTAATCCATCTGGCAAGGCTGGCAAATTTCAAGCAGTTGACTGGTATCTGGAGTTATATAACCTATTCACAAAGGTTTGGAATGGTGGACAAGGACCAAATTATACTGTCAATCATATACTGCTCGAATAAACCCTTGTTCAAGTTTACCGGAATACTCACATAACCATTGAGAAAAACTTCTATTGTTCTCACTTTTTAATCTTACACGCTGATCCCAACATGTTGAAGACACTTCACACCCTCTTAGCAGATATGCAAGTGCAATCAGCATATGACTTCAAGCTAGGCTGCACCAGCAAGCATTCTATTCCCGACCTACTGAACAGGGGGATGTATATGATGGAGATAGGTGATAGTGGTATGTTAGACGACGTAGAGTAATGTGGAAATGGAGAGTACAGAGATAGACAATGTGCTAGTAGAGCTATAGTGACAAATCAATTGCTTGCTACAGTCACTTGCTAGTTGATGAGGTGTGATGAGTTTGTAAATAGTAAAGACTTGGGAAACAAGTGTGTACTTACATTTTCTTTCTCAGCATCATTTGCAGACGTTCTCATAGGATGTTTCAAACAGATTCGGTTGTGAGCTGTATACGTAGTAAGCATACAATGTTAAGTTGACAAAATGTGCATGTGAACTCACCGTTGTGGCCTTTTAGGCCACAGGCACTATATTTTGGCTTGGCTTTTATTTTTGCAGCAAGAGGAAGAGGTGAATGTTGGTCGAGGCAGCATTGAGATGTGGGCGCAACAGAGTAGAGACAAATAGAGATGTAGTGGCAGGACCTAGAGGTGGTACAAAACAATGTATGATATCTACTACATCCTGCCCATAGTTATCAATACCTGCCCACTTTGTCTCCTTTTTCAGCTGCTCGATTGATCTAATTTTACTGAAATGGGACGAATTGACAATTCGATTGATAACCTTGTTTGTCATGATGAGACAAGGCCCAAAATTAACTAGCTGTGCATATCCAAAGACAGCACTGGTCTTTGTATCCCGCCACTTGTTCAGAGCATCACATAGTGTGTGGTCTTGAGATGTTATTTGAACTTTGCAAGTCGCAATCAATTGGGAATTTTGGACAGCTTGACAATGTGGAAGTTAAACCGGTGGAAGAATGTGAGGTGATGTTACAACAAGTTAGCGGGGATGGGACAAAGCAGCAAGAGCAGCCTTCCAAATTAGATGGATCACACTCAAAGTGGTCTGTGTCTGAGAAATAGCCCGGTGGTGAGAAGGATGAGCAACTATAATAGGAAACTGGGAATTCTCACTGGCCTGTTGGTTGTTGAAGTAAACATCAAACACTTTTCTTTGACACTTCTATCCTGGTTGCACATCCGCATTAACAAGGTAATTGAGCCCTAGATCAAGCTCTGTTTTCCGCTGTTTGAAATTTTTGTGGGCACTTGCTGTTGTTGAAGACTCCGCCCGTAACTCAACACTACACAACTCCAATTATCTCCCAGCTTCTTCTGCCCCTCCAATATCCAACTGTTTATCTGTTGAGCCACTACTATCTCTATCCATTTCATCTTGCTCTTCAACCAACGGGACAGCAATTGGCCTTGATACACCTACCACAACACGCTTTGCAGAGGTGCCCGGTATGTTATTCCATTTTAAATCTCTCCTTTTCTTTCTCATCTTTTTTTTTTTTGGCATTTGTCATCAAAAAACTCTTTCTCTGCAAAAATCAATGCAGTCCCTTGTGATGTTTTATCACGGACAGCTCAACCTATACATTGGGACATAGTGGGCAATGTTACAGGATTTCCTTTGCGGCTTACTCTCCACTGAATTACTAGCATGATATCAGCAATATCCATGCCCTTTGACACGTAAGTTAGCTCAATTGTTTTTTTGCCAGCAGTTTCACTGACCATTCCAAATGAATCTGTGGTACATAAGCCCCATGTTTTGCCTGCTCACAGCCGTTCATATTTGGTTTCCTTGTATGTATTAGACATATCCAAATTGAACCACTAAATGTTGATTTGTAGATCTGGCGGCAGATGGTTCCTAAGGAACTTGGTTGCACTGATAGCCTCTTGAATATTGTTGAAGAATATAAGAAACTTTTCCGTAGGTGAGTCACCAGGTTTCCATCCATCCGGAATGAGAAATACTAAGTCCTTGAATGTGTTTAAAGGATATTTGATTTGGCGGATGCTGAGCCAAATATTTGGTTGATTGGTAGAGCGATGGATTGTAAGGAGGTCCTCAGTACGCAGGAGCAGGAATTGGGTAATATCCTTTTGTATATCTGCAAAAATTGTTGCTGACACTATTACAAAGGGAACATGTGGGAATTTATACTGCAGGTGTGCAAGCTCATGGTATTCTGGCTGGAAGTCTCCCCATTCAGTCAAACAACAAAATAATCTGCAAGGTAAATAGTGGATTCTGTAGGTGTTTTTCAAACTCTTCACCTAGCTTCATTATTGTTTGCAGCTGATTGCAATTGCACAATAGGCAAAATTTAATATATCCTGCCTTAGTTTTCAGCTAACACTTTCAAAGATTAAATGGTGAGCACATACTCTAAAATTTGGTGCCGTTGCTGTCTCTGAGTTAATAGCTATAGCTGGAATATTCGCCTTGGCCAGCGAGTCTGTATTTTGTTTTCGTAGTAGGTTTAGAGGTGTGATATTCACTTGTATATTATTTGGCCAAAGTAAAAGAGGTATGATAAATGTGAGTGTCTTGCCTGAGCCTGTACCAGCCTTCAACAGTATATCTTGGTTGCCTTGGGCTATAGCTTAGCCGACTTTTGCCTGCCATAAGCAGGGATAGACACCAAGCTTTCATTGTGTGATCTGGCAAATCTCCAACAAAGAGGCCTGATTGGGCACTTGTGTCATGATGGAATCACCACGCGCCATCAGTGAATCATCTTAACTTCGAAATAGGTATCAGAATATGGAAAAATGTCCGAAGTTTTCATATTATTACAAGTCCAATACTGTTCTTGCGTCACTGTCACTGTGGCTGGGCCTTGCTTACAAATGTTTTATGCCAGCCGCTGTGGAGAGAGAGCAAGGAATAAAGTTGTGCTGACTTTGAAACATTTTATTATTTTATCATATCAGATATCCTATTACATTGCTCTAAAATTTATCCTCCCTCAACACAGTGCGGCTAGGGGAGGAGCCTGCACTCTTAGTATATTGTTGCAGCCAGTACAGGTCTTCCAAACACCTTGCCAGGGTATAGCCTACTGGTTCACTATGACCACTTCAAGTTGGGTGTTAGTCCAGACTAGTCGCTGCAATGCAGTGCTGCACATTTGAGTATTACTAGTATGTATTTATAGCTGAAGTAGCCTAACCACAGTTATGATACTAATAGATCAGTTACTAGTCAAAATCATATCCTACATCAAGATTGTGTCTGTACATCTTATCCAATTCCAGAAATATGTTGTTGTCAACATCATCTGAGTTGTCACTTTTGCCATAATCATCCAATTCATGACCTGAACTCAATTATTTGCCTTTGCAATATTGAAGTGATAGCTCTGCGTTGTCATCTTCAATGTATCTGTCACTCGCCTGAAAATTGCCAGTAAGTCTGCTATCTCCCTGTCCAGACTGATCCAACCTGTGCCCAGTTGATGTTTGAATGGTGTCGTTGTTAGAGGAGTTTTTTAGATAAGTTAAAATGGAGGATACAGTGTTTGGCGCCAGTTGGAATGTACAAGTATATACATGGCTTACACCCAATCCCCAGTGATACTGAAGTATCATGTCTTGATCAACAAATCTGGGAGCACTTGTGGTTTAATTCTGTTTCAGCTTGATGTGTAAGATTGGACTAACATATTAACAAGATATTTCTTCCAGTCCTGCGCATCTTGCACAAATTTGGACATCCCAATGCTGTCCTGATGCAACTTACCATTGGCAAAGGATGGCACCAAGCGGCAGCTTCACAGGATGTCAGCAGGATCAATAAATCCAAAAGCTCCCTCCTCGGCCATGGGTAGCTACTGTGTCCAGTTTGTATAGTTCATACCATCTGACATACAAAGCCTCCATTCTATGTGGTTGATAATCAGCAGATTCTGGTCCAACACATATGGTGTTTACATGATAAATGCCCAGAACACAGGCGTAGCAGTATGGGTGAAAGGGTGAGTCTGGTTCAGTATGATCAGGCAACACTAGTAGTATGATGTTACAATGTTCCATACAAGGGTTGATGACATCCTGTGTTTGACAGACATTGTACATTGTGTAATTGATGCAACAGACATTGTGACTATATACATGATCATTCTTTAGGATGATTCAAGTGCGGTTGGCCACATGTGGTGGGTGACATTCCAAGTCACTAGTAGCCTGAGAAGCATTGACACTCATTGGAGCTGTTTGTATGCAATGGGGAAGATGAGTTTTCAGCTTGAAAATAATGTCTCAAAATGCGTAATTAGTGATATATTGTATAAACAGGCTCTACCTCCCCTTGCAAGCTGAATTTTGAGAGTAAGAATTGGCAAAGGAGGTGATATGTAAAGGTGAGTTTTGGGATTTCTGAATATGATGGCGGATGTTGAGGGAGGTGGCCTCATGGTCAGCCAACTGGGCCTGAATCCCAAGGTGTTTACAAAGCTATTGGCATATAAGAAGGATGCGGGCTTGCCAATGTGTGATGCAAGTGATTTGCCGAATATACTGCTTCTTGCTAGTATATTTGTATCGCAATCCTTCCTTATGATGCTCTAATTCTCCCTAGGAAACATATTAGTGTCGCTGGTGATATAGTATTAATAAGAGTTTACATACAGCCTGAGTTGAATATGAGTTGGTAGTACCAAAGTTTTTATCTGGGAGGGGTAATCTCCCAGTGCATGGAGCTTGTAAGTTTGTAGATTGAACATATTTGGCTTGCAGGTTATGTCAAGAGGTGCAGATGGTGTTCCAACACTTTTCTCAGCCTCACGGCACCTACGAGCTCTGGCTTCACGCTGAAGCTCATGGGTATTGAATGCAGAGCTAGTGTTTGCAACAAAATCTCAAAGCTGCTCACCTACAGATTTGGTGACCTGTTCTAGTATCTTTAAAGTGTCGTCAATGTGCATATGCAATTTAGCTAAACTGCGCCAATGAGTTGTGTGAAATAATAGCTGTAAGATTTTTGCATTGTTGCTAGTCAGGAAAGAGACCATTAAACACAGGAATAGCACACTAGATGATAAAAATTTGGGGTCAGAAGGTAAAGTAACATAAGACTGCTCAAACAACCACTTGTAGCAAGTCTTCAAAGTGATGCGCTATCATCCTTTTCATTTTAGAACTATTGGTAGCAAACCATCTGATAGTATCCCGACCATAGGTAGGAACCTGGCGATACCTAGAAGTACATTTATTATCCTAGAAATCAGCACATCTTCACTAAAACTGACCGTAAATCTGGTACATCTAAAAGTCCTGGGTTGATGGAGTCCAAAAGTCTCAAAAGGTGGATAAACAGTGATTTCCACACTCCCAGTTCAACTTTGTGCATGAAATCAACTGCTAGCATCAAAAAAACAATGAAGCCGAGGGGGCCAAGCTTATGCAAGAAAGCATGCTGTGTCGATAAAAGTGTCAGTAAGTGAAAATTGATAGGTACTCAATCTTACACACCAGGATGGGGACCATCAATTTGCTCGCTAGGATTCCATTGACTTTTGGGTTGTTCACGGCTCAGTTCATGGGCGGTGGAAATACTCTTTTGATGTTCATCATTGTCAACGCAAGCCTTTGATTTTCTGTCCAACATATCAGTATCCTTTCTAAGATTGGGTACACGGGCCATAGGAGTCAAACACCGGGGACAAGGGCACCCTCCAAGATTTCTAATACTTGCAATCAATATCCTACAAATAAGTGAACAAGATGTCACATTCAAAAACAGGTTGAAACTGCTTACGTTTTTGGGTAGTTGGCCAAATATGTCAGGATATGTGGGTAAAAACAATATTCTATACCATCACAACATTTAATGATGATTCAATGCTGGTATGCATGCAGGAAATTATCATCCAAAAGAACGTCCCATTGAGCGTGAAATAATTCTTGCAAACAGTGCATCACAAACGCATCAGGAAGCTTATTATTGCCCGTGCAGACCTTTGCAAAATTTTTGAAGTCATCAGGGAGCTGTAATACATAACATGGACATCAGTATACTAAACATGATAATGTGATAGTAAAAAGACTTGCACTTTGAAAATAGGCCACATGGTTGCATAAATGGCAAGATGGTTTTCATTGACAATATTTGGACTCATTAGCAAAACAAAGAAAATTTTGCATTACCAAAGGATGTAAGGTGCGTAGCATCCGACCAGAACATGTATCCCACCATTACCTGAGGATGGTTACAACCAGGTTCTGGTGGTAATTTTTGAAGTTCTAGGTTAAGAAAGCCTCTGAGATGTACATCTTGCCATGGACTCAAACTTCATGCAGTCTGTTATTTGGGTGCCAGAACAACTTGTACGGCTTGTAATGAAATAGTTTGTTGTCCTCTGAGTTAGTGAGCTTATTATGGAGGATTTTGATGAGTAATCAGTGGTATAGGTCAGTAATACAATGATTGCAAGCTCCAGGGTTTTTTGACCTGCTGTAAAATGGGACTGAGATTGTGATTGGTGTCTTCTTCCAGTTGGCATCTTGATCAAGCCATTCTTTGTTATCAAAATCATCAACTCCTAGGTCTTTGTTGATTTTGCTCCACTTTACATTTCAAACACCTTTGGGATTGAAGTCTGGGCTACCATTATATCAACCAATTGTTTAAATGATTCTTGTGATTTTTGCATTGCATAATTCCAGTACCAGTCTCCAAGGCAAAATGAGCTCTCATTCAGGTAAGGTCCATATGAAGCAGTAACCTTAGACGCACAACTGTCATCTTGAGATGGTGGTGGTTTGAAAGAGTCCAGATCTTCAGGATCATGTGACGGTAGCTCTTCTCCATGGTATTGGCAAAACAAACCAAAGAGGTTGCAGGGCATATTCAAAAGACAACCAACCCAAGTACTAGCTGTGTGCCACAAATGTGAACAAGGTCTAGGCTATTCTGGGTCTTGCTGGGATATTTTGTTGCTGGGAGCTGAGTAAACAGGGTCAGCCAAATTGGAGAGACTCATAGACAACAAAGGGGGAGCGGGCTCTGGAAGAAAATCACGGAAGTGTTGCAGTAAGCAATAATTCAACCTGCAAGTCCTACATTGTGTGCAAGCGGCAAGCTGTTGTCTGCAGATGACTTGGTGGGCTAGACACAAGTGGTGAAAAGTTAAAAGAAGGACACTATACTTCACTGAAAGATAAAAAAACTTACCTCCTCTAGAACAGAAGACTCAAGCTGAGGGGGCCGGCCTGAAGAGTTCAAATCATCCATAGGAGTATCTGTTACGCTGTTGAGGCCAGATGAGCCTCCGTCTTCCTCTTCCAACACTACATTATTAACTTGAAAAGGCTTTAAATGATGTCTCTTGATGCTAAAGGCCTTTTTTGCTCTTGCCAGTGAACTCGACAGCCTTTTCTTGATCTTAGAGCATGTCTTCTTATGCTGATTAAATGGCCCTATGTGAGAGAAGGATTGTCCACAAAGCAGACTTGACAGAAGTCTGGCACTTCCAAGTCTAGCATATCTGCTAGTGGGTCTTGGTACCACTCAGCATTCAAGTTGGCATCTGAGTCATGATCATTAGCACTGCCACAAGTGTCAAGGATAGTAATTTGCTTGGTCCTTATGAGGGAACCACTGAAGGGAATAGGGCCCGCAATCTCCGCATGCATTAAAGTTATTGTGATACCAGAAATCTTGATCACAGGACAAGATTGTGATTGCACTGCCACATAGTTCAGAAATGGTAGTTTTAGATAGCGCAGTTGTGACTCACCGTAGGGAACTTGAACTCACACGGTCAAAGCTAGAGAGTCCGAATGATTGTGAAGCCCCAAAAGCGGTTCACCGCCAGCCCAATACAAGTAGCTGCACCACAGTATCACAGCAGTGGGCTTGGTTATAAGCTATTATAAGTGAACGTGAATGGGCCTGTAGGAATCAGAAATATAAATAATGTTGTAATGTGTTCTTGTAGTATCCAAGTTGCAGCTTAGTACTTGAAGTTTGAAAGCATACTAGTAGTTTTAAGATATTTCCAGGGCATGTGGTGGTGGTTGTAATATAAACACACTGTGATAGTTTCAGTTATTGCACCAACAGGATTGCCAGTCATTCACTGGCAGTTATTAATACCCAAGCCCCAGACATAAACTGAGTTGCGCATCCTGAGCCTGACAATGCATCAACTTGAATCCAGAATTCAACCGGGCAAGCTATCAAAGCTCCTACAGTATACTTTGTTCAGAAGCTCTCATTAGCAATATTAAGATTCATTCAGCCTTTACATCTGCCTTTTGACCTCAACTTTGCATCGCAAATTCCTTCAAATCAACATCAAGCTTGGAATCATGATGAGGATTTCCAAGTCAGATTGCGCTGATTCACGATGCAGCATCATATAGACTATGTAACTCTAGATCCAGGCATCAAGGTAGCCGTTCAGATTGATGACCACAGTGAGCATTTCAACTTGTACTGGTTGTTAATCATACTTACTGTATCCCAGCATAGACCCAGATCAGAATCCATCCATAGTACCAACCCTTGAAACGAGTACCCACTGGTAACAGTGGGTTAAAGGAAAGTGGTTGTTCAGTGGCAAAAGCACAATCACAGTGAGAATTTCAACTTGCACTGCCAGTGATTGGTTAGTACTAATTCAGGCTGTAGTATGCCTCACTGCACCTGTATGTAGTAGATTTGGATCAAAACCCAATCCAGGTCTTGAATGCATGGTAAGCTGGGTTTGATTTATGGCCCTCTTATATTAAGAACAAAATCACGAGGCTTAAAGTGCAGGGAGAGGTCCTTGACAGCTTGGTCAAGTGCAGAAGTAGAAGTGGATGCCAGTGTTATGTCATCAACAAAGACAGGCAGGATAATACGCACATCAGCTCTGTTAAAGACATAGATGGCAGAGTCTGAATAAGTACGCTTGAATCCGAGTTTTTCAAGCACAGTGTGCATCTTCTGGTTCCACATTCTGCCTCCCTGCTTTGTCCCATAGATGGCCTTGTCCAACTGGCAAACAAGATTGCGAGGACCCTGATGGAATCCCTCTGGCTGATGCATGTAGACCTTGACATCCATGACTCCATTCAGGAATGCATGAAAAATGTCAATGGAGCGCAAATAGAGGTTGTGGATGGCTGCAATGGCAAGGACAACTCTGATGAATGATATGCGGACAGTAGGTGCAAATATTTTGAGGAAATCAAAGCCAGGGCGCTGGTTATAACCTTTGGCCACATATCTGGCCTTGTAGTGCTCAACAGTGCCATCTGAGTTGTGCTTGATCTTGAAGACCCACTTGCCACCAATAGCCTTGACTCCAGGAGGTAGTTCCACTAGTGACCAAGTACCATTGTGCTCATGAGCTTGAAGCTCTTCCATGGCTGCCTCTCTCCATTTATCTGAATCAGGACGCTTCATTGCATCTGCAAACGACCTAGGCTCAGCAGAGTCTCCAAAGTGTGCTACTTCATCATCAACTGCCTCAGAATCACTGTCATCACTCTCAATGGCAGGAGTAGGTTGTCTGTGTTGAAGCCACCATGGTCTAGGTGGTCTCCTAGCCCTTACAGGGCGTCTCAGTGCAATAGGCAAGTCAGGAGAAGGTGAGCAATGAGGAGGGTGATTTGGAAGCTCAGGAGGTTGATTCACAGGTGGTTTTGCATCAAGGTCCAAATGAGGCCCATTGTCAGGCAATGGCTGAGGCTGCTGAAGCGCAGCTGGTGGGCCCATATCTCCCCCTGGACCTGGTGCAGGGACATCCTCAATCAGGCCCAATGGCATGGATAGCGAAGGTGGAGTGGGAGGTGGAGGTGGGACATTGTCAGAAGACCTCTTCAAGCCAGGGAAGTAGCGCTCATCAAAATCAGCTCTCTCAGAGATAACAGTGTGCTTGGTGGTAGGATTGTAGAATTTCCATCCCTTGTATCCCTCAGGGTAACCAATGAACACACATTTCTCCATATGAGAGCCAAAGACGCCTCTTTTGTCCTTTTGCACATGCACATAGGCAGTGCAGCCCCAAACGCAAAGGTGAGACATGTCAGGCTTGCATCCATACCACAACTCAAAGGAGTGGCATGGGCCACTGCATCAGTGGGACACCTGTTCCAGACATGCACCAAAGCGGACAGACATTCACCCCAGAAGCTGTTAGGCAATGCAGACTCTGATAACATGGCAGTGATACGCTCAGTGAGAAGTCTGTTTGCTCGCTCTGCCACACCATTCTGCTGAGGACAATTCCTGGTGGTATGCTGTCTGACAATCCCATGGTCATCTGTGAATTGCTCAAATTCCTTGGACATGTACTCTCCCCCTTTGTCATCGTGCAGAGCCTTGATTTTACGCTCCAATTGAGTCTCAGCATAAGCCTTGAATCTCTTGAAAGCATCAAAGACACCCGACTTGGCCTTGAGAGGCACAACAACACGGAATCGACTGTGATCGTCAATGAAGGTGACCCAGTAGCGATAACCAGAGAATGTGGGGGAAGAGACTTGGTGTACATCAGAATGGATGAGGTCCAAAGGATGAGCAGAGCGAGTATCAGATGAGGGGAATGGATTGGCATGCATCTTGCCAGACAAGCACGGTTCACAGACAGGATCAGGAGCAGCCTTGGATTCCAGTGTAAGCCCAGTGACCAGATCTCTCTGTATCAGTCT